AATCTGATATATATAATAATTTTTATAATAGATAATTATTATAGCTATAAATATCAACAGCAGATAATATAAATTATAATACTCAATCTAATATATAGAATAATTTTATTTTTATTAAATAGAGTATATATAAAACTTTTATTTTTCTGTTCTATTCTATTCTATCTTTCTTTGATCTTCATTTTTTTATTATTATTATAGATGTATATATATTATTATTATAAAATTAGATCTAATTATACAGACTATATATAATATTTAGATAGTTGATTTATATTTCTATACAGTATCTGAGATTAGTAGCTTTTTAGTAGAGATGAAGTCAAATAGATTATTTAGCTAGTGATTATATAATTTTCTGTATACAAAATCATATATATCTGAATTTAATAGTATTTCTCTTACTAAATACAAGTATTCTGTATATATGAATATGAAATTGAACACATATCAGCAATAATCAGATTATATGCAGTGATGTTGATGACTGAGTGACTGTGTCTCTGCATATAATCAGATTATTATGAGGATTGAGTTCAAACACACTGTAACCCAACCCATCTATAACTAATATTATACAATTATATAATCTAACACAGATCTGAAAGTAGTTAGTACATTGTCAGAAAAAGAAAAAAAAAAAAAAAGAGGGGGGGGGGGTGAAGAGGACACTGAAGAGAATGATGAGAAGAGAGAGTAAAATATAAAAGAAGAAATATAAAAAAGAGAAGAGAAAAGAGTGACTGAGCTGTTGAAAAAAAATAAAAGAGAGAAATAGAAGCAGAGTCAGTATAAATCAGATATTAACAGTTAAAAATATATCAGTCCTATGATATTTTCTTGTGGTAATTATCATCGATGAGCATTCTATGTGGGTCCTACGGAAAGTTGGGGACGGAGGATCAATCTGCGGGCCGGGGTGTGGGGGAGTGAGCATGGATATTGACTCCCTGTAAAACTACAGCTTCTCATAACTAATGATCATGGTGCTGAACGATCATGAGTGCGGCGGAGTATCTGGAGTCCATTGACGAACCCATTGGCACATAAGGGCTCTGCAGGCCACAGAAATGACAACAAGAGCGACACCGAGCCATTTTTGTTCATCTGGCATCTGGCGAGGAAGTAGAGATTGTATACGGAGTAGTTACTCGTATCTAAGGTCGAGAAAGGAGATTTGATGGCTCCTGCGGCTACCCTATCACGTGCCCCCCAGCATATCCATGGATTCTCCCAATACAAGTGCCAGCATGTCATTTTATCTTACTCAAAATACAGCATGCGTCTTCAGCCCTGGGGAAGAAGCCCATATATCATGGTTACGCTCCCTTCTACTGTCGTGCTGCCCGGCATGGGGTCAACCCTGCACGGCCATGAACACACCGGTTCGGGTCCCCTTATTCCACATGAGAAATTCAGCAAAAGATCCACGATGGGGTTAACAAACAGGTCCCAGTCTAGGTTGGAAAGCTCTCGCCATCCCCAAATCTATTGCGGAGTAAGTCGCATGCTAAAATTCGCCAAGCTCTAGCCATGATCCCTTTCTCGCCACCGTATTGGAAGTCCGCAAGAAGCTATAACGCTTCAATTCGATGTCCCTTGAATGCGACTGAGAGTCGCATTTCTTTCTCCGGCTCAAGCATAATGAAGCATTTCACCACCAAGAAAGGCAGAAGTGTTGTCCCCTCTCAAAAACGGTGTTTTGTCCGTCTGCCTGGCACGTTTGTTGTGATCTGAATCCCTTGGTGGTTTATCCACAGCACACGGCACACGGCACACAGCACAACAGCGCACATCGCACCAGACCACTCACCACAACACAATCCGCAGCAAGGCGATAGCTAGAGGAATCCCCCGCGCATATCTTCGTTCCCGATCTTTTGCATTGCGCTGTGCGGTGCGGCGCGGCGCCTGGACATTTTGTTCCTTCGCAGCTGCCGCCCCTCCAGTTGCAGACCCTTCCTTCCCCTCCGCCCTTTCCTCCTTCCGCTACTCGCAGACAAAGAGCAACAATAACAATAAATAAATCCTCCTCTATCATTTGCCCTTCTTCTTCTTCTTCTTCTTCTTCTTCTTCTTCTTCTTCTTCTTCTTCCTCTCCACACGCTTGTCCTCTTTCTACCCGTCATTCTTCGTCATTCGTTTATCTCCCTAAAGCCAGGCATCATCTACTGCCACCAGAGTTACAACTTGTATATCTTCTTCCCCACTCTCCCTATCCTACTGCCCACCGCCAAGTTGGGGAGCTACTGTCATTTCCTGTTTGCTGCTCTTCTTGAGCCCCCTGGTGTTTCTTTCATCATAAGCAAAGCAAGCAATACCATTGCTCGCCGGCACCCCACCTAGCAAAACCCACGGGCACGCTGTTTGGTGCCCCCAAGGTCCGGCTCGTCGTCTTTTTCGTTACTTTTACTAAACAATTGCTTCTGGTATCATATTTCTGTGCAGCTAGCACTCGCACTGATCGCTAACTGATCGTTATGGTTTCTCCGTTGACGTCTACCACTGTTGAAATATTGGAAAGTCCTTTGCCTCCGGCTCCCGCCGCTAGTACTGTTCTAACCCCGTTACAATGGAAAACGCTTCTGGCCCTGGCAGATACTGTTATCCCCTCCATCAGACCAAGAAGCGCCGCCGTGTGTCCTGGTGCTTGTACGATCAGTGATGCTGAGTTTGCACTTGCAACTCATACCCTTCAGTCTGTTCAGAATGACTTTGCGCACTCCGACATCGCCGTTCAGTTTCTCGCCGAAAATGCTTCTTCTGTCCCCGAATTCAAAGAGAGCATGTGTCGTGTGCTCGGTCAACAAATCCCAGATGAGGCGAGGCGAGGTATCAGCGTCATCCTCAACGCCCTCAATAGTCGTCCTGTGGCTCTCGCCTTGACTGGATACGCAGCCCCTATCCAGTGTCAGCCTTATCCTGTTCGCGAAGCAATTTTTCGAGGCTGGGCTACTTCAGTTCTTCCACCCATCCGCAGCTTATACCGTTCGCTGATTGCACTCTTCCACAAAGCATGGGTCCCTTTAAGCCCAACCCTCCCTGCTATTATCGGCTTCCCCAGGGTACCTGTCAATTTCACTCCTGTGGAAGGTTACCCCTACGAATTTATGCAATTCCCTCCTGGTGACAATACCGAAGCTATCATGACTGATGTAGTCATCATCGGTAGCGGTTGCGGTGCAGCTGTAGCGGCAAAAAACATTGCGGAAGCAGGCCACAATGTAATTGTGGTTGAAAAATCTTATTATTGGTCGGAGAAGCACTTCCCCATGACAATGAAGGAAGGAGCATTGAATTTGTTCGAAAATGGAGGCACCAGTATTTCTGATGATGGCTCGGTTGCTGTCATCTCGGGCTCGGTTGGGGGCGGTGGTGGAACCCATTAAACTGGTCCGGCATCGCTACAGGACAACAGAGCTACGTTCGTCAAGAATGGGCAATAGGGATGCCATTTTCACCTCTGCAGAATTTCAGCGGTCCCTCGATCGTGTCTGTGACCGTATGGGAGTTAACACAGAGCATGTCAAAACATAATCATGCGAACCATTTTACTACTTGAGGGTGCACGGAAACTGGGTTTACGCTGCTAAGACTGTCCCTCAGAATACGGGCAACCAGGAACATAATTGTGGGCACTGCACCCTGGGTTGTGGATCTTGTGGCAAGAAGGGTCCCCAGGTGACCTTTCTGGCCGACGCTGCCCGCGCAGGCGCCCAATTTATTGAAGGATTCCACGCTGAGAGGATCTTGTTTAAAGAGGGTAATGCTGGGAACTGTCTTGCTCATGCAATTGAAGGAACTTGGACTTCAAGGGACCTCAATCGAGGCATTAGTGGAAAGCCTGTCATTACGCGTAAGGTGGTAATCAAGGCCAAAAAAGTCATTGTGGCATGCGGTTCTTTGCAAAGCCCCCTGTTGCTGCTCAGGAGTGGCTTGAAAAATCCACAAATTGGGCGTAATTTGTACTTACATCCAGGTGAGCTCACTCCCCCATATGGTGTTCTAAGCGGCAAGCTGAATTCTCATATGAACGCTAACGCCTATTCAATATGTGAAGTTGTTCTCCTATCTGCCGTATTTGGAGAAGAAATGAAACCATGGGAAGGGGCCATTCTCACAGCTGTGATAAACGAGTTCGAAGAATTGGATGGTCGCGGACACGGAGCGAAAATCGAAACGGTAACAACAGTGCCCTCGTTTTTCCTCCCAGTGTTCCCTTGGACCAATGGCCTTGAGTACAAGCGCTTTGTTTCAAAACTTCGCAACATGGCTGGGTTCATCACTGTAACCCGTGAACGATACGGTGGGAGAGTTTACCCTGACCCCGTCGACGGCAGATGTAGAATATCCTACACGCCCTCTCTCTTCGATAGAAAAAATATGATCGAAGCAATTATTGGCGCCGCAAAAGTTGCTTATGTTTGCGGCGCTCAAGAAATTTATACCTCAAGTCGTGACATTCCATCGTTCATTCGACCAGAACGTTCAGCAACTGACACTTGCGGGCCCGAAGCAGGCATCAATCATGCTGCATTCCAAGCCTGGATCAAAAAAGTACGCCATACGTACTCACCGCTGTCTCCTGAACATACCGTGTTTGCAAGTGCCCATCAGATGGGTACCTGTCGTATGGGCACGTCGCCGAAATCCAGCGTCGTTAGTCCAAGCGGAAAAGTGTGGGGAACTGAAGGGCTTTACGTTGCTGATGCGTCTGTTTTCCCAAGTGCTAGTGGCGTTAACCCGATGGTAACGAACATGGCTATTTCAGATTGGACCACCCAGAACATTTTGAAGGTTCTACACAGTGAAAGAACTCCCGCCAACCCACGACTGTAGGAGAACGATCCATGTACATGCAGCCAAATTAATCTATCGGGTTAGACGGTCTGGCGTCTACCCTGGCTTTCGATGGCATTGCTCCGCCTAAAACTGGGAGATAGCTAAATGGATGCCAGATTTTCCCTCTCCTGTACCTTCTATCTTTATCTGAACACCCTTCCTCACACCACCGATAAATAGTCTGGGTATATGAATAATAAGAATTATTAAATACCGAAAAGTGTACTATTTCTACTTCTCAATCAAGTAAATAAACGAAGTCTATCGTAAAAGCAATGGTAGGCAGCAAGATTGATATTTAAGGAGGTATTGTGAAAAAAGGACTCCCAGTGTCATCTTCTTGGTTCCCGTTTAGGGTTATGATGGTCACATGATGTATGACCTGCCACCTCCACAACTCCATCCATCCAACAACGGCTCATCCCTTTCCCTTTGTTCGAAGGAGGAAAAACTTCAACGCTCTTTGATACCCCGGTGGAAAAACGCAACGTGGAGTTTTGTGTGTGGCGATGCTAAGTTTGACACCGGAAAATGGCAGACCTAGTTAATCTGGCATTCTGTGATGGGATTATAACAAAGATCCGCAAGTTCCTGGAACGACCCCACATTCTTCCGTCTCCCATTTCCGAGACCTTATCTGCTATCTGAGCTCCATGGAATTTCCACTCGAGGACGGTTCATGCCAGTTTGTAAGGAGGGTCTGATGAAATGGCGTTATCACCACGAGAGTTCATGACACAACATACAGCAAAAGGCAGCGACGGGAAACGGGGGAATATCCCTTCCCCGCCATCGCTCTCTGCGAAGGAGCATAAAAGCGTCAATTTTTGCTTTTATCTTCGTTTTTCATTTTCTTTCTGGTTTCACCTCGTCATAACGTTCCTTCGGACCTTCATTTTTAATCTCTTGTCTTACCACCCAGTTTGCTTTCGCCGACTCTTCTGCCTTCCTACATTTTTGTCCTATTGCACTGGCTGGATATATTCACGTATACATACATATACAAAGATATCTTATCTTGACGAAAAGTTGAAATCAACGAGATCTTCTCCACTTGCTCCAACACATTACTCCATACCAGTTGCTGGGGCTGTGACTTTCGCCCTTGCGAATTCCAGTTTGGTTAGATGTATCTGGGCCATTGAATTCGTGACTCAACTGTTTTTCATTACCTGGAAGAGACCCTCGCCTTTCAGGTATCTCTTCGCCCCGTCTACTGTAGAATCAAATTTACTACTCTTTCTACGAAAGAGGGACGGGGAAAATTCCAACAAATACCATACGTCGGAACTTAATGTGACCAGACGTTGTTTAGGTTCCTTCAGAATCATCGCTCCTCTGCGGTTTTCACTTTATCCGGCGAATGGAAATACCACATGTCTTGCAACGACCCAACCAACAAGTTAAGGCTCTTCGAGAAACGCCAACTCGCATCCATTTTACACAGTGGTATCACAGTTGACAGCAAAGCCTGTGACCCGTGGACGAGAACGAGTCTATCCCTAAATTTACTTTCTTCGAGGACAATACTATGGAAAAAGACCTGCCACCTCCACCGGAAGCTCAAGGCTGAGCTAGGCGAGTTCATACTTAACTTGATTAAATACGAAGTTGGAGACAGGGTAAAGAGCTATGCCGAACAGCGCAAGAGACTTAGGGAGTCAGAAAAATACCTCGTGAATTACCTACAACAGCTAAACAACATGTGGAAGAAGGATGCCAGTTTTGTCAATGAATCCCACGAGCCGATTAAGGGATGGTTTTATCAAGAGAATCGGTGTGACGCGTGCATGGTTGGTCGGGTGGCACGGGATGCTACCGCTTTAGGGAATCTTCTCGCGTTTCTAGAAGCCCGTGCCCCTCCGCGCGAGGATGTATCACCGCCGAGACTGCTAGTTTGGATGAAAATGTTTTCGTATTGCCATAAATGCCTGCGGCCACCGCCGGAGCAGGTACCGGAGCAGAGACGCCAACCATATTGGGCGGAGGCGACGATGGCTACAATTGACAGATGGCATCATCTTGGGGCGTCTCCTACGTCACCTACACATAAAAATGAATCAGGTCATGATCTGGGTTGCTATACTCCCGCAAAGATAAGTCCGCCGCTGGCCGTGGGCCGTATGGAAAATGATGTCAAACGGCTTGGCCGTGCTCTCCAGCAGCCCGCCAGGGACCAGCTCCCTGACAGGTCTTCTTCAAATATTTCCAATTCCTCCATCCCCGACCTCAGCCGCAACTATCATAGCACGAGTGATCATTTTACAATAAGCCGCCCATGGACGCCGAACGAAGAACCATACCCCCGTGGTTATGACCAACGGGGCAATCCTCCATATCCAGACACACAAGCGCAACAATCCCGGCGCCACTCAGTCGCATCTGTTTCATCAAACTACAGCCTCTCACCCCCCTCTACCCCATCTACAGAGCAGATCAGCGCAAGCGGCTATAATGATGCGTCGTTGCTGCCTGTTACTCACGTTGTCCGTACTGCTGCAGCCACAGTGACAGCCGCCATGCATACCTGTATGGACACAAGAGAACATGGAAGCAATGGCAATTTCGATACTGAAATGCAATGTAAACTAGGTCTTGATTCCAATGCTGGTACGGATAGCAATGCCTATATAAGCCACTCAGGAGACGGAGGGAGATCTAACTCTTTCCCGCCAACCGGTGTGACGAAAACGACCCAAGATGTGGAAGATGATTCCCCACGGACACCATACGATTCGGATTCGGTGTGGGACGACGAACCGGTTACCGATAGTGATGAACGTGATTCTCATCATAGTGATGAAGATGGGGATGGGGATAGCCGTAGTGCCTGTTATGATGTTGCTAATTGTAGACCATGGGATTTAGATTCAAAACGGCTAGGCCCGAGTGAAGAAGCAAGAGGATTGTTGCCGCCCAAGAATACAACATCGAGGGCCTCGGGATTCACTACGTGGAATAGGTTAATTGAGGACCGGGCAAAAGAGTGGAAGGATATTGCTCCTCGGGCTCGTTGACCATCTTAACCAATTTCCAGGCTTCGTATTTCTTTTCTTTTTTCTTTTGCTTTTACCTATGGTTGTTATTGATAAATGCTGAATTTTGATACCCGACCGTCCTATCTTTCTCATTGCAATAACTTCTGTATTAGTATAGTTGCTCGAGGAATCACATAAGCTTACTGTCACTTTGCGAGATGGGCTGTTAGTTACCCCTTGGAACCGGAGAAATATGAATTAGCATCGCTATTTCTTCTTTTCCCTCCTTATTTGTGGAATTATTCAGGGTTATTATACATACATATATACATACATAGCTGGACGAATAAAGTCAAGCCTAAGCTTGATAGAGTGAGAAGGTAAAAAAAGAATAAAATTAAAAATAAAATAAAAAATGGGAAAAGGGGGAAAAGAGGAGATAGTCATTTTGAAGGGAATAACAAAAAACGTCTTTTTGACAGGAAGCAAGGAAGAAAAGGAGAAACAAAAGGACTGGTGTCAAAGAAGAGGGGAAAAAAAAAAAAAAAAAACCTTTCAGAATCGAACGGCGAGGAAGGATAGGAGCGAAATAAAATTATAGCAAGTAATTGGGTTGTAAACTGGGAATTATTGTTGTAACAAGTGCAAGTTAGACCCAGCACTTATAAAAATCATGTAATCTGGAAAATGGAAGAGAGAAAACGACGCCTGAAAGAGCAAAGGTGGGCTAATCCAATGATGGTAAATAAATGAAACTCTAACGCCATGAACAAGAGATGGGAAATAGTAAGATAATAGGAATGAGAGGTAGAAACGATGGTTGGAAGAAAGAAAAAGTGTTTGAAAAGAAACAAAAATGGGTGTCGCCATAACGTAACAAGTTAGCATAAGAATAACGGATGACGGCCTTGATAAAAGGGCCCAAAAAAAATAGTGAAAGATGTGGTCGTAAAACCAAACAGCACAGCACATGTGTACATACAAAGCGAAACAAATAAAATATTAAGCTTTCCGGGGAATTAGGATTTTGATAAAGCAACCAGAGCCAGGGGGTAGTAAGCAAAAAAGTTACACAGCAGGTCATGAAAGTATGTAGAAGGGAAAGTCAGTCCTATATTGCCATTTTTCTTGGTTATTAAATGGACGATGATTACTTTTGTCGTATGCTCCCGTTGAGGCGATGGCTGACTGATTTCATACTGTCCATCTGCGGAAAAACCAAAGGATTCTTCCGACGAATGCTGCGCGATAGTAAGTTAGGCGAAACTGACTCATCCTCTTCTCTAAATAGGTGCTGCGTCCTCTCGAGCATCGACAGATGCCCGCTTCTCATTTTCGTCGTCGATTAATTTCTGCGCCGCAGTACGTGACCGCTCATATCGAAGAGTGACGTCACCTGTCCAACTGGTATTCAGGAGCCGGTCCCAAATGGTGAAAAAAGGCTGAGAGAAATTGGTTTTAATACCCCAGCTTTGATGATGGATGTCATGATAGGCAGCATTGTTGGAGGTGAAATGTTGGAGTACATCAAACGGGAAGGCATAGCCGCAATGATCATCAACCGTTTTGATTGTTGAGCATGTGAAAAACCAAATTCCCTGGCGAGTGGTCATTCTCGTCATGAGAAATGCGATGCCGCCTGAAGCAGTATCGAGGAGACTTTCGAACGGGTGGTTGTACAGGGCGCCAAAGGCATACGGTACGTACAGGCGATGATGGCGAGAATGGATGGTTGCTAGATGATTGTTCTACTGTCAGATGTCTAATTTGGGCAGACAAGCAAAATCCAAATTCTGCTTATTATAGAGGACGATGAACCGGACTTACTGTACAGCCATTTGTTCAGGTGCAGTGCGCGGTGGTAAAAGTATTGAAATGTGTCCATGATAAACGCCGCCAGGACGAATTGGAAAGTCGGTACCAGATACCAGTAAATGGCATGGGCTACATTCATTTCCCAGATAGCAAACGCAGGCACAGCCACGGATGCTCCGGCAGCAGTTGGCACGTTTTGCGTCAACCATGAATATCTGCCACCAGAAATTGCAGCAGCCACTATCGGATACGATGACAGTTTCTTGGCCAATGCCAGAGCATCAATTCCGATCACAGCAAAGGCAGAAGGGATCATATGCTGCATGACTCGCAATCGCCGAGCCCAGAGCGCAACGTTGTATTCATCCTTCCCCGTATATTGAGGTTTATCGAAATATCCTAACGTAATGCCACATGCAAGTTGGATCAATTGTTGCACAACAACATCCCGAACAACTTCCCGTCGCGTGACACGATTCCGTTTTAAAATCTCAGCAGGAGTATGCAAACGGTACTGGGGAAAATAGTCGTTGACGTCAATCCAGTGAAATATCAAGGACACCGTCCAGTATGCTACTATAGTACTGATTTGGCCGAGGGCACTGTCGGGAATCGGAGCGATCAGGGGCTCACGGAGAGTAAGGGTGTAGGCCGGAAGAGGCGGCAGATCCGAGCAAGCCGTTGCATTGGCCATCTTGATGGGTGCTAGAGTCGGGCGGAACAAACCCAAACCCAGCGGGCTCCGGCAGAGGGCAGTTTTCGGGTCGATTACCCAGGAGACGAGGCAGTTAAGGAGATGGATTAATGGGGAGACGAGGAGGGAGTAAAACGCAAACTTTAGCAGCAAGTTAATAGAGAGAACCCAGGATTATTTACCTCCAAAGGACGTCCCGTTTTCCTAGTTTTTCTGGATCTTAATGTTCTTATTCACTCTCGCTAGAAGAATCGAGTTCGATCATCAGCAAATTTACGAAGGTGAGAGGACAGGAAACTTGGTAGATCAACAGATTTATTGCCTTATTTTCACGTGATCGACCGCTCGCCAGCGACGCCCAATCCGGCAACACGCCACCATGGACTCGGGCGGATATAAATCCAAGGTGCTACTAGCTAACTTGTACTCCTACGTAGTTATATTGGCGACAAGCGGCAAGAATTAGAAAAGCCGACCTCGTTGCAAAGCACCACTCGATCTCCTCTGTCTGTGCGCAGATCTTTATGCTGAGGGAACTTGTCACTAACTACGGAGTATTATTCGGGATATTACGAATTTCTAGGTACTAGTAGTAAATCAAAGCTAGTTACTTCTCTTCAGACGATACTATTATGTCCAAGTTTTTATTTGACACTATCGCAAACCAAATAGTCCTTCGAGAAGTCTTCACGAGGAATTGCGTGAACCCGGCAGCAGCAATAATCCCGGGAGGCTATCAAGCACAATCGTTAGTCTTCTGTTGCTGCGGGTGCTCAGGATACAGCCATTTCAACTCCCCTGGCCAACCGGCCAGGACGTTACCTTTATTGTCATCAAAACTGCTTCGGGCATTCCCAGGGTGACACCTATCCTGCTCCAGCAGCAGCGCATCAACAACTTGTGGGGTTGTTGGGAACTTGAGATGAACAAGGGGCTCGAGTTTTCTCGTTGGGCAAGGCTCTTCGGAGATACTAACTGGTACAGGTATTTCTTATGTCCAATGCTGTTCTGGTGATAGGATGCCCAACCCGCGAGTCAAAATGTGTCTCTGTCAACACGCAATCCCAGCTGACGGCTTTCGAGACTTGCATCTTGGAGCCATTTACCAAGATAAAGTAGAGCTTTTCCGGCCAGAGCCTGGTATCAACGAGGTCTCGCGTTTCTCATCAAACCTTGAACGCTTGGTTTACTTTGTAATTGTTGTCTGTTCCCACTTTCCTGAAGCAGTGAATGCTGGAACGATATCGTCGAGCTGCGAGATTCTGACAAGAATGTCATACTCTCAATGATTATATCCCATAAGAGTGATACTTTACCGGGATGTGAAAGGGGAAGGCTGGCGGAGGGCAGGGTATTCACGGAATATCCATCCATAGCATGGCACAACTCTTCCACGAAGACAATAATAGGGTGGTTATGCCGGTCCCAGATGAAGCAGCCATCGTCCAGGTATCCTTCTGGCAACCCACCTATTGCTGGCTGCTTCATCTCATCTGCTTTTCTAGTGGCCTTTCCGTCGGACTCAAATCCTTAGAACCTGAATTCATAAAGACAACTTGGGCAAATGAGAATTGAAATCGCTGTTGTTGTCTGTCAGGTTCAAGTAAACTACCACTGCTAGAATTTCTTGAGTACAATGCTACCCTTGCAAATTGCAACACCTCCAGACAACCTCACAAAAAATAGAATTTACAATCCTTATGTATGTATGTACTACGGAGTATAGTTACATGGTAATATCAACCACATCTAGGGATACACTCGTGTTAAAAATCGAGACCCGTGCTCTGTCTGTCTCTTTTCAGTCTAGCGCCTTGTGCCACCCACGAAACTCTGTTCTCACCAAGATAAAAGGGCTAAAAGAAAAAAAAAACATTTGGTTCCCCCGCTATCTACCTCTGTTCCAAGGCTTCGTTTACCACCAATCCTCCTTATCCTCTGCTTCACACTTCACCGTGTGCAATAAACCCATTCCTCTTCTCTTTTTTTTTAACACGCGCTATATACCACCGCCAACCAAGTCGCCATGATTGTCTATAAGGTCAGCACCCGATGTACCCCGCTCTTCTTGATCCCCCTCTTATGAGCACCTGCGAGATGGACTATCTGTCAATGGCACCACGAGAGCAATACCCACGAAAGGGAGAAAAAAGAGGATATCTGCTGACATTCGCCCTTCATAGGATATCGTCTCAGGGGATGAGATCATCTCCGACACCTGGAAACTCATCGAAACCCCCGGTGGAGTCCTGTGGGAATGCGACTGCAAGAAATATGCCAGGGGTGCAGAAAAATTTCGTCAGTCAACTCTCAATTACCAACTTCACCAACAGCAAAATGTGTTCTTATCTGCTCTGTCCTATATGGATCGTTAACTAAGAATCCTGATATTATAGAGCTTGAGGGTGCCAACCCCTCTGCCGAAGAAGGTGGGGAAGAAGATTACTCTGGTGAAGGCGGTGGAGAGATGGTTCACGATATCGAGGTCTCCTTCCAGCTGAATTGGCTGAAACCAGACGAAAATGGCCAGGAAACTAAACCCTCCAAGGAACAGTTCAAAGCTCACCTCAAATGTAGGTTATATCTAATTTGGGCTGTCTCAACCCACTATCCGGCCGCCTAAGCCATCTCGTTTCTTAGAAAAATATGCTAATTTGACTTCACCTACTGGAACAACAGCATATGTCAAGAAGGTAAACAATGCTCTCAAGGAGAGTGGAGCGAGTGAAGAAACTATCAAGGAATTCCAGGCTGGCGCTCCTGCTGCCGTCAAGAAGATCCTCGCTAACTACGACAACTACGATGTTCTTATGGGTTCATCCATGAATGGTGATGGAATGTAAGGCTTACTTTTTCCATGGATATCTCTGAGCTTACATGGCTTTTTCCTGCCACTATCATATATTAACACAGAAATCATCAGGCACGTTCTCATTGATTTCCGTGAAGATGGAATCACGCCCTTTGCCACCGTTTGGAAGCACGGTTTGGTTCCAGAGAAGGTTTAAAAAAAAAAAACGGAAGACACGAGAGACACTGCTCGAATTCATTTTGTTGTCCTATCATAGCCAATTGCAAAGGATAACAACTGCCCGGTCCAACTTTCACATTGATGATAATGAGATAATTCACCCGCCGCCCATAGCAAACAACCATTTAACTCTCCCAACCCCTGCCCCGCGACCCCTCCTCCCCAACTGTTCTTCTCCTTGCGCTGGCCCCGGGGGTTGGAAGTCCAACTTTCTGTTCCTTTTTCGGCGTCACTGTCTTCTGCACATGCGTTTTCCATCCCAGCCGTTTGATCTTTTATAACGCTAAGCGCCACATGAAATAAAGAAAGTCTAGTTTTTGTCAAAACTATATTTCTTTCCTTTTTACAAATCAAAAGATCTCATTAAAGACAGGGGTGCAATGTGAATTGGGTTTAAAAAAAAATAAAATAAAATAAAAAACCGTCATTTAGCTTCTTAAGTATAGTAACTTTGATATGGTCGTGGTAAATCTGTAAATCATACCTGCTTATTGAACAGGATGTATCAGAAGAAACATATTCTGTATATTTTTAGTTAACTCGTATAAATTGACTGGTTCCCCCTGAGCCTGAAAAGATAAATACTTTATACATCCGCCAACCCGCGATTAGTAGAAATATATTTCATGAACTGGACAGGCCTAACCATACTGCCTAAACTCCATTCTCTTCCTTGCCTGACTCCTCGCTCTATGGAGTTTATGTGTATATCTGCTGAAACACCAAAAACACCGAACCAGAAAAGGAAAAGAATTGGAAACATCGAAAAATCAAACACAGATATAATCTAAACCAAGAGGAAAAGATGGAAAAAAAGGAAAAAGGAAAAAACCCTTCAACTCCCTTAAAACTCGACACCCACTTCCTATTCAAATCCGCCATTCACCCGTCAGGGCCCACGACCGTTGTAATACTCAGCTGCTAACCCAAGATCCATTAATCCCGCGCCCGACTCGTCACCGCTTAGAACAGATTCTCCTCCACCTCCTCTTCCACCGCCGCCACCACCACCACCGCCGCCACCGCCAGCGATAATACCAGTTTCCATGTTCCCACCCACCCCTGCGACTGGCCCCATCATGCCAGTATTGATGCTATCAAGATGCATCAAGTCATCAACGACAGGAAGTGACGGCCCGAAAACGGCATCCCACTGGTCCCAGTCGAATTGGAGGTTAAGAGGATCTGGTAAAGGGTTGTTCGACCTGGGACTGGGAGATTGGAAGGATAAGTTGCGGTTAGGGTTTGGGTTTTGTTGCATATCGATGTTGATGTTGGGTGCGGTGGAGATTGGCACAGGCATGGGGAGGTTCAGCGCCGTAGGATGTTGGGTTGACGTGAAAGTGGGAAGGTTAACGGCGTTATTGCTGTCGTGGCTACTGGTGTTGTGGCTTGTGGAGGAGGTAGGAGTGTTGAATGTTCCTGGTGGTGTAGTGGGATTAGCGGTTGTGGTCGCGGGCGGTGGTGAAGGGAATTGGTATGCGGATGCATCGTTAATAGTAGAATGTGAGAATTGGGGAGAGGACCAGGGTTGTTTGGTAGTGTCGCCCGCCTGAGGGGGTTGGGATGTAGCAGCAGGCCATGGAAATAAATTATCTGGCAGTGGACTTGTAGATGTGGCGTAGTCATGGGAGGAAACACTATTGGCTTCTAGTTTGGTATGGGGATGCCTTTCTTGGATAAATTTGTCTTCTTTATGTGCGTTGTCCCTCACGTTCTGCGCTCGCGCCCGCTCTCGTTCCCTTTGTGGTTTCACCGATTGGCTATTGCTGGGTATATTACGATCGCACGGTTCCTTGACGGGCGTAAAATAACCATCAGCCAAACTTCGGAACGTAGATCCACGTCGTTCCTTAGGAATTTGCATAGCCATGTGCTTATTACTCGGACGCCGAGCCTCCGCCTGTGCCTGTTCTGTCCAAAGTACGCTCGGGTCAAGCCCTGCTTTTAGCCAAGCTTTCTCCCGCAAACGTCGTAACATGTCCCACGCTTCACGGCCGCCGTCTCTTAGGGGCCGAGAAGTTGATATGCCATCCTCACCGCCCACCACGCCTCCATCAGGGCCAGAAAGCGAGAAGATCTTGTCGATGAAGGCGCGGGATTTGGGTGCCTCTGCGGTTTGCGGGCGTTCGTATAGGTCGATAAGCATTATCCTGCCCATCCTGTTAGGTCAAAGAATAAAAGTATGTAGATGCGGGGTTTTGGGTGGCATACATTGTAGCATGCATGGGTTGGTGGTTACTATGGTTGAATTTAGCTCATATCACCAATATATATTCTTGGGGGGCATTAAAGACTTACCCTGGCCAGCTCCATTGAAATGGCTGGAAATCGGGATCAGTAGCTAGCAGAATAAATTTTTCCATGAACCCATGACAATGGCGAAGAGCGCTGGCTTTGGTTAGCTGTCATATATCAAAGTAACGACCAATATCTGCGCCAATGTTATCTCGAGGGATACATATATACATACCACTGACGAGCAACCGGCCATATTTTGCTTTTTGCATTTTTCAAAAAAGGTTGATATGCAACACAAAATGCCTGGAGCGCGTGTCAGCATAAAAACAACGCAACGAAAAGCCAAAATTAGGTTACCTTGTCGACGAAAAGGGAAAGTAATATCCTAGCCCACTTGTGAAAAGCAACCAGGACTGGGGAGTGATACTGCTCTAGGCAGCTAGGACCGATGTCAGATGTCGTAGATTCATTAGAATCCATAGCTGTAGATGCAGAACATGATGGAGTGGAGTGGTAGCTGGAGGCATCGCGGCTGGTAGGGCTCACGGATGTTGATACCGGTATCCGATCGACTATTGCCTTTAATTGAGATTGAAGGTCAATCAAAATTGTACGCAAAACTTCCATGTCCCGTCGAGTAACTGGTTTGGTCCCTAATTGAATCTTCAGGATCTTTCGAATCGCCTCTGAGGTGAAGAATTAGCACATAATTAGCATCTCGCAACGAAACTAAATAATAGCATATAGGCGGACTAACGAGCCATAACATATTTTCCTTTCGCAGATAGATAATACACATTCACCATGGATGAACCTGGGCACATATTCGGATCACTTGGGCAATCCGGTTTCCGCTCATTGCTGTTAATCATGCGTTCGTACTCTGCCGCTTCAGGGGTATCTAAAAGAGTATCTTTAACTTCGCTTGTAATGCGTACATCCCAGTAATTTTCATCACTCACAAGAGGAGGGAGGCCGCTGGACATCGCTACTACGCCATCCATATGGACAATATGCCACCATATGCGTCTTCTAGCCTCTGCCTGACAAGCTGAAATGCCAAACTGAGCAGGGTCTCTGTGCAACCCCATGGTTTGGGCAACACGAAGGGCAAGGCTAATGAACAAGCTACTCGCCAGCGGCTCTTCTTCTCTAGATAAAATAGTCTGTACAAGAAGGAACGCCTTGAGCCCATGGATTGAGGGGTTTCTGGGAAACGATATTCTGCGAAGCCAACGAGTAACTTCGTCATGGAAAATGGTAGACAAGGCGGCCCGATTTTCGACGTCAAACTCATCGCGGATCGTCCAGAGCGATATTGTAACAGAGCCACCGTACCAGATGGCATAAAGAAGTGGAATAAAGGAAGGATCAGGACAAGGTTCTCCAGATTCCCCGGAATTCTCGTACCAATTCCAGAATGCCTTATATTTTTTGAGAATCGAAGGGGGATGCACCACCGGGCTAATAGCATGCACTCCAGACATGAATCCTTTATACAAAATGCCGCTCTGTCGTTTTGTAGGGACATTCTCCAACATATTTGATTCAACTGGTTTATCCAGTGATCCCGGTGGCTCGCCCAATGGGAACAGCACTGATTTGCTAATCGAGTCCTTGCGGGTATGTGGTGTTGTCTTTGTTCCGCGACTACTGCCTGGAGGCGTCAAATCCTGGAATTCATCTTCATCCAAAGAAGAATAGTCATCACTTGGACTGGCTGAGCGATCATTAGAGAGGGTTTGGCCTCGCAGTAGCCGGTTAAGCTCCGTTATCTGCGGTTAACAGAAATCAGTAGCTGCTAGGTTACACATTGGATGTTTTCGTGTGATTGTACCTCGCGCGAGATGTATGCCCAATAGGTCGTTCCAACGTATCTATAAAACTTTGTCAACCAACTTCCAACATCTGTAATCCACGCCTGCCTGGACTTCGAGGAAAAACCAACCTTGATTTCCCACCTTCTTCCAAACTTAGGTGGCCCAAATTTAACGACCCAACCGGATCAACAAGGTCCGTTTCCAGGCCGCTCGGGATCGGAAAGTCATCACCGGTGCTATTTTCAGTATGCCCTGTTTGGCACTGTCGAGCTTTGGACGACTGACCAGCAGGGGACGAAATGTCCGCTAACTTCAGATAATCAGTCGCGCCTCGCTGCTGAAATTCAGCATCAATTGGCGTATCATGTATCAGCCTCTGGCCGGCCGTATTAAGTTTTTCGAGAGACTGAGGCCCATTTGTTCGAGTCCATTTCTCAACAATGGCTGTGAGTTGATCCAACCTGGAGGCAATAGCTTGTGAATCTGAAAACTGTTCGCGCAGCGCAGCCTGACCCCGCTGTATCTCTCTCAATATGTGGTACGGTGTTTGCACTTCGACAGATGAACTTTCAACAACTACGGGGTCGTTTAGTTCCCTCTGCCGCTTAATACCATGACTATTATCTCCTGAATGGTGCGGTGACTGGGAGAAATCAGTCAGGGACGAAGAGTTGTATACACATTCGGATTTCGTTTTTTCACAAGTTCCGCATGTCGGACGGGCCTACCGATTGAAAACCGGGTTAATTAGCAAGTCATATAGCTTATCGCCTAGATATTCCGCATAGTTTATCTTTAAATACATACGGTGTCGCATTTCACTTTGCGCCGCCGACAGATAAGGCAGCTCTTGGTGATTCGGAAGCGAGTGATAGGCTTCGGTGCGGGCAAGTACGACCTCCTCCTGCGTGATGCATGAGTTGAAGACGTAGCATGTATATCTTTTGGCTTGGTATCATCAGCAGGGAGTCTGGCAACTGAGTTGCTGTCCTGCATAGCTAGTTCCCTTGCTGATTCCCATGCCTGGCGATTGGCCATCCTCGGCCTCGAGGCTAAGAGTAAGCGGGATTAGAAGAATTGATCCAAAACCAGTTGTATAGACAAGGGAAAATGGAAAAGGTCAACTGCTTGTACAAAATATTCTGAAGTGACTCGGGTGCTTGCAAGGAGTCTGAGTCCAGAGCCACGGAGTGGGGTCTATCTGGGGTTGCGAGAACTACGAGCACCTATTCTTAATGACTCAAAAACAGCACCACGAAGCACACGCCACCGTCAGGACCCATGGAAACGAGGGGAATTAGGAACAAAAATATATTTGACTAAAACATGAATACTCCTAACGTCTATCGTGTTTACTCTGATTGCTTGTTAGAGCCCTCTATTTATTGTATTATTGCACACCTGCCAAAAAAGCCCCAAGCAAAATGTCTACAAAAGGTATTGCCATTGCTCTTCTCATGTGCTAGACAGATGGACTGGAAACGTAGGATTTGTACCGTTCTAGAGACTGAAGCACGTTTCATATCTTAATGAACTCTTTGTTTCGAACAAGTAGAAGGGGTGGACATCACTTAAGAAAGTCCGAGACAAACAGTACTCTTTCGCATATGCAGCACTCCTTCACCCACGATAAGGTGCCGGTAGATGATGATTTGGATGGGAGCAGAATGTCCATCACCATTCAAATATACCCAACCAGGCGTTTAAAAAACTCCGTCCATTGGGTAAAAGTCCCCCATTGCCCCTGATCTGCTAATTCGTACTTCTAACACTCCAGATTATAATACCTTGCGCCCCTGCTCAACTCGGTCAAAGAATCAAGCCTTTGCCTTCTTCTTTTCCTTCTTCTTTTTGGGTTCGGGGACGCTCCCAGGCATAATTGGCATATCTCCACCTAATCCTTGCTGTTGCATTTCCAACATCGCTTCCTTAAAAGGATTATCACTCACACCTCCGCCCGTGAGTGCCGGCGAATGGAATGGCAGGATAGTTCCAAGCTTCCAGCCCCGCGGCGCGGCAGGGGGTGGTATGGGTTTTTCTGGTACAGAAAGCCCGCGGATACGTAGACGAAAAGGGGATTCTTCCGTGGTTGGATGTTCGTGGAGATATTGCGCCACTTTGATATAAAGGTGATGTTCTGCACGAAATTCAAGGAGGATTAGATCCGATACTTACGCTGAAGTGGGCGATGGGATGGTGAACTAAAGTAACATACTGTTTTTGACAATATCAGTTACTGGTGTGCCATCATCGGTCTTTAACTGTACCCTAACTCGGCCTGGATTTGCCCAATCTTTCGGGTGTAACTTCTCCGGCTCCAAAATCCCGACGCGTAGTCCTAGCACCTGTACAGCATCCAAGATATCTCGGGCAAGTGGATTCTCTACAGCCAACTTCTTATTGACCTTCCTTCCCTCGGCGCGAGAACGAGTTTTGTCGAAATATATGGGATATAGGCACTGATAGTAGCGGGGGATATCTCTGTTGTCGATTTGGGGAGGGTAGGATTGCGCAGGGGCTGAGGTTTGGGCCTGCGGGGACAGCCTTGATGTAGTCGCTGAGGGAATATTGGCAGGGGATATAATAGAATTCGCAGGCAAGTTGGCGGGGTCGAAGTCGGCGGGATCCATATCATCTGGATCGGAATCCGAGACCTCCTCCACCCTGGCATGACGGGACATTGGGCCAGCAGGCGGGGTGTGTGCAATGGCTAAGATATCTGTCAGAGTGGGCACTAGCTTATTATTTCCGAGTTAGGTGGCAGTTGGGATAGAAATTAGTGTCGACAGTTATTCTGTTAGAAATTTGGCTATAGATATTCTACCAGCTATAATTCGTCGTATATAATGTCGTGTCAAGAGGAGTGTTGGAAGTAGAAGTAAAAAATAAAATGACCATGCGGCTCAGCGAACTAGTAACTTTATTAAGTGGCTAGTTACTCGTGGCTACCATAGGTTTTAAGTAGTTTTTTTTTTTACTATTCAACACCAAAGCCCAAATACTTCTGTCTCATGAGAGCTGCTTGGCTACAACACTGCTTCAGATATCAAGCTGCTCCACTTATCTCAAATATTTTGAGGGTCATACCTCCCCGTCTCTGCAATGTCGTTATCCTAGATATGTTAAATTGCCAAGGATACCAGGAGGTACCCAAAGATGCTCGTAACTAAAGACTAACTACAGATCTGTATACATGTTTACATATGAGATGGCCAACCTCCAAAAAAGATTTGTGGTTGCTTTCAGACTTGGTTGTCAACTTACGCAGGAATTGTCCCACCCAATGATTACTACCGATGAAGGTCATGCATGGTATTGGTATTTCTATTTGAATTTCTAGAAGGTCGCAGACGTTTCAGCCATATTCAATGAATCACTCGTGACTTATGAGTATGAAGGCGTGGAAAAATAAGTCCTCGCACACTAGAAATATAAATGGAAAACTCAATGTGGGAGCTCAAACAAATCAAGTCCTGGTCACGAGTTACCTAGCATTTAATAGTTAACTAACTATAACTAGTTAGTAAGTCAACTAACTATAAATTTCTAGCTTGTGCAGGGACTCTTTCTAATAGTAGATTATTGCAGTGCTCGGCCATAAATATTGGCAACCCCACCACAAGCTTTGTGCCTTCTTGTGGTAGAAAAGTAGTGGGGGTTGCCAATACTTATGACCTCCGCTGTACACAGTATGGAGTACAGATACCCTGCAAAAAGAATTCACCTGGAATCATGTTACTAGTTCAAAGAATCCCAAGCATAGACTTTCTGGCATTGGTTTGAGATTCTACATGGCAATCCCTCCTGCCATCATCCTAGCATCGGCCTGCTAGTCTTGATGTCACAGGATCCGCCCTCCTATGACACTTGGGTCTCACTCCAGCGACCCAATTGAAACCCTGATCCCCTACGTCAAGGGAACACAAACCGTAGATGGCCGCTCCGGCGCCTGAGATGCAGGTTGAACCAGGATTCAACGATCCTCTCTCAGCTAATTGGCCCCGCATGACGGAAGAAGCCAGTAAGAACACTCACGGATCCCAACATCCGGCCAAGTTATCCTGTTCGGAATGATATCTCATGGAGTCAGTCTGAACGGGCCCTACCATACATCTATCTCAATAACGAACACCGGCTTCCAGCATAATACAGCAGATAACAACCTTTAGTTACCTACCCCTGGTACCCCACTTCAATGCAAGTTTTGTGTATGGATATTGATACGGACGGGTAAGAAGATAATAATAAGATAATAAGATATCACAAATCCGAGCCCTTACGTTGTCATCCGGAAGTCAAAATAAAAGATATAGCGGACAATGGCAAGTTGCCTGGTAAGTCTGGAAGTTCTATCATTCCTGACCATTTAGTCCGCTCTTTACAGATCTGTAAACACCCTTAGAATGTTGGCTGGTGCAATTAACCCGAAACCCTAATCGCATAAGACAGCCCGAGCATGTATCCTCTGTAGCTCGAAAAAAAAAAAAAAATTGCCGTCAAAAAATCATGGACGCTTGAATATCAATTACGATTCCATGCGCTATCGACCCACGCGGATTGGTGGAAATGTAACAAGTTTATTTCCTTTGTGGCACAACTTGAGCGTTCACCGCCTGGCAAATTCGCTGAGATAAACGGCTCTCTGTCTTCTTAAAGGTTTGCCATGTCTCGAGACAGCCGGATGCAGCCTCGCCGTCTCTCTTTTCTGTGGCAAGAGCTCTAGTTCTCTCTTCCACCTCTGTTTCTCAACCTTGGTCAATCTCATTTGTGCAATTGCTCTCGCCATTGTTTTTCTCTCTTGCGCATTGCGCAGTCCTCGCTCCTTGCTACAACCATGTCAGCCTCGATATCCGGCAATCGAGATCTCCCTACATCCAGGCATGATCTGAGTACGTACTGGGGTAGAGTCAAGCAGGCTGCGGAAATCTCAGACCCCAGGTAGGCTTCTTTCACGCTCATCCTAAACCTTCCGATTCGGATTGCGAGACGAAAACTTTTCTATTATTCCATTTTCGGCATTCACTAATCCCTGCCAATATTGTATCCAGGACGCTCTTTGTCTCCTCTGCTGGTCTGGATAAGGCCAAAGGCCTCGTCGCCTCGTATAAAGCTGGCCATGTACCATCGATGACACCGGAGTTGTGGTGGGCGAAAAGAATCATCGATTCAACTTTGCACCCTGGTATGCTGCCAATTACTCCCTTTGCTCTAAGTCAATTTGCAATAACAGGGATTCAGTATTTTAATGACCAAATCCCTATCTAGATACCGGTGAACCAGTCTTTCTCCCCTTTCGCATGTCATGCTTCGTTCTGTCCAACTTGATTGTGACTGCGGGAATGCTCACCCCCGGCCTCGGTGTATGTCTCCACTCTCCCATCCCCCTTTTTAATACCGGTCCAACCAGCTCACTAAAGAAAGTAGACAAGAGGCATCGTGCTCTGGCAAATTGCCAACCAGTCTCTAAATGTCGCCATCAATAATGCCAACGCAAACAAGTCCACTCCTCTCTCCTACTCCACTATGGCAAAATCATACCTCATGGCCGTCTCTGCCTCCTGCTCCGTCGCGCTGGGGCTGAACGCCATGGTCCCCCGTCTAAGGCGAGTGTCTCCCAATACGAAATTGATCCTGGGTCGCCTAGTTCCCTTCGCAGCCGTCGCCAGTGCTGGCGCACTGAATGTATTCCTAATGCGCAGCGAGGAAATCCGCAAAGGAATCGACATCTACCCAGTCCTATGCGACGAGGAGAAAGCGAAGCGAGAAGTTGACGGAGAATTGGAGGTGCAGAGTCTGGGGAAGAGCAAAAGGGCTGCCACGTTAGCGGTGGGGGAAACGGCGATCAGCCGAGTGCTCAATGCGACTCCAGTCATGGCTATTCCCCCCTTGATTCTCGTACGGCTGCAGAAAACCCATTGGCTGAAAGCGCGACCTCGACTTGTGATGCCTGTTAACCTGGGTAGGCTCTTTCTCTTTTACACGCTCTCTCTACCGTGGTATATAAGTATAATGGATATTTGACTAATTTCTATTCTTTCTTCAGGGTTGATCTTAACAACCTCCCTCTGTGCTTTGCCGTTCGCGCTTGGCGCATTCCCGCAACGACAAGCGGTTAGTGCGCGGTCGCTGGAAGAGGAGTTCTGGGGCCGTGGTGGCAAAAACGGTGAGGTTGAATTCAACAGGGGTATATGATCTTCCTCTTTGATTACAAAAAACTTTTCTTAAAGTCACTATTTGGTCTTCTATCCTCTCATTTCTATATTGGGTATTTTTTCCCCTTCTCTTTCCCTGGTTTTATCCCAAGTCAGCGCCTTAGACATGCATGTTTCTTGATATAACTGATTGCAATAATCACATAGATGTTCCATCTTGGAACTATAGAGCTCCCTCTGCTGTTCCGTTCATAATGGAGATAAATAAAACTGACGCTGACAATTGTACGGCGTGTCCTTTTTCACCTTCTTACGTTCCTCTTCTGTCCGCGTCTCTCTGCGAGTAATCCCAGCTGATCCAGCCAGTTCCGATTCCCTGCCTTCCCCACGAAAAAATATCAGCATTATCGCATGGCGAATCTAGCGGCTTCGTATCCAATCTCTATTTACCCATTATGCATTGCTAGCATCCTATTGTTAATTAAGATATATTCGACTTCGGAGAATAACATTTCAATACAACTAGCAAAGAAAATCAGCGTACAAAGTTGGTATCATCAAATATCAAACGCGATCAACTTCTTCCTCGCAGCAACAGACAAGGAAGCACTATTCTTGAAAAGCCCGTCGATCATGAAATCCTTGAAGACTCTCTACAGAGAATCGAGATCAACATACCCGCGAGGGTAGATATGTTGTATCATATAAGATGCCCACGCCATATGATGGAGATCGTGGGGACACTGAAAGTCACATTATCGTGCCAGCCGTGCAAAGTTCGAAAGGCAGGCCACAAAACATATGGTGGAGGGAACACGGACATGGTGATGCTCGGGTAAAAATGAGTCCCTGCCGTATCCTATTTTTGACTCGAGGAGGCTCTGATCTGACGCAGAGATGATCTGATGGCTAATCTGTGTGATATCAGTTATGTTTGGAAGGATTTGTGACTGCGGATGGAGCGAAATATGGATGTCCTCAGTTTCAAGGTTGAAGTGGCTGACCAGCGGCGGTCGGGATTTTATTGTAATCACGACGCAGTCCTGGTCTGTGCAGATATCTAAGCCAGCGCGGCCCAGGATCTGTTCGGCTTTTGGGGTCTTTTTGTCAGGTACTGCGAAGGCGGTTTTCTGTGCAGAAGGTTAGTTAGTCGTTGTCCCATTGAAGCTGTGCGGGAACAGAGACCTACTGCATAAATGGCTGGGGGAAGGTACCATGTAGACAGTCAAAGGATACTAGTAAAGCCCCATAGCACGCTCGGTACGCCGCTTGCATCAAGGAGTCGAGACACTGAGGCAATCAAGGTTTCACCAAGAGGAAACAGAAAGATTCTGAGAAGCCATGCCATGCTAGTTTCAGTGTGCCATATCCAGAGGTACATAGAACACGAATGCATGTTGGGATTTTAAACGGTTGACCCGTGGCTGTGCTTATCCTCGTATAAAGGCTTCCTAATTGGTGCGCGTACACTTGACCGGGGTTCAAATTTCCGGCCGGAAAATGCTCTTGTTGATCGGGATCTTGTGGAACTATTATAGTCTGCCTACGTGCCTCCTGGACTGGTAACTATCAGCACTATTAATCCAGCGAATCTTCCATATGTATCCCTGGTTGGCCTGCGTCCCACATGTGACAAGAAGATTCAGGGTACCCTTGATGCTGTGGCTATAGTCGACATGCTTACGCAACTTGGACCGATCCCGCTCACGAATGAGCCAAAATAGGCAATCCGTGTTGGTATCGAGGATGTATCAACTTGGAGCAGGCGAGATGCGCGGATATTAGTTAAAATTGGTGTAACCACATTCTGGCGGGGTCCCGGTCTAATTAATTAGCAAATCGATCATAAATTATCCCTTGGAGATAGTTACGAGTAACTAGATCAAAGCTCCATTCATGGCCTTTTGTTTGAAGCAAAGCATACGACGAGACATCCACCACCTTTTCAACATTGAAACCATGAGACTGCTTAGAATAATATCCCCGCTGGTTGCTAAGCACTCGCTTTACTTTGCCGTTTCGCTTCCTCAACTACAAAATCAAAATTAAAATGGATATGCCCCAAGGCTCACAAACACAACACGTTCGGATTCTTCCAACACGCCTCCCCGCTCAAATCACTAGAGAACCCTAAGATAATTGTGCTCCTTACATGCACTGGGTCGACCGCCCGCGAATCATCGGTAATGGGGATATGCTGTGTGAACACCACAATCTTCCTATCAGATTCAGATGTCGAAAGGGCAGCAACTCGCTCATTCAGCCACACTAGCTCCACCGTATGCGAAGTGTTGTGGTCCGCCACTGTCCACCCATCAATGCAGTAGAAGTCGTTGAGCCCAAAACTGACATCTGTCTCCTGCTCGGATGTGATATAGGTGTAAAATGTGCATCCCAGCACGGTTATCTTATCACAGAGACCAAATCGTGCACGATCTAGGAATACAAACTCTCCTATCCTAGACTCGGACCCCGAACAACAACCTTTGCTTCACCAGTGCCGCAAACTCATCAGCCTTCTGCCGGACTTCCTTCCAGCTAGAATGATACGGCTCATGATTACCCAGGAGGAAGTAGACCGTCTTAAAGTTCTGAAGCTGGGTCTCAATGAAGACGAAGAAGCCTGAATCACAGGCGTTCCCCACGTCGCCTGGGAGTGCGAGGTGTGGCGCCCGCGCAGGAATGTCGAAGAAGGAGTATGCAGGGGGCTTTTCAAGGTGGAGATCTGAGAGGATTTGAAATGGATGTGCTGAGCATGGCGGTGATCTGGAAGGTACGGGGTTATAACGAGGTGTGGCTGTGTCTCTTATGATGATACCGTGAGTCAAACGGTTCATATGTTAAGTCCCAACAAAGAGCAGCTTTGAGAGGTTGCAGTCAAGAGTTGTTGAGATGGGAACAGCGGAAAAAGCATAAGTAGGACTTTGTCATCGAACTGGCCAACCTCAAAGAACCCGCCATAAACTCAAGCTGAGACGAATTTGTATCTCAGAACGCGGTACGTCTCCTGGGGTTGGTTTTATCTTGTACTAGTACTAGATATAAACCGCCCTCTTGTGATGAAGCGTTCTCAGGTTAGGGCATGGGATTATGTTGTTCCGCACCAACGCTCCGTGTTGTGAATAGGTTTCAGGAATTTTGGCCTCATTGATCGCAGCCAGCGAATCTGAACGCGAACGGGCCGATTCCCCTGCCTGAACTCTCCTCTCTCTATTAGACAGTAGGAGGCATCTTCAAGAGGGATCTCCAATAACACCACCGCTTCGCCTTGCTCAGGGACAAAAGGCAACGGCTAAGTCTATCAAAAGGGAACGGTGGCATGAACCCTGAGCACGATCCTAACAATGACCATTTTGCAGGCTGCACCTGCGAGGGTAGAGTAAAGCATTCAAAACAGGTTGTCAAGAACACCAGAGCAGAAAAGAAAATGCTACTATCTCGGCGCTCTCTCCCACAAGCATCCCCTAAACGAATTTAGTGTGCCCACAAAATGTAGCATATAGCATACTGCATAAATCGAAGAGTGGCAGCCCAAATGGTTCTTACTTCTATTGTTATATCATCGATATCTGCCTTTGGCTACCTATCAGGCCTGCAGAGCGAAGCGCAGAAGGGTTTCATAAGATGGCACATCGCGTGGGTGAGGCATACTCTACTTGATATTGCTGGGTTGTTTGCGAGGGGCGTTTGGCTCAAAGGGGCATTTGAGAGAAACTCTATCCCGTTTGATAGGGTTCTTCAATCCATGGAGAGACCGCATACAAGGGAGGGTAGCCCAGACCAGTCTGCTTGTCGAACTTCCTTCTCCCGAATTGAGGGGTGTATTAATTAATAGGATTAAATGGCTGTCCATGCCGCACTGTGCGTGCGTACGATGTACGGGATGTTGATACGTAGTGAGTTGTTAACAAGTATACTGAGTTTAATATGTAACTGGGAGACGAATACTAGGTTGTTGCTCCGGCAATAACTTGAGAACCTATACACACGACCCGACAGCCTAACGCCACCTGTTGGATAGAAGGTAACTGGTTATGTTATTTGAATGTATTCTGCACAAAATAATAAAAATACTAGTATTAACATTCAGGGAAGAGGTGATCGGGAAAGATATCAAACAACACACAGAAACAATAAATAATATTTAGTGGGCTTTGCCAGTTTTTCCCGCAGGGCGAAATCCATCTGAATAATAACATTGCTTGACTGGATGAGGCTTTCGCCTTTGTTGCCATCGCTTCTACCGCCCTCACTGGGTATATTTATATGACCAACTTGAGCATTGACGATCACGCAGGTGGAAGCCCCAGCGGTCACAACCAGACACACACAGAGAGACACACACAGAAAAATGTCCCCCGTATTCGCTGGAATCGACATAAACAGCCCAACCCTTGATTGGATCCACATGACCTGCTATACACCTGCTATCGTCACAGTAGAGATGGGCTGTATGTCCTGAACACCGCAGCTACTCCGATGTATCTGCAGTAGTCAGCGCTCGGACGGAACAACGTCTATCCTAACCTTAGGAGCCTCCACACTGCCTCACCCCCGAGCCCTTGCGACAAATTTCTTCCTCGCCTTCAGTCGGACTCGCTGCCATCCAGTGTGTCAGTCCGTGAGTGTCATTCCATCGCCGGCATCCTCATCTCTCAGACCCCTTGCACCAGTCTGCTCGTATTTGCTCTTCTCTGGCCCAGCCTGCTCTGTCTGGCTCGCCTCTGCTCCTCAGCTTCCCGGCTGGAGAAGCCAAATATAGAGGCCCCCCCCCCCCCGACCACTGCCACTACCACCCCCTTCTCCTCAACCTCACCTCAACCTCACCACCATTTCCCTGTCACGATACCCTCATTATTTCCCTATCCGCCAGCATCCGTCCATCTTATATCTGTCTTCCACCTACCTTTCGTTGCTGTTAATTCTGGATGATTCTCACGCCGATGTCCATGGCTCGCTCTTAGCCCTCACTCTTGGAGTGCCTCTCCTTTTTGCCCTTTGCTCGGTGGCCATCAAGAGTGATTTTCTCTATCTTTTTCCATTCGAATTTTTGCTCCCTTGGGCCCCTTCGAAAAGCCAATACAAAAGGAGGTTCTATTTCTCTTGGCCTTTTCTTCGCCCGCTGGTTATTCCAGCTGCCATTAGATATAACTATTTCTCATAACGGATGATGTCGACCCCTTCGACTGTCACCGCCACTCACCCATCGCGTCACACCCACTATGCGTACCCGCACCAGCCATATCACAACCCGGCCAATTCCTACGTTTATCCTACGAACACCACTGAAACCTCCTCCCAGCCTAATAGTGAAACTCTCCCTCTCCTTGCGCCGCCAAAACCCATCTCCACCTCCTCCATAAACCATTACCAGGCCAACATGGCGCCCCACCAGACGCTGCCGTCATCTTCTGCTATACTACCTACTGCCCAAAGCCGGAGGAGAAAACCAGACTGGGCCGAATTCTACAAGAATGGGGTGCCGAAAGAAATAATAGTCATCGACGACGATGACGACGATGTCCATCCAGACAACGTGAACAGTCAGGAAAACAATCCTACCTCCACACGCCAAAATTTTCCACTCTCACATACCGCTGCGCGGTCTGGCATCGCGTCCGGCATCAACGACATCAACGGCACCTCCCACGCCGCCCCTGCAACCAAACGAAGACGGACCGGCATGGAAACCGCAATTGATATGTCATACTATGACCGGCCCACGTTCTCCATTCACCCACAGCAATACGGCGAAGATTCGTCAGGCACCTCCGTCTCTACGGATCGAACGGCCTCGCTGCACACGACTGCCCCAACATCAATGGGCTCCCACGGTAGTGACCCGTCAACCAATATTTATTTAGAAGACACTGCTGCCATTGGCCAGAAGCGGAAGCGGGTGGTGACTCGTAAATCTGCTCGTGATGAACAGAAACGGAGGGAGTTGGAGGTTTCTGGAGATGCATTTATCAGTTATATACCCCCTCCAAAACCTCCCATAAAGGCTAAAGAGGTGCCTGTGCCAGTAATCCGAGATGTATACCATCCCCCCTCTCCGTTATAAATCAACTTCGCCAGCCATAGCTAACAGATCTGAACAGTACCATTCTAAAAACCAGAAGGTGGACGATGATGATGGACACTACATTGTCACCCCAAACACTGATTTGACAGAGAGATGTGAGTGCCTCTTCCCTTATCGACTTTGGTGAAATATTTTACTAAGTGGCATAAGATTCCATTATCAAACTACTCGGTCAAGGGACCTTCGGAAAGGTGGTGGAGGCATATGACAGACAAAAGAAGATACGCTGTGCCGTCAAGATTATCCGGGCAGTGCAGAAATATAGAGAGGCCTCTCGGATCGAACTGCGGGTGCTCTCCACGCTGGCCTGTAACGATAGAGCTAATCGCAACAAATGCATCCATCTCCGGGATTGCTTTGACTTTCGAAATCATATCTGCATCGTGACAGATCTCCTTGGTTCGAGTGTCTTCGATTTCCTCAAGGGTAACGGATTCGTGCCATTTCCAAGTAGTCATATTCAGAGCTTTGCTCGACAGCTCTTTACCAGCGTTGCCTTCCTCCACGATCTCAACCTGGTCCACACAGATCTAAAGCCCGAAAATATCCTCCTAGTCAGCAATGCCTACCAAACCTTCACATACAACAGACCTGTCCCATCAGCTTCTCATACCTCCTGTCGAAACGCCCGACAACGGCGTGTTCTCCTGGACAGCGAAATCCGGCTAATCGACTTCGGATCCGCAACTTTTAACGACGAGTACCACTCGTCCATCGTCTCGACGCGTCATTACCGGGCACCGGAAATCATCCTGAACCTAGGCTGGAGTTTTCCCTGTGATATCTGGAGCATCGGCTGTATCCTTGTGGAATTTTACACAGGTGACGCCCTCTTCCAAACTCATGATAACCTCGAACATCTGGCCATGATGGAGAGTGTCTGTGGGGGGAAGCTCGATGCGAAACTCGTCAAACAGGTTATGCAGGGTCGTGGTGGGAGTGTCAATGCAGCATCTAAGTATGTTTCCCTGTTCCCCTTCTCTCCTTCCTTTTCCCCCACTCCCCCTTTTCCTTTTCTTTTGTTTCTCCCTTGGTATGTAATTGCCTAACTGGAAAACCAGATACTTCAACCGGAACAGACTGGACTACCCCAATGTCGAAACGTCGAAAGCATCAAGGAAATACGTCCGTGCCATGAAACAGCTCCATGTACGCCATTACCCAACCCTTCACCAGTTCCTTTTTGATACCGATTGTTAATTTTAAACTCGATACTAACATCACCTCCCTCCCAGGAATTCATTCCAGCGACGACTCCTTTCAACAAACACTTCCTCGACCTCCTCCGCCGCATCTTCGTCTATGATCCCAAATCGCGCATCACGGCAAAACAAGCGCTCAAACACCCCTGGTTCAAGGAATCGATCATCGATGACGGTACCGAGGCGCTGAGGATCGGGCAGCAGATCCGTAAAGACCTTGCCGCAACAACAGTGTCGGCTTCGAAATAGACGATGTTGTCTACCTAATTGTCTTCCTCTCTCCCAACTCTTATTTCTCTTTTTTTACTCTTTTTTTATAGGGACCAGGGTATATTAGTGAATGATTTGGTATTTTTTATCTATGTGTGGATTTCACATAGTATTCCATATGAGTGTTCATGAAGTGATGAATGTTTTTCTTTGCCTGCTTATCCACCCGCCCGTCTTATGTTTTGTGCTCTGCCGTGCCTAATATGGGTGTTTTAAACCCACAACACACAACACACAACACACAACACTTCACGCCTCTGCCCAACATTATTAACATGTTGGAACATCAAATACAGCAAGGACATAGAACAGATGAGATGAGCAACAGAATGGCGGGCATTCTTGGAAGGGTATTAATTAGTTATTGCTCCTTTTCGACTTGGCTAGGTTGGTTTAGTATGAGGATTTATCCTATTTCTCTTTAAAGGGGCAACCGGCTGGTGGTTGGAGGGTGATGCGTAATGGAAGTCCGGAGGATGGACCGGATGTTTGTTTATTACTACGTGAAGTCCCTTTCATGGGGAATCAGCTATATATAACATATGTCGTTTCTTGTACCTAGACTTATGTTTTGTTTTTCCAATTTCTGCAACTGTTATATATATATATATATATATTCCCTTTTGTTGGGCATTGTCAGAACTCTCTTTTTGAGCCATGTAGATGTACGACAAGCTGAAGATATAGTTATGGTAATCGTCCATGCCATGCTTGAATGTTTAATTATGCTATTATTGTTGCTAGCCTCTGTGCACCTATTGATGACATGAGGAACCTGAATGGCTAGGACGAAAGAGAGACGGAAGGAGGGAAGGGGATGGATAGAGAGTGATTCCCATATCTTCACATCATATCCATCCGACTCCTTGTAGCATGCTTCTGCTATTTTATCACGCTGAGTGATTGGTTCTGGTTTTTCATCTTGTCTGTACAGTATATTTACCTACTTCATAGACGCGAGTATCACAAACAACAACTTCAAGAGTTGCGTAGACCAAAATTTCTAATAACTGCTTCATGAGTGATGGTTATGAGTGATGCCTGATTTACCACCCCTGGATAAATTCCAGTTCCCTTATAGAGCAAATGAAATAAAAAGTATAAGAATAAGAATGAGACGCAAGACTTGTTTTTGAGCTTTCTATCTATGGTAACCTACTTCGAACACAATGGGGAGAGGGCGAAAGAAAAGCACAAATCCATAAATTCCAGGGGAAAGCCAAATAAATAATCGACAATAATGACAAAACCAATAATACAACAGATGATTAAGGTAACATAGTGACAAGCAAATCCAAAATCTCAAATAAATAGCCCAGCAACCTCCCCTCATTCCTCTGCCACATTTCTTAAAGCGATGCCCACATTCGCACTTGGCCAATTCCAGGGAAGATGGGAACACGTCCCTTGCCTTTATTCGGCCGCTGGGTGGTATTCAGATTTGGATTCTGACTATCATTAAGTTGTCGCTGTGGCCCTGAGGGATGCGCCAGAATTATCCTGGGACGGGGCAAAGTAGTTTTTATATTGTTCGTTAGTTGATTGAATTGACACTCCGATATAAAATATCGCAGCACTCCAGGAGACGAAAAAGAGCAATTAAGAAACTAAATCACCTACCACTGAACAGAAACGCCTATCCTCTCTTGCACAACGCTCCACACAGACCCCAGTTTCAATCCCTCTGATTCCCCATTGCCCCTCCCCACTCCCCTCCGTCTCCCCCCAATGCCCCTGCTCCTGCTCCTGCTCCTGCTAAATCTTGCCATGCCGCCCTCGAAAGCTCAACATCATACATTGAGCAGTTCCCACAACTGCCTGCGACCGTAGCAGCTACCACCTTGGTCAAAAGGGGATTGATAACAATAATGGAAGTGCCGCAGAGATCCGTGCTGTTGGAGTGAGCGCTGCTGTTGCTGGTTCCTTGTCCCACCCTGAAGAGGGCTGGGTTGACGTATGCGAGAGGGGCGGAGAGCTCGGAGGCAGAGGAGTTATAATTATGTCTGAATGCACAGGCGGGGGAGGTAGTAGCTGTAGTTCCATTCAGACGATGCTGGGTGGGTAGATTGAGACGGGCGACGGCGTCTGTTATGAGTTCACCTGGTTGGACGGTCGGGGTGCGTTGCCTGCATTTGGGGTGTTATATGTTGTTGATGATCTCCTTCTCTATTTTCCTTATCCTCATTTCTGGCTTCCCCTCGTCTTTGCTCTGACAACCAGAATGAGATGGAAAAGGGTATTGGGTGGGAGTTACTCACAGAAAGATAGCTCCAGAAGTTGGAGCTGGAGTTGCTGATACAAGGCCTGGGACAATAGCCAGGGCCATCAGGTGAGGGTTGAATATCATTTTTGCTTCTTCTTTTTGTCATCTGCTCCTTGGGATTCTGAAAGAAATAGCTGTAGCTTTATATAGCTATAGCTTTAAAGATATATATCATCGATAGGTCCGCTTAAGATTTGCATGTGTGGAAATGAATCAAGCGTCCAAATGTCACCAAGAGACGCAAAGTGGTCTGATATTAATATATCAAACGCAATAATATGCATCATACAGGTGTCCCAAATTGGGTGGCATTGTCTCCATCTTTGTTGCCATTTTTTTTCCCCTTGAATTGACGGCAAATTTCAGAATATGCAGCATGTTGGTACATTGTAGGAAGCTCCACGAGCAACAGCACCAACGCCAACGGCGAACGATTTATCGTCTGGTGCCAGATAGTAGAGAAACATGGGCAAGGACGCCATGTTTTCATGCGGGATAACCTGTCTGTTAGTTAGCTACTGTCGAATCAATGGCTGGAAAGAGACAATCAAAGTTGGGTAAATTAATGAAATGTCAAAATGATTTAAAAAGAGAAATTAAACATTTTAAAAATAAAATTTGCAGTCCACAAAGAAATAAGACTGAATTAACAAATGTTATGTAAAAGACTGTCAAGCAAGCGTCTGGCTCTTCACTGAGCCTAAAATTCCGCCAGCAGGCGAAAAGAAACAAGGAGAGGAGGAGGTTGAGATTCCTCGCGAGGAATCATTACAGAAAAGACAGGCGAATAGAAAGGAGTCGCACAATGAAGCAAAAGTAAGACTGGTGCATCTCAAATTAGCAAATTGGACTTGATTGTTCGCGCAAAAGCGTTAAGTTGGTTAAACTCCTTGTGCAGACTATTACAGAGAACTACATACCACAACATTAATTTGAAAAATGATTTCCTGACAACGGCGTTGGGAAGAGGATAGAATGACAATAGAGCAGCTAGCGCCATTAACCCTCCGAAAGGCAACTAATAATAGCAGACAGAATTATTTCATTCGTATTTAGGTACTGTACATCAGCTATGCGTGCCGCGCAGATGAAAGCCGTCGAAGAAGTAAACGGAAGGATCAAATAATATCAAATGTTCTTGTTGATGTTTTGGGAATAATAAATTCAAAGACGTCAAGTGCAGAAACAAGTACTTATGCACCTATGCAGACGCAAATGATATAGATAGAATAGCTGATCAGTAGTAACTATAACCCATGCACAGAATGGAAAAAGAAAACAAAACAACCAGGATAATGAAGTTAGAATGGGAAAACCAAGACGCCGATCCCCCCTGGATCTCGTTGTTCTCCAAGTGGCTATCCTTAATATATACGGTGAAGGTTTAGAGATTTACTACCGCGAAGTCTTATCGACATCCTCCTTCGATTCCTTCGAATAAGCCTTCTGTAGATGCTTCGAGCCCTTGCCGTCGATCTCCAACACAAAAAGGATATCCCTAATCTGGATCCCGGCCCCGCGTTCCTTATCATCCTCTCGCCAGTCTCCCATCTTTTTACTCACTGGTTTACTAGTTCCTCCAACGCCACCAGCACTAGGCTTCGCAGCAGACGTGCCTGGAACGGTAGCAGCAGAACTTGACCTCGGCGGTGTGGAAAAACCACTCCGCGACGTTGTGGTAGATCCGGTGGTTAGCCAGCTGTAGGTTTTCTTTTTCCCGCCAAATCTGACGCCCGATGTCAGACTGTTCGTGGCCATCCGAGCCGTTTCAACGGACTGCTGATGTTGTACGGCTTCCGTGACTTTAGAGTCGACCTTTTTTAAGTCTTTTTTGGTGGTTTTGCGGTCATCTAGAGCACGCTCAGTGGCTGGAGTAGTCGGTGTGGCAGCGCCAGCAGTGGCGACTCCAACCGAACCCATCTTGCTGGAATCACCGTTTAGGGTCGTGTCGGCGTTCCTTCTGACTCGTTTACGAGCCCGTAGTTCTTCACTCGACATATCCTTCTCGATCAAACTGCGACTCCGTTTCGCTACGATATGGGCTGCTGTAATCTGTTTATTGCTTGATAGTTCGTCAGCCTGGGAGGTATCAGGTGGAGAACCTAGAAGACATGATGGTTAGCTCAAAAGTTATCAAACGTTCCCAAGGCGGCTCGATTTGCATACGTTCAGGATTTGATGACCTAGCAAGCACATCTCTATTCGGTGGGCCATCTGCCCTTTTACTTGGGGGAGTTAATGTGACTGCCACGTCGCTCCACTGTAATGGAACAGCACCATGAGAATTGGCACGTCGATTGCTTGCTATTGTGTAAGAATGATCGATTACCGAGCGAAGCCGCTCTTCGCATGCCAGTGAAATTAGAGACAATATATCGCCAAGTGGAGCGTTTTGGGTCAAAAGAGTTTTGCCGGTTCGTATCACGGAAGAGCCATCTGGACCTGTGACCTCGACAGGGCCAGCAGCACGCCCCGGGAAAGGACGATAGACGCCTTGCGCAGGCATTCGCACACCAAGGTCGTAGGCTCGCTTTTGTATTCGATCTTCCACCATTGCCGTGAACAGAAAAGATGACTGTAGAGGGTATTGCGTACGTCTGCTTGCTGCAGTATCTTGACGTAGCTTTTCGTCCTCAGCAGCGGCGGGTTCCGCAGGAGTCGGCCTACTAGTGGAAAACGTACCCTGCGTAGGCGTTGGCTTCTGCACCACTGAGCCTAGGAAACTAGTTCCTGCGGAGACTATACCGGCGGATGGTTGGGAGGGGGAGGAGTTGTTGAAGTTCGTTTGGATGCGCGGGGGTGGTTTTGGGGCAGGAGGAGCCTGCCCATAAGCATGGGTCAAATATTCCTCTTCTTCTCTCACATCGATGCCAGACGAAGCCAAAACATCTGTTAGCTCAGCTGTATCGGTGGCTTTCTCGACGGGTCTCGATGGAGGTCCCATAGTTCCTGAAGATGGAGGTGGAGGAGCGGATATCGCTGGAGGGGAGGTGCCGTTGGTGAGGTTGCCGTTGGCCGGACTTCCTGTCCGAGGTAGCTGTAACGTGCCAAAGCCTGGAGACGAGTAGGGAGAGTGAGTCTGGGGTAAAGGTGAGAGGCGTTGTCGTTTTGGGGGGGGGGCGACACTGCTGGCCGAAGAAGGGGCTCCTGGAGACGGGGACGGTGTGGAACCAGGCGGGGAGAAGGCCTGTGAAGCAAACTGTTGCTGAGACTGTGTTTGGGCCATGACGAATATGGAACGGCGAAAGATGCCGAGTGGGAGTTGGGTGGATGGTAATATGAGGAGCTATCAAGCTCGCGATTGAAGCATCAAATCGCTAGCGGAGGGTGGGAAGACGGAGAGCAATGCGCCCTGCCAAGAGACGTGGTAGAAACGCTATCATTTCAGAGTAGTTCTGCGAAAGGTTGAACACGAGTGAGCTGCGAAAATATCGCTATAGCCGGGTAGCCGCGACCAATATACATATATATATTTCTCCTGTCGTCGTCGTCGTCGTCCAGTTGGATGTTGCTCCAGATGTCGGATGTTTTGTGTCGCGGTTGTTTGCAACGAAGTTTTATGGACACTCACGTGAATGATATGATGACATAAGAAATTCAACCATTGAGATCTCCCCCAAGACGACGAGAGAGAGGAACAATAACCCGATTATTCGAGTGAGATGACCAAATATTTGAAGCGGATCTGGAGCAATAACACCATAATCGAATTGCCCATTGATGACGCATTATATTTAAATGTCATCATTCTAATGAGAGGAATAGGTCTGTACACAAACGTCGCTTCTCCATGCGCCGAAACGTTATAGGTTTATGACAAAATATCAAACAGTTTGACGGATGTCGCGTCTGTAAAGCTAGAAGATTGAGAGATTTCAATATATATCATGGCAGCAAAACGGAAGGCGTCCTCTCTTCACGCCGTTGACGGTGATGAGCCTGTTGACCCTTCTGACGAGCTCCTGTTCTACAATCTTGGTGGTGGAAATGAAGTCGGGAGGTCATGTCATATCATTCAATACAAGGGGAAGACAGTTATGGTGAGCAATTGTCATTATGTCGTTGTTCGTTGTGCCGCATCGCTTTTCAGTCCAGCCAATACTAATTGTATAGCTTGACGCTGGAATGCACCCGGCAAAAGATGGTTTCGCTGCACTCCCATTCTTCGACGATTTTGACCTAAGCACTGTCGATATCCTTCTTATAAGCCAGTACGTCAAATGATTTTTTTTTTGGTATTTTCGTATCTTTGATTTTGATCTTGGTGCAAATATTCTGGATTGGAAAAGATGAAAAGCATCATTAAAATCTGTATCAAAAACAGCACGGACCGAAGAGCTCTCTATTTCACTTTTCGGAGAATTACTCTCGCAAATTTTGTTACCTCTTCATTCTCCCTTATCCTGAATATATACATATATATATGTATATGTATATGTATATATGAGAAAACAAATGAAATTATCCCCCGTCCTCATCTTGCATATGTGCTTGTTTTTCTCTATCCATCTCTTGTATTGTGCTCGACTTAGCATCGCGCGTCTACACGCATACCCCCTGTCCATTAGTCTGCGTATTTCATTATATTTTCTGTTCTCGAAAACCAGACACCTAGCTAATCCATTGCTTTTGAGCAAACCAGTTTCCATCTGGACCACTCAGCCAGTCTACCCTATGTCCTTAGCAAAACCAACTTCAGAGGCCGGGTTTTTATGACCCATGCTACCAAAGCTATCTACAAATGGTTGATCCAGGACAATGTCCGGGTTAGCAATACGTCATCTTCCTCCGATCAGCGCACAACTCTCTACACGGAACAAGACCACCTCTCGACCTTGTCCCATATAGAAGCCATTGATTTCAACACCACCCATACTATCAACAACATTCGTATTACCCCCTTTCCTGCGGGTCATGTCCTTGGTGCAGCCATGTTTCTTATCTCAATCGCTGGTCTTAACATTCTCTTCACGGGTGACTACTCTCGTGAAGAAGACCGACATCTTATATCAGCGGAAGCACCAAAAGGTGTCAAAGTTGACGTGCTCATCACTGAATCCACATTCGGCGTATCTTCCAACCCACCTCGCTTGGAACGAGAGGCAGCGCTTATTAAATCTATCACATCAATTCTTAACCGAGGAGGACGGGTTCTCATGCCAGTTTTTGCCCTGGGACGAGCACAGGAGCTCTTATTAATTCTCGACGAATACTGGAGTCGTCATCCCGAGTTGCAGAAGATACCTATCTACTATATCGGAAACATTGCACGGAGATGTATGGTTGTTTATCAGACATACATTGGAGCCATGAACGAAAATATCAAGCGCCTTTTCCGCCAACGGATGGCAGAGGCTGAAGCCTCCGGGGACAAGAGCATCAGCGCAGGACCGTGGGATTTCCGGTTCGTGCGCAGTGTGAGGAGTATTGAGCGCTTTGATGATGTGGGCGGATGCGTCATGCTTGCCTCTCCTGGTATGCTGCAAACAGGCACTAGCCGGGAACTTCTGGAACGGTGGGCGCCAAACGAACGAAACGGTGTAATTATGACTGGCTATAGTGTTGAGGGTACTATGGGCAAACAGATCCTAAATGAGCCAGAGCAAATTCCGGCAGTGATGAGCGGCAGGAATGCTGTTGGGCCGGCTAGGAGAATGGCCACTGGAGATGACGATGAGCAAAAGGTCATGATTCCGAGGCGATGCAGCGTGGATGAAATAAGTTTTGCAGCCCACGTCGATGGAATGGAAAACCGCGCGTTTATTGAAGAAGTTGGCGCCCCTGTTGTGGTGAGTTTGTTTTCTGCCCTTCCTGGAAACTTAGTTCCCATACTTGATTTTACTGACAGTTCACCAAAGATCCTTGTCCACGGAGAAAAAAACCAAATGATGCGCCTTAAATCCAAACTGCTAAGTTTAAACACGGACAAAACCGTCAAAGTCAAAGTATATACGCCAGCAAACTGCGAGGAAGTCCGAATACCCTTCCAAGTCGACAAGGTTGCCAAAGTCGTCGGGCGGCTTGCAGAGACCGTACCACCTTCTGACCATAAGGAGTCACGACTCCTGAACGGCGTTCTCGTGCAACACGGATTCAAGTTATCCCTGATGGCGCCTGAAGATCTCAGGGAATATGCTGGCCTGGCTACCACGACCGTCACTTGCAAACAGCACATCACGCTCAACACGGCCAGCATTGAATTGATCCGATGGGCGTTGGAGGGGACCTTTGGCGCTGTTGAGGAAATCCGTCCCGATCGCCCAAAGGCCGAAGACCTGGAGACCAACGGTTTTGACGGGGAGAGTATCGATGTAAAGAAAGAAGATGAGAAAGTAGATGAGGAAATTTCGACGGAAGAAACACTGGCGTATCTAGTGATGGGCTGCGTTACTATCCTCTACACTCCACGAACGCGAGAGGTGATTGTCGAGTGGGAAGGGAATATGATGAACGATGGGATTGCCGATGCAGTCATGGCCGTGTTACTTACAGTGGAGACCAGCCCAGCTTCTGTAAAACGTATGAATGCATACAACTAAAACTCCCCTTTGTGTTATTCGTCGTATTCTAATTTTGATTACTCTTTCAACAGGCTCAAGCAAACAACACCGGCACCTGCACTCGCACACCCCACCCCTCACCTTACCAAACCCACACTCCAACCTAACACCAGAAGAACGCCTCGCGCGCCTCTGCATGCTGCTCGAAGCGCAATTCGGGCCCAACATCGCGCCCATCGAAAAGCCAAAGATCAAGCAAACCTCCTTCGCCGCGGCCACCACCCCCCCCACCACCTCCTCAACACTTAACAAAAATGGCACCTCGACACCAAGAACAACAGCAGCAGTAGCATCAACCCTCTTAAAACCAGATCCAGACGCCACCAGCGCAGTCTCCACCTCAACCGTTTCGGGCACGACAATTACCGCACCCTCCCCGTCCCTCTCTCCCTCATCCACGCCAACACCATCGCCCGAAGACCTCACTGCCGAAGACCTGTACGAGCTCGAATCTGCGGAGCTAGAGCGGCTTTACAGTCTCGGCATTCCCGTGCCAGGTCTGGAGATCCGGGTCGACAAGCATGTGGCGCGTGTGTGGCTGGAGACACTGGAGGTGGAGTGCGGGTCTGCGGTGTTGAGGGACCGGGTGCGGGTAGTTGTTGAGCGGGCTGTGGAGACAGTGGCGGGTTTGTGGAGGGGGCCGATACAAGGAGGAAGGGGGTCGAGGGTGGGAGTTGGGAAGGCAAAGCTGGAGGGAGAAAAGATGGCGGTTAGGGAAGGGAAGGGCTACGGGGTTGATTGAGGAATGAAATACTTCTTTATTACGTTATACATGAAGGAGGAAATGGATCTATATGTACTGTACTTCTAGAATATGATTGGAGGCTACAGCTTCATTCTTTCTAAGACAAAAATGAAAGAAAAAACACTCACTAATATATACCCACGTCGCGAACAGCCAATCTTCATCGGGATAACATCATACTCTTGCATGATCCTTCTAGCTCATCTGACTAACTATCCATCAATGTATGCATATCTATTAATCCATTATTCAGTTAACAATCAATCCATGCAGCCATGGAAACCGATTAAAAAGAAAAAAAGAAAGATAGAAAAAACCCCACTCACAATGGAGCACATACTCCCATTCCTCACTCAACAACTTACTATTATACTGTTATTACCAAGCATAGCAGGCTACAAAAAGAAAAGAAAAGAAATGGGAATGGAAATAATAACAACTATCTATCTACTAAATATCTATCTATCTATATATCTATATATATATTTGGGTCGGCAAGTACATCTGGCGCAGTGGATTGCAGCCTTGAGTCACTCTTTTGATTTTATTTCATTCTACACTCTTTTATATCCTTTTCCTTCGTCCTTTGTTTCTCTTTCTTCAGGAGCAGCGTTGGCTGCTCCTTGATAACCTGCTGAGTCTGTATCAGAGGAAGCTGCATACTTGGTTGAGTAGGGGGTTTTTCAGTCCAGTAGTGGTACATCTGCTGCATGGTTTTTCTCCTTACTTGTATATACTGAGGAGTAGAACCCCCCGTAGATAGCAACCAAATACAACCACTTTAGACGTCCATCAGAAACAATATTACGTGGTTCGGATTTTCGCCAACCCCTCCAACAGCACAGATTAAACACTCGGCGTAGTCTAGCACATGACACAGGGGAACACAGCGGAAGCAACAGAGTGTGCAGCGTAGTAGGGACAGGAACTTGAAAGTTTGGTGAGTACCGTTACTTGTTTATTATTTAATTATTTTCATTTTGCTTCTATTTTGGCAGACTTCCGAAAAAAACAAATCAGGTTTGATATTTTGTGCTATTAATATTTCATGATAAAAATGGGGGTAAAAGCCTCAAAAGAATAAGGGAAACAAGGGTGGAAATGGCGAAGAGCTGCGGAACGGGGTATTGGTAAAGTGTAATTGCAATTGAACTTGTATCGGGAAAGGATTATGAGAAGGCGGAGAACGTGAGTGACAAAATCAAATACGGCTCTTCAGATCCTCCTGCAGCAGTCATTGTGTTGTATGAAGGGTTAAAAATAGACATGCCATCGTCGCTGACCTGCAACGCTTAAAAAATGGAATAGAGTCAAGGGGAAAAAGGTAAAATGAAAAAAAAAAAAGATGAGATCCCGTGTACTAAGCGATACAGACCGCCAAAGAGATAATATATGCATCTGACAGCGGAACGGTGAAATAACATTTGAAACTGAAATATTGAGTACGAGAGACTGGGAATGACTATCGGAATCGGTACGACTTGTGAGCAAGGGGGGACGTGGGAATTTGGCCACCTAGGGTGCCAGCAAGGGGGTCTCGAATCCGGCCACCTCTCATCGGCGTTTGAGTGCAATATATACATATGTAGACAGGGGGGAGACTCTGGCGGTCCAGGCCAACGCATTTCGTATGGAGCCAATGTGTGCAAGATTCGCTAGTTCAGTCAAGGAGGTTAGTAAAATGAATAAAAAGGGGTTTTATTTGGTGAAAGAAGGACGGGGTAACATACCACTGGATCATCAGATGTCCACCATTATCCATCGAGTTACAAACACACCTGGTTCCATTGCTAGGATTGCTCTGGCGATCGGTAGTTGGTGTTGCAAAATCAGGATCCGTAATCGTAGTAGGTGAACTGATATCTCCGTGGTGGGAACCGAATTGACTACCAAGCCCGGGTGGAGATGATCGTAATGTTCCCTGATTATGCAAAGGGCGCGTCTTACGGTTATATAGGGCTGTGGGCAGCTTGGCCTGTCTACTCCGTGTCCTCAACACCTGTTTCAGTGCATGCTGGGCGTCACCTGCCTCATCGTCGTCTTCTTGAGTGGCTTCGGAGTCAGTTATCGACTGGCCGCGCGAGTGGCCACCTGGAGGGTTAGTGTGTTGTCGACGAGTCAACATCCAACTGTCTTTCTGAGCGGGTAATTGTGGTAACCTCCCGCTACTACGCGACGAGTTTGTCCAGGGCGAATGTCGTCCAGAGTGAGGAGATGCCACAGTTGACGAATAAGAGGAGGAGCTTTTAGACTGCGGGCGTGAGGTGGAATGCGCACGCGACATGTTACGCTGCCGTGGAGTAGATTCGGGATGTATATGAAAAGAAGTGTTTGTACTGTGAGAAATTGGAAAATCGGATTCATCTGAGGATTCAGTCTCACTCTCAGCGGACGACTCTTCTATATCCATTCCCGGTCCACGAGCCAAGGTCGCCGGTGGCTCAGTTACTACTTTCATCTCAGTTTTAGCGCGTCCATCCTTCCCAATTTTTAAAACCACCGACTCAACAGGTGCACATAGAGCTGCCGACGAGCTAGGGCGATGAAATGAGGGTGCTTCTGTTTTCAGAGGTGACAAGCGGCCTTTGGTAGGGGTTTTTCTTACACCATTACCATAAGAGCCAGCGCCAGAAGAGTAATATACACTTGCATGGCGATTGTGCGGGTGGGTGGAATGAGTAGAGTTTCGTCTGGAGAGCAACTGCAAAGATCGTGACTGACGGAGGGCATCCAATGCTTCATCAGCGGCTTCAGCTTTGCGGCGGGCTAAACTCTTAGCACGCTTCAACTCTTTCAGTTTTTTCTCACGTTTGGACTCCTCAGTTTGATGATGATATGGTTGACGGGTTTCCAGCCGAGGGGGCGTATTCTGTGGCATGTTTGATTCTGAAAACCCGAATCTACGAGCGGGAGAGCTTAAGAACATGGCAGGGTCCTCATCTCGTACGGTGGGGAGACGGGGGGACGTCGAGAACGAGGAATGATAAAGGTTAGAGTCTATGGATCCCATTGAGGGGGTATTGAAAGCGTGAGAATCGTCAAAATGTCCCATCCCGGACGTGGCTTGTATGGCATCGAATTTGGGAACCTGGAGGGTATCATTCTGCAGTCCGCTTTGAACAAATCCATGATCAAAGGCAGCAGTAGTTGTTTGGTTCGGTCCGAAGGGGTCTCCATAATTGTCTGGCATATCCAGCGAATCAGTTGAGAATTGTGTATCCTGGTCCCAAAAGAGCCTATTTTGTGGCAAGAATGGTGAATCTGCGGAGGAGCCAGCAGCTGCCTGGAATAGGTTCAGAGTTTGACCATCAAACAGGTTGGCGGAGATTCCACCAACCCGGCTTGGAGTCTGTAGGTGACCCGAGTCGGGGGGTCCCATCATACCATCAGCACCGCCAGTAGTACTCCCTGTGGTTAGATGTGTATGGACGGGATTGCTCTTGTTCTGCATCTTTCTCCTGCCCGTGCTCGTTGGGGGTGGGGTTTGCATCGAAGCTGCTGAGTGTTTCGCAGAGTCACTTGTACCCTTACCACCCTCATCTCCCTGATCGTCTGATGCTTCCTTCCCAGACCTGCTGTTGCTGCTTTTTTTTGCGCCGCCCTTGGTCTTCTTCACCCCAACAGTTCCAGCAAGTGTAGTCCGTTCAAGTTGCGGGGAAAGACTCAGTGCAAACGAAGCAGAGGGCTCAAGGGTGGAATCCCGTTCAGCTAAGCCATGGAGATAGTTGTGATTGGAAGGGGTCGTCAAGCCGAATCGCTGGGGGGTTTTGAGGAATTCAGGGCTTGACGCGTAGGGGTCTGCCGTGTTCCAGGTGACTCGAGGGTCGTAGAAGCTGGATTCGAGCTTCGGGGTTTGGAAGGTCGACTCGCCGAAGGCAGCAGAAGTCGGGGTTCTCTTTGGGGTCTGAGGGTCGCCATTGGAGGAGTTGAAACTGCTCATGTACATGTAATAATGCCCAAGCAAGTGTCAGCATAAAAATTGCAAATTTAAAGTTACATGATATATTATGAGCTGACGGTACAAATGCTACCGAGGCGGCAGTGGGGCTTCTTGGGTGGACAAATTGGAAAGCTCAAACATTTCTTCGAACATTTCTTCGACCATCCAAGTACTTGGCGAGAACCGAAGAGAAAGCAGAAGATGAAAGATGGAATAGAAAAAGGACAAAACGGACCTGTGGATTGGACGGTCCCAACTCATATCAGCAGAATGTCAGTGTTAGCAAACATGGGAATTGACGAGCCACCCAGCCAACAAAGGTCTCACGAGCCCGGATGTATTCGAACTTCTGATGTTGCGGGTGTCTAGAGGGGATAACTAATAGGATCTTCCGGGAGGGACGTCGTGGTCGTTAAGAAATCAGGATCGTAACTGAGCAGAGGCGAGGGATGTTGTCCTTCAGCTAGCCGTGGGATGGATCTGGGGTGGATCTCGTTAGCCGGCGGTCTAAGGAGCTCCCAAGGCTAGGCAGAGCAAATCGGAGGTCAAGTAAACAGGCAGCAGGCCTGGACGGTGGTGGGGAATGGGGGGATGCTGTAGACTTGAGGAGACACAGCAGAACAGCAAATATCAGAGGCTCATCACATTCATGGATCGAACAAGGCAGAAGAGAGTGCTCAATCGGAGATGGAGCAGGGTGGTTGTGCACTTTGTTTGGCGAGGGTGTAGTAGAGGTGAAGGTGAAAATGAAAAATGAAGTTGGAGAGAGTGAGTTGAGGAAAGAGAAAATCCGAAAAAGACACAGGAACAGGAAAAGGCTGAGATGGATTAAAGCAGTCGTTAGTTAACTTAAGTTAAACCTCTGATTAGACCAATTTGCTTTTTACTTTTATTTCTCCAGAGATTCGGGCATTAATAATAATAGTAATAATAAAGAGTAACCTCCATCAGACAGTAAGTTTTACTCTTCTTTTCTTTTATTTGGATATTTCCTATTCGGACCAGGGCAGGAAAGCCAAAAAAAGGCACCAAAAGGTACAAAAGGAACAAAATGTTCGGATCTCAAAATTACACTGGAGCTATCCATTAACAACAAAAGAGAAAAGAAATACAACCCTCGACATCTTACATCTTTGAGCTTTGCTTCTTTTTAATTTTTTGTGAACTTTCCCGTGCCCTGACGGGCAGATCCAGGGCTCGACAGCGAACGGATGGAGCCAGACCACCCAAACGGGCGGGGCGGGCTCCATCATCCCCGTCATTCATTACTCTTATTGCCGTTGGTATAATTAATTATCCAGAAAACAGAAAACACCTCCTCGTTCATAGTTTGGTAATTAAGATAAGGCCTTTGCTTGAGTTCCACCAGGGCGAGGGAGGACTCAGGCGAGTTCCAAATGTTGCTACGGTTTTAGGTATAACATTAAGCTTATGCTAATAGTCATAGTAATATATTTAACCAAGGGTTCAGACGGATCTCAAATACACCAATTAGCCGAAGAGGGAAACGGGAAAGAAAAAAAGCAAAAAGGAGAATAATAATAATAATAATAATTTAAAAAAGCCTTGGAAATCAAGGTAAACAGAAGGACATGTATGCATGATACTCCTGGCTGCGGTCTAAAGGCAGCGAATCAATCAATCAATTTGCATGCACAGGGAGATTAGAGACGTTGCTTGTATCTTCGCCCCACCCCCACTGCTAAGGCTAGTTAGCTTTTCGTCAACCCGCCAGTGCTTGCTCGATGGATGGGGTGGTTTAGTTTGCTTCGCTTCTTATTCCCTCGGGCGTGCCATGCTTCGATCTACATAAAAGAGGTGATCAGTATACTTGTTGGACGATGACAGACATTGCTTATCCAGGAAAGAGAAATTGATTTGTAGCTGTAGTTGTATTTGTCTGCCTCTATCTGGCCCTGGAGCTGGAATCATGCCCCTCGTATGAGTCCGGCCTCTAAAGTGACCGCATTTCCTGAACCCTACACACATTCATCGCAGTGCACTCCCTTCCATTGGCACCCCTCCTTGGTAGGGGTATACAGCGTGTGCATAGCAGCGTTTAGCCATCTATCAAGTCCTATAATTATTTTAATATATACCACCAACTCACGGCCGGCCCCTGGCTGTAGGATAAGGACAAGAATCCGCTGCAGGAAACGTCAAACCAATTCTGCCCTTGCACCAGGGTTACGTGAGGACTTCGAGGCAGTATAAGTCATTACTGACTGGTAACCGTGGGTTTGACGATTAAATCCATTTCTTTTTTTCTTGACTTCTCGTTATCTCATTTCATGAGCCAACAACCCAACTCAGGCGAGCGGCAACTGTCGGGCTTGCACCGGGCACGACCAAGCTCTGACCCATGGCAGCTGCACGTTTCAGGATATCAGCAGAAACAGATTTCCGCTTCCCCTAGTTTTTTAACTTGAATCAGTGGGTGATGAGCAAGACTCTAAACATTGTTGTCATAAAATAAGGCAAAAAATGGGCATTGCAATTCAATCCGGACAGAATGAATGCTGCGAGGGCCAAAGTTAACTAGCACTACGATTATCGTTCCCATGGTTTGGAAAGACCAGCGTTTAGATTGGCTTTGCGCAATAAGTAGGCAAACCTCATCAATCAAAGATCAGGAACGAATAATCAAGAATAAACGAGAAACAGTGATCCTACCCTGCCTCTGCCTCGAGAATGATATATGCCTTGGCAAGGGGGCGTCAGTGTTGGGATAGGCGATCCTAGGGTTGACGGGAAGGACATGGACCCCGAATTATATGCGGGTACAGTACATGTACATACATATATATATAGTAAGTATACATATATTATATAGATACATACGTAGATAGATCCCTAGCACCCTGAATCGCCAGTCTCCCGCCTTCAGGCCAAGGCCACGAGAATAAATACTCGCAGTACCTTGCTTGGAATGTGTGTGTGTCTTTTCCAACTTTATTTAACCCTCGGGCATCATTTCCGCGTTGATGTCGTGCTTACCAAATGCAGGCACGCGGCGCTAGTATAGGCGCTAAATCGATCGACATCCACTAGGTTGCTTTCGGAAAACGTCTCCAGATCAGGAAAAAGCAAAACAGAACCTCGCGGAGACAGGAATGGGAACACCTTCAACATCCACTTCAGCAAGCCGCGATGTTATCGCAATTCATCTTTGTCTTTAGGCATTTCCTCCGACGATCTGTCGTCATTTGCCCTCTTGGGGCCCCAACCCAATAGGCCGGCTAAACCAGCAGCATGCCGAATGTTGAGAAAGGAAGATACAGCAACAAAATTGCTTATATATATATATCTTGTCGTTGACTAATGAGCGTTTGAGCGTTTTTGCTATTGTCTGGCTGGCAAAACCAACTTGAAATCCGTCCAAAGACTCACACACAATCACCTCAAACAAGTCAGAGATAGTCAAGTTTTGGGCCTAAACTCCCTATGTCGAAGGTGATCGGTATCATCAGAATTCCAGCTTTTTCAAACCACAGAGCACTAGGCACCGACGAAAAGACCATCCAACCAACCTAGGATCAGTGTTCTGTATGATAATCTATCCAACTGACTATGCAAGTTGCATGGCTATCCAGCTCAGTGAAAACGAAAGAAATTGTCATTAGCTGCGGAGAAATCGTGATGAGCCCATTTCGTTGTGCGTATACTTTCCCCAGCGTTTGAGGTTAAGTTGGCGGGGATATCATATACCGTGGGTTGTTGGGGTGGACAGTACAGAGAAGTAGAACCCACTGTGTGTGATCAGTGCATCACATTTATTCGCGGAAATTTCCTAACTATAGCCTGAGAGGCATGGGAGTGAGAGTGCTGAGAGCCTCAAGCGTTATTTGGAATAACCTGGCAGGAAAATGAAGCGCTGTCTCTCGGTATGCATTCAGGATTTCGTATGTAATGGAAGCTTGAGTTGTGAAGGGTGTCTTCTATTGCCCAAACTATAGCATAGCTCCTGGCAGGCATATTGTCACAGTGCCGACTTCAGAACTATTCACACAGAGAGAAACTGGAAGCATGCTGTTCGGCGCAAGACCATACGGTTTGGTCATTCTAGACAGTGATGTAGGTCAACACAATAGCACATCAGCAGTCCAGTTACACGCAGCTGCACATAGGCTGCAATCTAGAGTGGTGGATGCAATAGGAGGACCTGCATTCCCTCTGTACCGTCCATGCAACAATATATTTTTACTTCCAACGGAATTACCAAGGAATACTACTAGCCGGAATAGCCAACGCAGAAATTAGTATTTCGATCCCATGGAAATATAAATGAAGCAGAAAACGCCTTGTGTTGTCAGTACAAACTTACGGAGGATACGTGACGCGCAGCCGGAATAAATTCACCAAGATTTAATTAAAGTGAGGCGGGTATATATCATATCTGACGCAAGGAATGGAATGCTATTCAAGTCATTGGTCGAAGCGTTCCGGGGTTGGGTTTGTATCATGGTGTTGTCGGATACATCCATCAACGTTTCAGAGCTCCCCAACAGTAAGGGACCATCACCGAGCAAGTTATTCCACCATGGCTACCGTAACAACTAAGGGCAAGAGGAAGGGGGCCCCATCTCGATCCCGTACACGAAAGCAAGCGAATAATACAACCGTGTCGAAAGTCACTAGGAAGAAGAAACGGGCCTCTGACTTTGAGAGCCGTCTGCCCAGGCAGCTGCGTGGAGCGTTAGAGAAACAGAACGTTGTCAAAGAAAAGTTTGGGGATGCGTCATTGGAAGCTGTAAATTATTTTCTACGAAGGGGAACCTGACAAGCTGATCTGACATAGAACAATTTTTACTAACCATTAGTATCCAGATCCGAACGGAAACCCAAGGTCCACCACCAGGCTACGTCTTCGTTCCGAAGGGCGACGTCTACATCACTCGGAACTGCCGCAGGCTCTCCCACGACGCAAAGCAGACTGTTTATACAGTATATGTAAATACCACGCCCCTAACAAGCATCTTGGAAAAACCCCTAGCTGCAAAACCTTAAACCCACTCTTTTGACATATATCAACAAAATCTACCCAGAACCCGCACACCCAGCGCACGCTAGGCCTCTACGTCCCCTCCCAAGTCCACACCACCGTCACCAAAACCGCTGCAAGCACCCTCCGCGCCCGATCCCGCGCCGTCGCCCAAAAGGACGCCCGCGACACCTCGAAAGCGCGCACGCTGCTCCGCGCTCAATTCCCCGCCATGCCAGCCGAGACCCTGGAGAAAGTGCTGGGCCACGCATTCCTGAAAGGCTCACGGCGCGTTGGGAGGAGTGGGACGGTAGCAAGTGAGCAGGTCAAGGTGAGCTTGGCGGTTGATGCGCATATCCGGCATGAGCATACGGAGTATGAGAGGTTGCTGGGGGATGGGGTGGAAAGGGCGGAGGCGAGGGAGCGGGTGTGGGGCCTTGTGAGGAGGATTAGGGAGCTGTGGGAGGGGAAGGGAGACGTGAGTGCGGAGGCAGAGGCCACTGCTAAAAGTAGAGGGATGAAGAAGCAGGGAAAAGTCGTGGCGAGGAATGGTAGGGTCAAATCATGAGTTCCCTGGCCTTGTTTACGCGGGAGGACAGGCCACGAATTGTCATATGCAGGAGGCGGAACATTCCCAGGCACCCTCTCCCCACTGCCGCACTCTGTTATCTCCGTTCGCCATGTCGGGAGATTTATGAGGGCATTCTGATAACGTCATAACTGACGATGTACAGCATATCTGTAGCGTACAGTGCATTGGGGCGGTTGGTTATCGTGTTTCTATAGACCTTAGTCCACTTGTTTATTTCATTCAAGTACAGGTATGCACGGTCGTGATAGAGTACAAAGAAGGCTTGGTGAGACATACATGCGCAGGGCTTTGGAATTTGCCGGATAGAGCGCTGGTTAAAAAGACTCATAATTTAGTTGGACAAAATTATGCTTTTCGATTATGGCACAGGTAACTAGCTAGCTTTGAGTTGGTATTAGAGCTCCAGAAAGAGTAATATTAAAGTAGATTTCTCAAAGGACGATTGTGTCCCAACTCCCACTACTCAAGATGACGCATATTAAGCAATTTGGACTTAAGCTTTTGCAAAATACAGGTGCCGATGTCTAGGGAACCACAACTGTTAAGGGTCCCTATACAATGGAATAATTTGAACGCAAACCTTCCCTCCATCAATTAACTCTTATGTCTGCATAGGCATTTTGAACATCGAAGAATATGGACGTTATTCCAATGACCAGTATCCTCGAAATAACAGCTGAAGTCTGCATCGCAGTTGATATTGCGACAACACTTCGTCTGTTGGAGAAGCTGAATGCAATTGTCGAAATCTTTCTTCACTCTCACCGCGGTCTCGATATCGCTTTGCGCTATAGATAGTTTATTCCCAAGCAACTGCAACTGCTCCTTCAGTTCTTCATTCGCCTTTTTGTACAAATCAACCACCTTGCATATGACGCTCTGTGCAAAATCCTCGCTGGTAATATTTTCATTCGCGTCCACGAGGGTTTCGATTCGCGCGGCCGCACTCTCAGCGAGAATTTCATGTAACTTCTTGTCACCCGTTGACCTAAGAGCTTCTTCTATGGCAGTACCGAAGCCGTGTGGTGACCAGGAAGTCGTAAGGATTTTCTGAATTCTAGAATTGGAGAGCTCTCGTAGTTGCGCAACGTCATAATAGTCCGCAATTGTGTTTATTTGTATGTGGCGTGATAATAACTGGTTCATCCTCGGTGATTGAGGTTCATCTGTGTGGATTTCGCCGTCGGATGGGATGGTAGACTGTCCTCCTTCCACATCCTCGTCGTAGTCTCCCGTGTACATAAAGTTTACCATCTGCTTCGCAGTCTCGACATCAAACCCGGTTATTTCGATAGTATTGGTGACCGCCTCCTACATGTGGATAGGTTAGCAAAATTGATAGTTAGGCGAATACGGCTCCTCCCTCTCTCCCTCTCTCTCTTCCTCGCTAGACATATGTATATATATCTTACCTTGAAATCTGAGTCACAAGCAGCTGCCAGAACAGGCGAGTGGCCACACACTATGGCTCGATGCACTTTGAACTGCTTGCCCTGGCACTCCAAAACCAGATCACTGTATTTTCCAGATATCATCAATTCAGCAAAACGTTCACTTGGGACGGAGTCCGACATGATTGCAAGTCAATCGGATTTGTTCGACCAAACCGCAATCCGCTTCTACTCTGGTCGAAACCCTTGAAGGGACATATGTCAGATCAAATTTGGATAGATAGAGCTATCAAGATCGACAGGGAAAAGAGTAAGGTCGAATAGAATATATGAGAAACTCAATAACACCTGACCTAGCTTGGTTGGCTATTCATTCAATGGGGATTAACACACAGGGAAAATGTAAGCAAATCTTTGAAAGAAAGAGAGAAATGGAAGTAAACATAACGCAATCTGAAGGGTTGATATCAAGTTAGCTTCTTCGTTGCATGCAGATATCATGATCAAAGAAAACCAGTGGCGAATTCATTGTCTTGCGCTCTGAATGAAAGCATTCATGGAATCATACCTCATCAAACGGGAATCTACCACTTGCTTCATCTGGGGAGAGGGGCCAAAAAAAAAAGTACATCTCAGGCAAAAAAGCGACAAACCGCTCTTAGAAATCCAACCCCTTTCCTCCTCTCAGTGCCGAAACATGAGTCCCGTGAAACCCAAACCCGATGGGCCCCGCAACCTCCGCCCTGCCAACCTCCGTCATATCCTTCGCATTAAGGACAAGCAAATACGACCTCCCCTTCAACCCATCTAACACTACGGAGAGTAGCACCCCGTCATCCTCATCGAACGGTTCAGACTCCCCTTCCTTTTCCACTTCCTCAATCGCTTCCCCATCGCCATCCGCCCCACTCTCACTTTCACTCCCTCTTGGACTCTCATTAGTCGGCATTCTCCTCCTCGGCACGAAAATAGCCTCGCCGGCATTCTGCCCCCATTCATTCCAATGTATGGATTGCCTGGTTTCCGTGTCGAACTTGACAAGCCCATCGACGAAGCTCGATTTACCCGAGGATGTGACGCCGTAGACATAGCGGTGGCGGTGCGTGACATAGTTCGGGTTTAGAGTGGGGAGTTCAGGTGTATCCAAAGCGTCGGCTTTGAAGTCTAGGGTGGCACGCCGGGACTTCGTTCTTTTTCTTGAAGACGATGTTGACGTTGAGGAGGATGCTGACAGGACTGGGAGTGACGGCAGGCGGAACCGCTTGTATAAGCCACGGCTAGCATCGTTTGTCCCTGCTGCATACTTGGAGGCGTCAGGGGAGGTGGAGATGATGTTCGAGAGGTAGAAGCGCTTGAGGACGTCAAGATTGTTGTAGGCAGTTAAATCCGCGACGATATCGATGCTCCCACTGTCATCAAGTGTGGGTTCTTCGTACGCGTTGATCGTATGGAAGCAGAAGAATGGGTCGCTTTTGTAGGTAGCAACGAGCCCCTTGCCTCCCTGATCGGCGGGGCGGCGGTCAATGACATACCAGGTGGTTTTCTTAGACGGGTCATAGTCGGCCATTGCATCGATAATGTTCTTGTGCCAAAGAATTGCCAGGCCACCCGCAACGTAGAAAGAGTTCCATACACAGAGGACGACATAGTGTTTCGTGAGGAAGAAAGAATGTATGTATGCGGCGCGGGCATTGGTGAGGGTTGCGAGGATGGAGGTTTTGCCCGTTGCGGCTGAGACGTGGAAGACGTGGTAGATTGGACACTTGCCAAGTTGGAGGTTGAAATTGTAGACATCGCCAGTGACCGGGTCAGATTTGGCGTGAGCGGCGGATAAAGGCCCCTTCAAGTCTGGGTGAAGGACTTGCTGTGAGGCTACGCCAATGGGTTCCAAAGTCTCAGGGTCTAGGGTTTGAAAGGCCGCGGCATCTGTTTTATTGGCTAATGTGTGTATACCAGACGCATGTCCAGAGGTCTTTTGTGTGGCTGTGCTGCTGAGACCAGGGAAATTGACCGAGAGCGTGATGGACATAGATCGCTGGTCTGCTCCGGTCCTTGCTGGAGCAGGCCGGAATAGCGACATAACTTTCTGAAAATAGCTCGTGCAGGGTTCATATCGAGCACCGAATGACATGTCTTTGCCTTTGCCAGTCTTCCTGATCCTCTCGATCAATCCGTCACAGCAGCTTCTCGAATTATAGAAGACACGGACTGAAGGATGGATTTCATCTGGCGGCAGGATTTGGAATCTATGAACCACTGACAGCCCATCGAACCAATGGGCTATTTTAAAGGTTTCTTTTTTGTCCGTCTCTATTTCACTGCGACCTGTGCCGGTGCGGTATAGGACTCCCGCAGCCCATGCAGGTATGTCACCGGTGACCTTGAGCTCGACCGGAATTCTCTCTTCATAGGTAGAATTGAACTGCGTTCAGTTAGTGATGGACATAGGTATTAATTCCCACTAGCACCGGCTGAAGAATAATGATTCAGAGGATGAAGGGTTGGGGGTAAAATGCTAACGCCCTGATGGTTTGGCCAGTCATTGAATGACCTGACTGAAGTATCCACGGCATCCATGGTATGAGTGGTCATCTGAGCGAGGTGCCCCTAGAATAAGTTGCTGACTGTCTCACAGAAAATATCATAACATTCGTGCCTCAAACGATGAAAAATATAGTTGACGACTTTAGTGAGTTACATGTAGAATTCCAGCTTCAGATGAACAATACGAATCGACAAAAATGATGTCTCTTAACATAAAAGATGCCAGAGAAGTGATTGGCAAGAAGACAACCAAGCAATTATTATTCATGAGAAAATGGTCGTTAGGGAGCCATCACAGCAATCTTGGAGGTTGATATTCGACCACCCCATGTTCTAAGTGGCCCGAGCAACTTTCTGGGTTGGCGGCGAAAGCCAAGCGGAGGAATCAGACGGAACAAGTCCAATGATCCCAGTGAGATCCGCCCGTACTCTGTCGACAAACAAGAGATCTAAGAAGAAAAAAAGACCCTGGCGGCCATGTGGTTGACATTTGACCAGAATACAGGCCGCCCTGATGCGACACTAGGGAGCGAGCGGCCCAGTTGATATCGAGTCGATATCCAGTCGATGTCCAGTCGATGCCGAGCAACCCCACCCGCCAGGTCATCAAGGTGGCATCCAAGAGCGTTGAAGAAACGGTCTTCGGCAAGGAGCGCATCTCATTAGCTTAGAAGTTCATGATCTTCATCATTAGTTAGACTTTTCGGTTCATCGCTCGTGCATCGCTCGGCAAAGGGCTTGGCAGTTTCGGAAGGTCGACCATGAAAATAGCAAAGTTTGGCGAGTTCGAGGCCGAAGCGTTCATGGAGCCGGCGGCCTGCCTTGATTTGACAAGCAAAATGAAGATCTTTTGATGTCGCCTTCGTGGGCCAGTGGCAGACGAGGGTGGCTGGTGAGCCACCAAGGACAGCTTCTAGGCCCTGGTATCTAGCTTGACGGTAGGGCCCTGCGAATCGAAGAGGCCATTTCAAGATTGTTTAAGTTGATTGTTAGCTGAATAGCCGAGCGAACTGAAACGTTGGCGTTTTTTTTGGCTCTGGAGCGGAGCAATCCCCAACGTGAGGAGATGTTTCGGATGACCAGAAGACCCTTTCGTGCGTCAACAGAACAGGACATTTTATATATTTTTGATGTTGCCCCGTTGGAGGAAGAGATGCAGCTTCAGAAAGCCAATGATCCACTGAGAAAGATCTCGTGTGCAGGAATACGAAAATTATAGGATGGATGTTTTTTCAATGCTCACGGCACGAGCATCACTGATGCCTTCGCAGCCGTGCTAGTCCACTAGCAATGGATACAACCCTGGATCGAGCGGTTGGTCTCGTATATTATCCCTGCTGTTGCAACCATGATGCAATCGGCACAGTCAGTCCGAAATGAAGACAATCCAACCACGAACGTCAGCAAGCTACGGTGAACACTTTGAATCCGCCAAACAAAAAAATAAAATAAAAATAAAAATAAAAATAAAGAATAAAATAAACCGAAAAAGAAAACCCCTACAGAGAAATGCACATCCGCCCACTCGAAGCGGCAGACATCCCGGAGGTCGCCTCCATCCTGGCCGATGCTCTGTTGGATGATGAACTCTGGGCGTGGCTTGCTCCGAACCGGTTGAAATACTATTCCGAATACCGGGCTGGCTTCTTGATGCGAACCAAGGTACGGTTCTCGACCCCCGGATGGGTCCTCAATGTTGCTGTTACAGATCCTGAAGATGAGGTCGGGAGAGAGCATCGTCAGGAGCATGGCCAAGGGTGTGAGTCAGGGGGGAAAGTTGTTGGCTACTGTGCCTGGGAGCGCGTGGGCGACTCTCCACAGGCCAGGAAGTGGAGGGAGGACAAAGAAACCATCGGATGGTGTGCGTGAATATCCTCGCCGAAGCATACATATACGCAACTCACTCCGTTTGACCCAGGAATAATAACATCCTAATCACCCAAAATGCACAGGGCTAGAGAGACGGCTGCTAAACCTACAACTGCGATACGCCGATATGTTCATCCAAAACAACGCCATCGATAGTTCCAGGCTACGAACTTACGCCTCAGCAACGGCCGGTAACTTCCCGTCAGACATTTTTCCAGAGCTCTGGTATGTCGGCATGCTCGCAATTCACCCCGGATATCAGCGGATGGGAATTGGGAAAATGCTGCTGCAGTGGGGAATAGAGCAAGGGATGGCGGAGAATGTACCCGTGGGATTGGAGCCCAGTCTCAAGGGGGCCGGACTATATAAGAAACTTGGATTCCGGGACCTGGGAACTGTGGAGCTAATGGGAAAGGAATGGGTAGCCATGATGCTCTGGGAGCCTCCGGACCTGAGCGCTGAGGAGAGCTGGTTTGAACGGGCAACAGAAGCGGAGCGGAAGAAGGAAGAGGAGAAAATGATGCTCAAGGGGGTGGAATAACCCATACTGAAAATCTAGCGCAGAGAAATGTAACCATCCTTTCTGTACATGTACTGGTTATCGAACCTAGATAGTCTAGCTTGCTCCATCTTGTCCAGTTATGCCACTGTCCGCCGGTGGCTGACTGGTTAATGTATTCACAGGGTTATTCGCCCACTCACCCCACGGTGGAGGATGAGATATATCAAATGTTCTCCCGGTTAAGAGTCCCTTGTATAAAAGAAACAAGTTCGAGTGTACACATAGTCATAGCGAAATACTCCTCATGCTCGATTGCTTCTGGCTTAAACAGGATTTTCAAATTTATGCCTTGTAGAATAAATTTAACGATCTCATAGGGGAGCGAATTTCAGGCATGTGCTGGCTCTTTTTCCCTTTATCGAGAAGGTCATACAACATAATAGCCGTTAGCCGCTATGGAAATCTATCGTTTCTATCCATTACGTGAATCTACCAGAGACTTGAGACTCCAGCAGTTATCTGATATCTCCCGAGAATAGCAGAGAGAGAGTAAAGCCTACAGACAGAGCTCTAGCGCGCGTTCAACATAGAAAAAGCTAGGTGTCTCTTCGAGTCTGGCATCTCCCCAGAAGGTTCAGGGATATTAGTATATATAAGAATGCAGGTTTCGATCTTTATGATTGGGTAACTAAGCGCCCTGTGCCTGGCCACAAGGATATCTGTGCAAGCATGTAACGAGAGCGTATGGAAAGTATGACGTCAGATGGTGGTCTGAGCCAAGGTCGACTCCCGCACTTGACTGCTTCCGTACTAGTGGCTTAGATATCATTTTCCACCAGATCTTCCACCAAAACACCGATCATTTCAGTGCAAGATATCATCATTCCTTTTACATAGTTAGCCAATAGGGTTGTTAGGTTATACTAGATGAGTGGTTGACCTACGGGTGTAAAATATTAGCTACAATCCCCGTTAGAAGGATATGGAGCTCCAGCGAGCGACAATCCATCTTGGTTGTGGAATCTGACTGAACCTTCAATTGACAGCTTCTATATTTTCAGCGATAGCATGAATGCCGCAGTCCAGCTTCAAAGCTTGTTCATTATTTGGAGCAGGAGGGCTTGATTTGCACGTGCTTAATACAGAATAACGATCTGGATCGCATCGAACTACTTGTTCTTGGACAAGCTGTCCAAGTGAGTCGCAGATCTCGGAACCTGGAGCTCTAGGATGTTTACGCTGAAACTATACTGATTCAACGCACCTGTGGTAGCACTTATTGTCAGACTAGAAAGCAATCGGGCGTCGACCCTCGGGAAAAGAACCATAAAGACCTCTAACGACGAGTCCGGGGAATATCGATACTGCGCAAAATGACTCAATTATACTCAAGTTCAAATTTCCCATCAGTAAAATAATAATTCAGAAAGCTGTTGACCTCAGTGAGGGCTCTTTAGTTTACCCGAGCAACACACCCATTTTATTCTGAGTAATATTGGTGTGGTCGCTGGCAAAGTTTGGTGTTTTTAAACATTGATTTATTTTGCCAAAGCAGCTCTCCCCCATCAATTTCGCCTGCAAATCAAATACATACACAGAGTACGTTTGAGTATGAACCGTACATTGACCACTGGGAAGGCGGCATCCGCACAATCAGCAGGAAGAGAAGTTAAACAAACAAGCGCACACCCGGGAAGATTTAGTTACACTTATCCGCTGGCTCTGGCAACTTCAGCTCATACTCCCCATCACCCTGAGCCACATCAGGGCCCGGGTTCGGATACTTGACTTCGAAATTCGTCATGGGTGTCTGGCACCCGTTATCGATATTCGCAAACAGGAAGCTTGGGCGGTCATTGAAAGGCACTGCTGGTGGCGTCGTCGCTGAAGCACCATTGCTGCCGGTGTCGCTCGAACTACCACCACCACATGTACATGTACATGAGCCTGTATCTCGCTGACGGTACTGGTGGCCTTGCGGCAGGCCCCAGTCTCGCCCGTGGCGCCCGTTCCTATGCCCAGAATCTGAACGTGACACAAAATCTTGCTTCCCCCCTTTTTTTTCCGCTCCAGTGATCTCCACTGCCGCACAAAGCATATTAAATTCCCTCTCCCGGTTAATCCACGTCCACGCAAATACTTGTACGCCAACCGGTGTGTCTCTGGGGACCGTAAATTCAAACGTCTGCTTCTCCGGGTCCGTCCCGCCGTCCCGATACGGGCAATTGCCTTCAAAACTCTTCACTACTTTCCATGTCGCGCCTTTGTCGACACTGAATCCGACCTGGCATGAGCCGCCGTAATGGTTTCCTGTACCTGTGAGGCTAAAATTTTGCTGCGACCCCGCGGCCCAGGAGGCAACGGATTGGCCCTGTGGTGTGTTCAAATGGCTTAGGTACCCTTTGCAGGGGAAAGGTGTGGTGCGGCCGCAACAATTATAGGGATAGTCGAGGTGAGAGTCTGGCGCATTCGTTAGATGCGGATTGTTTGCGGCTGCGAAGGGTGGTGGGTGGTAGAGACGCATATGAGCCTGCGCAAGAGTGGCTAGGCCAATCAAGTAGAGCGTTTTGGCTGATGAGAGCATCCCTTGGTCGGTCTATTGCTGCTGGTTTTGCTGTAGACCACCTGAGCGACTTTCTAATGAAGGAAATGACAGAACTGCGATAGCAAGGCAGGGTTTGTATGTTCCGTGTCACAGATACGGGTGTCTGGTTTTTAGAAGCTTCGAAGATGAAGCAGGTTCGGGTAGATTATGGAGATCAGGTATTTTGGAGAATGGATAAAGCATGAACACAAAGAGAATCTCGATAATAAAGAAAACAGGCGTGGGTCTATTGTTTAGTATTTATTCACATGGACGGTGCCATTAAACAGCAGATGGTGTGAATGAAACATCTGCACCTGAAACACTGGACTAGACAATCCAATGATAGATTGCCTGCTCCACCTTGAAACATGCACCATAAATGCGGAGAGATATCTAAGATTTAATTACCCATGTCAGATGTAGTCTCATCAATTCTTGTGGCTGATCAATGAATGTTCAACTCTATTTTGCCTGAGTTGAGTATTGACAGCATCATCGGCGCTATCCGATCTTTTCCGCCGCTGAATCAAAAAACCTTTTGGTGAATTGAAGCCACCAAAAGAAATGGCATAGAAGAGAGAGAAAGAATGAAGGAAATAGAAAAAGGTATCCATGCTATTACCCATCGCTTTTCATACTTACCTCCCGCCAAAATCCGGCTTGTAGGTCTTGACGCCTCCACTTTTCATAAGCTCCCGTAAAGCCATGGTCGCATACTGGCTGGATCCCAACTGTAATTTTATAATCACCGCCAGTTTATCAGCAGCCGCCTTGTCAACCTGTCCTGTTACCTCTTCAGTCACCTTTTCAGGTCTCCTTGCCTTCTCATGGCCATTCTTCGACTCTTTTAACTTATCAAGATCCGTTTGCACAAACTGCTCATCATCGTTTGCATACGCCTTCACCTCAAACGAATACTCCGCACCTGGCTTGCTAAGCAGCTTCCGATACCCACCGCTCAAACTGATATCCTTCCAACTCCTTCGCATGTCGAAGGGATCCAGCTTACCGCCTCGATCACTGCTCATGAAATCCTTGTAGAATGCTTTCATCTCGTTGTCTGGGTACAAAATGTCAAAACCCGGCAGCGGCAAGACGATGTCGAAAATGGTATATTTCCCGCTCGCAGCCTCTTCCGCAGTCAAGGCCCGCGCCCGCTCGAACATCTCGTCGGGAGCGTTGGCGCTATCGCCCGCGTCAGGCAGCACGACAACGTCGCCATCTGCATCGAATTCATCAACTGCGGCAGCTGCACCCAGCCCGTCGCTTTCTTTGAAGTCGTTGATGAGCACAAGGTCGCCGGCGACGACCTTATCGCCGTACAACCGCCAGCGTTGGCTCGACGCAAAATTCCATACCAGTGATTGGTATGCGTGGACATACATGAGACGGAGGCTGCGGGGGATGGTTCCTAGCGCACCGAAATAGTCATTTTTATTTCGGCCTAGGTGCCTGATGATGCTGGACTCGGCGGAGAATTTACGAGGGAGCTTATTGGCGGCTTCATTGCATCTGCCCGTTGTCTGGAAAATGTGGATCGCCTCTGCGCGCGCGATGTCGTCGGCGCTGATGAGGGTTTTTGTCTCCTGTGACTGTGCCTGGGATTGTGTCTGTGTGAGAGTTCCTGGATTGAAATGTAAAATGCACTCGCAAGCACCCTTGAAGTCGCCCTGCAACATCTTCAGTCCCACGGTATCAGTCCGTGTGGAGAACGTCCCGAAACGCTGCAGCCCATAGTAATTAAGGTAGCCCCGTTCGCGAAGATCATGAAGAGCCTGGGAGACAATTTCAGTAGCCTTTGAAACTCCATTGGTCAACCTCTCCTCATTCTGGCCAAAGGGAAATTGGCAGTCGCGAAGCGTGATTACAAATTCGTTCCCATTCAAGTCTCCAAGCTCAAGGCGATCCGTGCGATACTCGAAGTCGCCAACGGCTGCGTTCCGCAGCGACTTTCCAACATTCAGCAATCGATCCGCATATACACGATAAACACTGGCACGCTGGACAGTTACCCCACGTCTGTCCTTCGTCCCAGCAAACCCGAACTGCTTTGCATTCATTTTCATCTGACGAGCAAGGAACGTCACGACTTCCATGGTGTCCTTGTTTTCCTTGTAGATGGTGAAATGCAAATGTTCCCCGCCTAACTCGCTCCAGCCCAGCTTTCCCCTGCAGGTATCCCGTCCACCTCTACCACCACGCGACTCGGCACCCTTGCGTGATAAGGGAATGGGGGTTATTGCCATCGTACCATCGCTCTCCGTGGTTGAGTCTAGACGAGACGCGAATATACGTCGAATAGCTTGGTGGATTTTTGTCCGGAGCTCCTTGTCTGTAATTACATCAGATTTTATACGCCCAAGATCGCTTACTTTTGCGGTGGGTCGCGAGAGAGCCCGACTGTGTAAGAGGATAATTTGTTGAGCGGTTTCAGCACCGAAATATTCTTCAAGGAGTTTGTTGTCCTCATCTGATAACTGGAGTAGGATGTTAGAGAGTCTTGGGGAAAATACAGATTCAACTCGGATATCCTCACTTGAAACTGGGGTGTCGCTGTAGCGGTCGCCTTCGAAGCTTCTGTTTCCGTAATATTTTTCTCACCATCCTCTGATGCTTTTGAAAAATTTGCGTTCTGGTTATTCCCAGGCGCAGCAGGCGTGGGCTTTGGAGGCCCTAAGCTGGCAGTGGCAGCTTTAAATGAATGAGGGAGATCGAGATTTGCCAGATGCAGAACCTCGCCGGAAGGGAGAATTTCGTTGACCAGGAAATCAGTATATCTGCATTGTAGCAAATACGACCTGATTAGCACTGTTACCCAAGTTGTATATATACGTTGTACCTGAGGAAATACCTTTTCTTCAAGATACCGGAAAAGCTAGGGAGATGCGGGCTGACAAAATCGGTGATGCCGACCTCCGCCTCTTTCAGCGCCTGGATATCCTGGCTGTCCAATGCGGCGGGAGGCCCAAATACAGAAACAGGGGTAATAGGAGAATTGGAATCTGGGTCCTTTGAAATCTTAATGCGCTTGCGTGGGGATTCATCCTCGTCCGGAATTTCTCTCCCCATTGTTGCTGGTGTGGCTGCCGCTGAGCGCAACCTGTAGCTATGATGGGAGAAGAAGAATTGGGAGCTGCACAATGAAAGGGAGATGCACGGGATTCGTGTGCTAGCCCACGAGATAGGTAAGGTGAACCTCGAAGAGGCCAAGGCGTGGAGGAGATTGTTCATCTACGAGGGGTTGTTGTTGGATATGCTCAGAGTCTGCTTCTCAGCGAAATATTTCTGACGCCAAGACATCCCAAGCCCTAACGATTCTTCCCGCAGGATTGATTGGTTCCCCAAGATCGATCTGATCCAGGAGGACGGATGGTGACACTGGGATTGAAATTGAGGCCTCTTGTGAGGACTTTGTTAATAACTAGTCACTCTGGATGGGGGATTCTAGGACTTTACTGGCCATCTTGTCGAAATCTTGAACATGCGTGAATTTGATCCTGGACAAGATTTGGCACATTTCAACGAGATGTTATATACTATTTATAAAGGAGAGATATATAGAAATCGGTTCCAACAACAGAGAATTGTTGAACGGATCGGTTACATTCAATCATACGGGAATTTTTATCATAGTTTGGCCAATCATATCTTTCTCCTCTTCTTCCTATTGAATCGACGAGTCTTGGCAGAGTGCTTGAGCCAGCTGAGATACTCGGAAGGCTAAGGATGAACTATTATTAATCCATGACCAAACGACGCTGAATATTGTGGACATCCGAGGGTGGAGGTGGGAGATGGCGTCAGATGGAATGATGCTAACGCATATTGGATTTTCCACAAAGCGTTCGTAGTAGACCACCATCTGCATCCATGATGGAATCTTCTGTGCCAGAACATTGCTCTGCAAGGAGAGGCTGGAGAACGAAGGATAACCTGCAGCCCGAATCAAAGAGGCCAAGAACTCATCAAGCCTGCCATCAGACGAAGATGCAGGCTGCCGGAGGTGGCAAAGGATCTGACAATTTCAAGGATGCGTCTGATTTAACTCTTATGTGGGTTGGCAAGGACGAATATGGACGCCCGAAACTCGTATCAGAGCACACTCTAGGGACGCGGGATTGGCGAAGTATGTGACTGCAGTTTTGCATAGTTTTCCTGAACATAACATTTTTGATTTTAATATTGGACACTGATAGATTCTTACCAGTCGGGGACCCGAATATGGATATTTGCTATGTCTGCAAACTCAAAAATAACGTCTTTGGGTGCAGAACATGCCTGCGCTCTTGTCATGCCATTTGCCTGGTTCCGCCACGGAGGGACTCGGACGTGCCCTCTCCGTTCCACTGCCCTCTCTGTGTCGAGAAGAACTGGCATCTTAAAACCCCAGCACACATTACTACATTATCCGCGGTCTCTTCACTGAAGAAAAGCGAGTTTAGCCCAAAACGTTCACACCCAGCAGTGAATGCTGCAAACCGTTATTCTGCAACCTGCGAAAGGTATACGATATCATGTGAGTCTGTGGCTACTCCTACCACGGCGGTATCTCCGTCACCAGGAGCAGAAGGGTGCATAAAATCCCTTTGCACGTCCCAGGAGAGCGGATTGGACGTCCCCTACCAAAACGACCCTTACCAGTCCCCCAAAGAACAAGCGCAAAACTCCACGGATCAACGACGCTCGGATTGCTCTGCCCATTCGACATTGGGAGGAGCGGCGCCACGACGTTCAAGATACCAAACCGTCTCCAATGAAGTCGATGATGCTCTTTCGACAATATACCGCGAACTCGAGATGGGGGTAGAAATTCAGTCCCGGATGAGGGATTTGCAAGCACGTGTCAGTTTTCTGGAGCAAGAGTTGAATATTGCGAATGGACGGGTTGTTCTATCGCAGCAGGAGGTTGCAGCGAAATATATGCCCGAGGTCAAATACCTGCAGAATCAATTATGTATGGAGAGGAAGTCCAATGCTAGACTTGCGGAGGAGAACAGCAAACTCAAAATTCAGCTGGAAGAGCTGTCGTTGGCTGATCGCTCGAGGGAGTTGGAGGAGTGGAAGCGAAAGCTCCGCGATTTTATGAACGGCGGCGCTTGACCTCAGCCACTAGTTGGCGGTCCTGAGGTAAATCCCATCGTGCGTATATCAATTATTAACAATCTCTGGCATTTCGGCATGTTTTATGTTTTTCATTGAGGTATAATTTGTTGAGTTTACTTCCCCCCAACAAGGCACTGTCTCTGGTTTGATTGTATATAGCAACGTTGACAAGGGGATCCCATTTAACCTACAGTATTAGTGCCTTGCTTCCTTAATATGTATCCATATCTATCAGAATGCCTAATTTGCAGAGAGTACAATGGATATAACATTGATGCGTTCTTCGTCGCCTCAACCAATGTACCCCTCGATCTGATAGGACCGATGAGTCAGCAATTGTGTGACATAATTTTCCCGGCCCCTCAGCAACTTTCAAAAAATTTGTGCTCCCTTTCCCTTCTTTGGAGTCAATCCGGCCAAAACCACTCCCAATACCCTCAGTATATATATCTATAATGGCAACTACAGCTGAAGTACTAGTTGTCGAGCCTCATATGGCCTTCGACACCATTCTGTGAGTCCTGCAACCCGCACAATTGCGCAAATTGAAACCGCGATGTGCTAATATCCTGAATAAATCAGGGTCCTCGACTTTGGCTCACAGTACTCGCACCTTATCACGAGGAGACTCCGCGAGCTCAACATCTACTCTGAGATGCTCCCATGTACTCAGAAAATTGCCGATCTGTCATGGAAACCAAAGGCTGTTATTCTGTCGGGGAGTCCATACTCTGTCTATGCGCCAGACGCACCGCACGTAGACCCAGGTGAGCCATTCATGTAGCTAGCAATACGGATGTGGAAGTGTTGCTTCAAAGTACATACTGACATGACCCTCCTGACTACAGCTGTATTCGATCTAGGAGTCCCCGTCCTAGGCATCTGCTACGGCTTGCAAATGATAGCGTGGAACCACGGCAAAAATGTCTCTGCAGGCGACAAGAGGGAGTACGGACATGCCAAGCTGAATGTGACGCGGCACACAGGGAAGTTGGCGCACATTGATAAGTTATTCGAAGGGCTTGAGGGAGATCTTGTGGTATGGATGTCGCATGGAGATAAACTATCTAATCTTCCCGAGAATTTCGTGACCATCGCAACAACGGCCAATGCGCCCTTTGCCGGAATCGCACACACCGAGAAGCCCATTTATGGCATTCAGTTTCACCCGGAGCTCACGCACACACCGCGTGGGAAGGATGTTCTTCGAAACTTTGCAGTTGGAATAGCAAAAGCCGAGCAAAACTGGACAATGGGCGAATTTGTGAGCCAAGAAATCGACCGCATTAGAAAATTAGTCGGGGAGAAAGGACAAGTTATCGGAGCTGTCAGTGGCGGTGTCGATTCAACAGTGGCTGCAAAGTTAATGCAGGAGGCAATTGGAAATCGATTCCATGCCGTCCTCGTCGACAATGGCGTCCTTCGTTTGAACGAGGCTGCGATCGTCAAAGAAACTCTAACGAAGCATCTTGGCATCAACCTTACTGTGGTTGATGCCAGCGAGCGGTTTCTCGGCAAGCTGAAGGGAATTACAGATGATCCCGAGAAAAAACGAAAAGTCATCGGCAACACATTCATCGAAGTCTTCCAAGAAGAGGCCAAGAAAATTGCGGCCGCTGCGCAGGGATTTTCCAACGAGGGTGAGATCGAATGGCTGCTTCAAGGCACGCTGTATCCCGATGTGATTGAAAGTATTTCGTTCAAGGGACCCAGCGCAACCATAAAGACTCACCATAATGTGGGCGGCCTTTTGGAAGGCATGCATCTTAAGCTCATTGAGCCGCTCCGCGAGCTTTTCAAGGACGAAGTCCGTGAGTTGGGGAAACAGCTTGGTATTCCAGAGGAACTTGTCTGGCGCCATCCGTTTCCAGGTCCTGGCATCGCCATTCGGATCCTTGGAGAAGTGACCCCAGTGTGTACCAATGATGTTAATATTTCGATCGGAAACATCATTCTTGCTAATAGGTTTCACAGGAACAAGTCCGTATTGCCCGGGAGGCCGACCACATATTTATCGAAGAGATTAAAGCGGCCGGGCTGTACCGGAAAATCAGCCAGGCATTTGCGGCCCTTTTGCCTGTCAAGGCAGTTGGTGTAATGGGAGACCAGCGTGTTCATGACCAAGTCATTGCGCTCCGGGCTGTGGAGACCACAGACTTCATGACCGCGGACTGGTATCCGTTTGACGGCGAGTTCCTGAAGACGGTCAGCAGGAGGATCGTGAATGAGGTCAAGGGAGTGTGCCGAGTCGTCTACGACAGTAAGTATTTTCATTCTTTTATTTGGTTTCTTCTCCGTCTTGGTTCGTTCCCGCTTCTCACGAATATTGAATACCTTACCTATTCTTCATAGTTACAAGCAAACCTCCCGGAACGATTGAAATGGAGTAATTGGGGATCTGGGACGAATGGCCTAAGCCGTAGCTGTGGGCGAAACCGGCAGATATCCCAGATTTGCAGCTACGTCTGTACATGCCATCGATGACAATCCATTGCGGAACAATGATGACCCTTAGCCTTCATGAAATTACTTTTTGCTTCTAAATGGGGGAATAGATACAATTGGCGTTCTTGGCGGTAATTAATAATTCTTCATATCGGGGGCGATCATGGTGTAGGAAAGCGATATCAAATGGCTGCAGACGTTAACTCTCCAACTAGCCCTCTAGTCTAATCTAGTTTTCAGACCCCTTGTGTCAAAATGTGAGGCGTGGGTGTGGTTTAAAGGGTGGTTGGTGGTTTTCTCCATGAATCATTGCAGTGTTCAAATTCAAATGTCTTGGCAAAACCAACCCTGCCAAAGTCGTCATGGAGTCCACGTGATTTTGCTCTGTGCTGTGGCTCTGACGCTCTTTGGAATCACGACTCAAACAGGTGAAGAGAGATGGGATCAACACCGCAGAGAAAATTATGAGCAGCTCTCACTGGAAATTCTTAGACACTTCATTCTCGTTATCCTATTTCCCAACATATAATCATTCACAAACGTTACTCGGTTGAAACACAGCGTGACGACGGCTTACTCCAGCGCATAAGAATGAGTGGATTACGAGGAATAGTCAAGGAAGGGTGGCATCCGAAGGGTAAAGATGGTGGCCGGGAGAGTTGGCGGGGCGATTTCAAAGGCATCAACCAAGTCGTATGTTTGCTTTGGTTTCTGCTTTCGCTCTCTATCACTTAACCCATTTGTTCGTCGAGCAATAAAATTGCCACCAACGGAGGAATCGAGGTCCTGACTGATCGTTTTGTGTCTAGGCCGGATGGGTAGGCAAAGGAAAGAGTACCTCGGATGGCCGTTCTGAGCATTCAAGTCGGCCTATAGCTTCTCTCAAGGACCCGGCTTCCTTTCCTCCCCCACCTAAACACATAAACAGGCATGGGGGTGGTGGGGGAGTCTCGAGCCCAACGCCAGGATTGGGCACGCCTCTATCCGCTGCAGAAATCCAATCGCTGCGTCAACAAGGGCGGGAGGAGCAGCAGACTGAGGAAGCAGAACGCTCAAAGAAAGTCCCCCCTCCGGTCCCGTTTAGGGCTAACACTACGGGGTTATCCACCGACAATTTCCTCCCTCCCCCTGTTCGACGGCTCAACGCTCCAACTGGATCGGCGGATGAGTTACGATCGAAACAGATTCTCAAACCGAAACCTTCTTTGCCTCCTAGACTTCCACCTCGAGGCGCAGCGCATCCGTCTCCATCACCTTCACCGCCTCCGGCGTATCATTCTTCCTCGAACGGACTAGTATCTGCAGGAAACACAAGTGCCATCGATCGTCTTGGTAATGCTGGGGTATCCGTCCCAAGTCTCGGCATCCACAGGGCGGACTCTGGTCCGCAGGCAACAGGTTCCAGCTCAACGGGAGGTATATCGTCATACACCTCGCAGAACGAATTGCAGGAGCGATTTTCCAAAATGAATACCTCCCCGACAAGCTCGGCTTCGTCCGCAGCACCCATTCCCGCTGAAGGCACCGCCATGGAGCAGAAGCAACATGCATTGCGAACAGCACACTCATTCAGTCGAGACCCTACATCCATATCTGCAAGTGATGCGCGAAGTGCAGTGTCGACAACAGGGAATTTCCGCGAGCGCCATAGTGAGCAGATTGAGTCAGGCAAGAAGAAGTTGTTCCAGTTAGATCAAAAGTATGGCATTTCCAAACGAATCAATAATTTCATAGAAGACCAGAAATCTCCCGCGTATCCGGATCCGCAGCCTCCACCACCTGCTAATGCTGCCCACAGTCCTCAGCGTCCACCGTCCCATGCTTTCAACCGACCAGATCTAGAAGTTTTGAATAATCGAAAACCTCCCCCCCCTCCTCCCCCAAAGAAGCCGAGCATTCAACCTCTGCCCGTTGATGGACCACCCCAAGTTACCATGCCTCCACCATTACCTTTGGGGACCAAGCCGCGTTAAGCTATGCGGGACATGATCTAGCGCAGTTTGGTCATATACCAAAGGTGCTTCGACAAACTAGAGCTTGTTTTTGTTTGCTGTTTTCTGTTTGTTTGTTGAGCTTTTATTTGTGTGTGTGTGTGTGTGTGTGTGTGTGTGGGTTTCATATTTTTTGAAGGGACATTAGTTTGCGTGGCGTACTCAAGACTAAGGAGTTGAAGAGGTAGGTTTGCAGCTCATCTTTCAAGTTTTGCATTTCTTTCATTTTTTACTTTTCTCACTTGTTTGCATATCACTACTATGATCTATAATTACTCTTATGATTATCTGCTATGATGTTTGCCATTTGCTGTTATCTGCTCTATTCACACTGCATCCTCTGTTACTCCTATGATATGCTTATTGTGGTTATTGTGTATCCACAAAGCTCCACAAAGACTAACCCATAAAAGCAGGCTACATATTTAGTTGCTTTGAGACTTTATCCATGCTGAACATTGAGTGTGGCAAAAATGGATGTGCGGAATCCTACATTCCAGCAGCTCTAAATTTGCCATCTGCTGTCATTCGCTGCTGTTTGTTACTACTGTTTACAAACTATGTTTGCTATGAACCACTTACTTGCCTTTTCAACATCAAGAAAAATCTTAAATCAAACATCAATAAGTTTTTTATATAAGTACAGTATGTGAATCAATTGCCTTTCAATAAATAATTGAGAATGAATTGTATTAACAATTGAACTAGTCTACAAAGCACAGAACATATGTCTTGAAACAAGGTACTAAATTACAATCGAAATAAAACAGGTGCATCATGCTTACCATGCTTGATTAAAATGCAGATGAGGAATTCCATACACCAAAAGGAGCGAAAGAAGCAAAAGCAACAAAAGAAGCAAAAGCAAAAGGCAATTGTCGTCATCACCATGATCCAAACCAAGCGCCACCCAACTCAGCTCAGCAGTCCTCCCATTCCCCAAACTCCACCACGGCGTCCACCCCCACCGCCGCCTCCGACCCCAAAAACCCCACTGTCAAAAATACCGCTAGGTATCGATGGAAACTGGTTCGCGACCACATCGCCACATTGCCATACCCGTCCTTCCCACTCTCCGTACGGCCGCTCGTGGGACTGCTAGACTCGCTCTGCCGGCGCCGAGGCAGAGGGTTGGACGGAGCCAAGGTGTGTGCTTGAGTGGGAAGGGGGTTGCATGCTGTTGGTCGAGGCGATACTCGGGCTAGCGAAGGTGATAGAAGTGTGTGCTGGATGTTGGGGATGTTCGTTTGCAGAATGCGAGGGAGGCAGCGAAGCTAGAGCTGGGATATACATGGTCCACAAGGCACTGGTTTTTTATCCCAATTGCCATGGTCCATGATCGCCGGCTACTTGCTTAGACCTAGGTCCAAGTCCAGCAAGAGCGAGGCCACACGCCCCAGCCGCAGCGGGCGAGGTCGCCCTTGCCTCCAGCTTTCCTCTTGCAGTCTTCCTGTTGGGCGCAGTCCCTATCAAATTGGCACTGGAGGGGATCAACGTCAGCAAAACATGGACTTTGGGCTACATAGTCAATTGAACATAAGACTGGGCTAGGACTTGAGCATACATAAACCGTAGGCGCGCACCAGTCCCACGGACCTGTGGTCTGCCCGAGGAAATCATAAGGACCTGGATATTCCCCTGGTCCAGGGACTTGTGGTTCTGCAGCTCTTGCTACAGGTGCATTAGCGGGAGCTGGGGAGGCAACGCAGGCCGCAGCCAACATCAAGAGTCCGGAAGCGAAGGAGAGCTGCATTTTTTCTGAATTTCGTGGAAGAGTTTTCAAATGGAAGAGGATCGCTGCAAAATAGATAGTAAGAGATGAAATTGGATGGATATTGTTATTTTTCCTTGTGTTTGTTTTCGAGGATAATGTTTGATTGAAAGAGAAGATGATTGTTGTTCTTGTGAATTGGATTGAGAAAATGAGGAGCAGGAGTGATGCTTTTATAGACTTATCCTTCTTCTTTTTCACTGTCAATTGATATGTTATTTTTAGTTCCAGCTTGTTTAGTTTGTCATTAAACTTCTCAGTTAAGCTCAGTTGAATCTTGTTCAAATATCTGAAGGTTGACATCATCAATGGTACACTTACAACTTTATCTTTAGCCTCAGTGAGTGCCCTACACTAGGATAACATTGCTTGAGCTATTGATGCTGTGAATCATGATGTAGATATCTCTATTGCACTCACACTTGCAATTGTTAGTTATTGTGATTCTACTCATGAAACAGAAGGAGGTTTCAATATTCAGAACACAGTCAAATATCAGTAAATTAGGCCATTCACTAGCTTCTAGTACACAGTAATCATAGTGCTCTGAGCATTCTTGGTGGTTTACATAGCCATCATCCATAATGACAGCCGTTTTGGCAGTGGAATTGGTGTTGTTTGGAAGCTACTTCCCAGCGCTGAACTTGCCCAGTTGCCACATCGACGGCAAGGGGATTAAGCATTTGCGCCTAACCTTATCGTGGAGATCTTCAGCACCGCCACATTTTCTGGGGAATCGAAACAACTTTAAATTTATGTACTAAGTGACAACACATTTCAGTGCAGTGTTAAAAGACTGTTAAAATTTAAGTTACTAATTATTAGGGAATACAATTGTAGTGTTTGTTTATTAAATGATTTCCAATTGATTCAAAATCAAAGTTGATGCTGTCATGGTGAGCACTGCCCTCTCAACATGCTGGCTTTCCAATAGTTGTTCCCGACCTCTGCTTCAAGTGCGAGAGTAGATACTAGTATTATTACAAAAAGTAAAATATCTTAGAAATCACAGAACTATCATAGCATTGGAATATAACAGAAGTTACAAAACGCCATCTGATCATATTAGTTTATCATGTTGGCAATCAACTTCCGCTGAGGTCACGTACTGAGCAGAACACCGGGGCGGCCTAATGGAGGTGCCAACATATTATGAATAAATGGCTAAATTGAAATATTAAAATCAAATACTGTCAATGGCCACCACTGGCTGGGCTTAAGCCGAAGGGACTATAGCCAGCCGCGCCCGCCACCTTAGGTATACAGCAGCGGGGACCTGCGGCGACCTACCATTGCAAATACATAAAAAATTGTTTGATAGAATACTTAATACTTGTTGGCATCCCTATCACTCTCTAGAACGCCACATGGTCCACACTGATATAAGCAGTGCTGCACCTGCTAGATAACTACAATGAACCAACTTTCCACCTCCATCAATACTTGAACGTGGGTTTAGAAGAAGAGTCGAGTGTGGTTTATGAGTTTGGCCAATTCTTTAATAACAATATTGAACTTCATGCAAAACGAGTTACCTAAACTTACAATAGTTTTACTGCGTAAACTAATTGTTGACAAGTTTAATGCATACACAGTTTTAGTCTTTATGTGTAGATCTCAAGGCCTGTCAACAAGCATTATCATCATATCGTCAGATATTCAAAAATAACATTATACAGCATCTCTCTTATAGCAGCGATGTTTAGTTATGATATCTAGCGATGATATGACGATCTAGAGATATCTATCAATCTCAATGATTAAGAGATGAAAGCTGGAATATTTCAGAGTTGATCTCTACTCACAAATCATTTTTCACTATAGTTAATTATCACTGCTGTTTACAGCTGATTAATACTCTTCAATTAATTAAAAATTAAAAATTGAATACTTTATCTGATGAAATCTCTGTTATTCATCTTCATAGATATAATAGTCTGAGATATTGAATATAATGAATCAAAAATGAGATCTTTATATACAGCTGTATTTATAAATGATGAAAAGGCTCTTCTAAGTTTATATTTTAAAGTTGCTTTTTTTATAATAAGAAAGATTTAATCTCTGAAGAATATTGAAACTTTAAATACAGAAACAAAGTCTCTTTCAAAAAAGAAATAAGAATTAAAAATATAATAAAATGAATTAATCTTTATTAATTATCTAATATTAAATCTATATAAAAATGAAATAAGAAATCTGATACGTTTTTTTATAATATGAATAATAATATCAACTGATATAGATATTGAAAGAAAGTTCTCATTTTAAAGGTCTTTCTCTTTACTAAAGAGTGTGAAAAGAAATATTCAGATATAATTATTCAAAAAGAATAAAATATCTACTTATAATCACTATATTTAATATTAAATATATAATATCTGTAATATTCAATAAATACTCTGATTAAATAATTCTCTAAATTTTAATTCTATAGAATTATACTGACTCCGAATAAAGTGTAAAATTATAAAAAAGAATGCATCAAAAAGTTGAACAGAAGTAATCAAGACATAAGAGCAGTATTGAAAAAATCTTTTATAGAACACTACAAATATAAATAGAATGAATTTCTACATATATTTAAAAAGATTATGGAATTAAAAGATGGAAATGAATCTAAAAAAGACTGTAAATAATTATATTTAGATTGTATAATATAAAGCATTTACTATCATCAAATCTATCATTAAAAACTTGCTATCTTCAAATTATACTTTTATAATGTTTTTAGTATGAGAAAAAAAACTTAAAAAATTAGTAGAACTAGACTGGATGTTAGATTAAGTTTCATGTTTAAAGATAAAGTTAGAGACTTAGAGTTAAGATTAAGTTTTATTGATCTTTGTATAAAATAAAGTTAAACTTTTATCTACTGCATAAAGTTAAATTTAATTGAGTTGTGTAATTTACTTCTTTATTCACTTAAGACTGTTTTTATTTTATTTTATTTTTCATACAAAAGCTATATTTTATTTCAATATTAATATAAACAAGTATAATTTATTAGAGAACTTATGCCGACCATCATCACCCTTCATTATACAATGAAGAATTAAATTTAGAGTGGTAATAGAATTTCCAGTGATTTATATTTTTAAAAAAATAGATTATAATTTACAGTCAGATATGTAATATTCTAACTGTGAGGTTCACAGAATGCAGTGATTGTGATTCTGACAGACAGAAGGCTTTTTCACTAGTAGAATAGCTGTGTTATAGATTGAGTATACAACAATATCTATTCATATACAGCAGGCAGAACAGAAGGCTTTTGAAGATTTGATTGAGCATTCACAGTTGAGAGCGCAGATTTGACTGAGCCGTAGAGTGTTGACTCTCTTTCTCTTCCCAGAGAATTAAAGGAATTAGAAGGTCAGATTGATGATTTCCTTTTCAATTCTTTATAAATATAACATAAATCAAGATCACAGTTTGTAACAACAGTACAATTACTATGCTATATCTAGTATATATTAATGTGATAGAGGGTTGATATATCAAGGAAATACAGATGATGCAGATATCACTTTTCACTTGTTACTATCAGAACATACTGCTCTTAGCAACCCTCAGCAAATGCATCTTCATATTCAAAAAGCAACTGAATCTTTAACTCTTCACTGTAGAGAGTGCAGACCCAAAAGGTAATACAGAAAAACATAGAGAAAAGTGTTAGAATATATGAAAATGAAGAAATATATAGAGAGTAGATAAGCAGTAGATGTTTATTCAAATAGAGATCGGGGGGATTTTGAGTAGATGAATACTGCCAGCTCAATATCTAAAAATCTCTAGATTCAAAGATTATTCAGATGAGACTAGTTTTGCACTCTACTTGACACATCTATTCATCATCTACTTTATCTTTATACTTTTGATATATTTATTCTCTTTATTCTCTTATCCGCAAAAGGTCAAGCAGTACTGATCTATTTCAATTATATAGTCATTTCCAATGCATTTTGAAGTTAGCAGTCAAAGATTTATTATGGTTAAACTTTTTTTGATATTACTATATTCTCTGTATATATTGGCGTCTAAGGTTAGCACCTCTGTTAGACCGTCCCGGCGTTCTGCTTGCCACATGACCACAGTAGTCACGTGACTCACATTCACTCTACTTGTTTACAGAACACTCAAAGTAGCCAATAACAACAAGAGTAATCAGATTAACCATCAACAGTATAAAATATATCATCACTACTCAATGTTATGTTGAAGATATTCACTTTTTCTTGTACTCATTATATGGTGAACTCATACGGAATACAAATGACACAAGTTCCGAGGCGCACCAACTGGCAACGATTCACTACCTCATTTTTCACAATGAGAAATTACTACTAGTAGTTAGTCCTCCCTCGGTCTATTTTTATCACAGGCTCGATTGGTAAGGCTGAGCCTCGGCCGAGGCTCAGCACCGGACGCTTATTACATAATTCCACATTTGGTTTAGTGATGTGGTAACTCTGCTGCGCAAGTGCAGAAGTAAACGAACGACTCTGTACTGCCCAGCTGTGGCGAAGAAGTCCGCTATTAGGAAGCTTTGACCCTGCCGAGGGATCACAACCCTGGTGGGTGTGGCAATGGGGGTGGGGCTTAGTTCAGCCATTCAGCAGAGTGGATCTGGCTCACTAGTCAAACTCTATTGAGCAGGGAATCATGTGCCAGTGCTAACTGAGAGGGGATGTGAGGATTCTGGGGAAAATCTTCATCTTGCTATTTGACTTCACAGGAAACAATCTTCAAACTCTTCAACTAACATGTTTGTCAGAGGCTGATTTGGCGTGATTGGAGGCTCAGGAACATTGAGACAGTTTATGGAAGTGGCTGATGATTTGCACAGACTGGTGGTTAGCTTGGGGAATCAAGATGATGAATATTTGGTGTTTACAGAGAAGAATATACCTAAATAAATTAAATTTCGTCAAATTCCGATATCCTCTAAGAATGACTACTGAATTTGAGGACGATACTACATACTCAAGAAGTGGTGGCAGCGGACGATTCTATCTCTTTCATTCATAGAGCATGTTCATGTTCGTAAAGCATTCCCACTCGGCTAAAAGGAAACTTTGAATATTTTCCTTTTTGGAACTAGCATAATCAGTTCGATAGTGCGCATGTTCTATTCAATGATATTATATAGATGCTGTCTGTGGTTTTGCAGGAAGCACTTGTGTGCTGACAAGATATATTTATCTTGACTTGGAGGGTCCATTGCCATGGCCGCCTGGCTGGCGCTGGCTAGGGTTTCGGGTTCCCCAACAGAATCCCAAAATCGAAAACGGGACGATCAGGGTCTCCTTTGGTGGTATATACATAATGCACAGTATGTGCACTGTACATGGCACCTAGAGAGCGAGATTGTTATATTTATTTTTTTTTTTCGACATTCCCCAAAGACGGCAATTAGGGCTGTTCCTTAGGGCTGGAGATGAAGCCATCCCACTGTCAGTCAGGTGACACAGCGGCTGGGGCTTTGGGCTGGCAGAAATCCTGCCACGCTAGTCTCGAATAGGCAGCCTCCGTTCAACAAAACCATCATCGATCAGACCAACATCACCAGCTATTGCATGGGATGGTGAGATATACAGCCTCAAGAAGCGGCGGAGACACCAGCGCTCATTCCATCATCTCCAAACTCGAGGCAAGAAATAACGTTTCTTTGGGAGAAAAGGTTCGCCGCGATTGGCCAATAAGCCCGGAATTATCTCGTTCTTTTCTCCTCTTACTTCCCTTCGCAACCACTCCTTGAACTAACATGCTGCTGGGGAATGATATCTGCAGGTTTCTCCGTTGCTCCTAATTGCAATTCAATAATGTCTCTGCTCCTCCTCAGATGGCCCCATCCCTGGCTTCGTTCTTCTTGAATTAATACTACATGTATTATCATGATAATACATGGAATCGCAATCGCTCTGACCATACTTTGCTCCCCTTGCTTGCCCCAACAATCCTTCTCAGCTGTCCCCGCTGGTCCTTAGATAGTTGGGCTCGCTCCCTGGTTCATTTCCCCAAATTTATTTCCCTCTTTCCCTTCATATTCTTTTTCTTCTTTTTTTCTCTGGCCTGATGGGCTTGTGATTGCAGATTTTTTTTCTCTTCCTTACTTTTATTATCTTTTTACACATCGCCATTTCCTGCTCCCTTGCGAAGTTGCATACTTCTCTTGCGTCAACTCATTCTCTCTTGCTTCTATTCTCTCTTCACCGTCTCTCCTGCTGCAGCTACCTCCGTTTTCTGCTGAGACTCGAAGCTACTTTCAACTTGTTTACTTTTTTGTTGTTTTCAGTCAGTGATAGCTGCGCTGAACCCATTTGACTTTTGACTTCGCCCACCAAGGTACGATGATGCTATGATAACATCATAACATCATCACATCATCACATAATCATATCATCACCAACTCTTCCCTTTTGATCAGTGCAACCTGCTCATCTCCTGGTCTTCGTCTATAACCGTCTTTCTATTTCCAAGACTGGTGCAGCTGCGCGACTATCTAATTACAAGATAAACAAGCTATTCGAGTCAGCTCCTATACCGTGACAGTGTTGACTGATCTCCATCAACAACTCCCGGCCATGAGCGCTTCCATCCATATACGCCTCCCTCCCGCTTCCTTTTTCCATTTCCCGCCTTCCCCTCTCCCAGAAACCATCCCGCCACCCACTGTTTCTCAGCCCACATGGAATCAGCCCTTCAACATCCCTGCGACCCTCTACCGCAAACTTCTAGAACCGCGGGTTCCCTTGACCGTTGCAGCCATCTATGCAGCAACCGTTGCCTCTATCAACCATGTCAATAAGCAAAGGGGTAACAGACCATGGGCTTTTAGTAAAACGAAAGCCTTCAAGATTTTCGTCATCCTCCACAATGTTTTCCTGACCGTCTACTCTCTTTGGACTTTTGCTGGCATGGCCCAAGCTTTCTATCAGTCTTGGCCCGATCGAGCTGAAAAGCACAACTTCGTGAACGTCGTCGATATGCTCTGCAAAGTCAACGGTCCCCGTGGTTTGGGAAATGCTGCCATATATGATCGCAACGCTGAAAAATGGACTATGATGAGCCCGTTATACACATTGGGCCCTGATGGTGTTCCAGATCCCACCGACGTCGGCCGTCTTTGGAATAAAGGATTGGCCTTTTTCGGCTGGCTTTTCTATCTCTCCAAGTTCTATGAAGTTATCGATACCGCCATTATCCTCGCCAAGGGGAAGAAGAGTTCAACTCTCCAGACTTACCACCACGCCGGCGCCATGATGTGTATGTGGGCTGGAATGAGATACATGGCCGCTCCTATCTGGATCTTCGCTCTCTTCAACTCTGCTATTCACGCTATGATGGTATGTATATTTCGTCCTTCTCCTTAGGCTTAGAGGGTTGTCGAAAAGCTAACCGATTTGGAGTATTTCTATTACACATTAACTGCATTATCCGTTCGCGTCCCCTTCAGCATCAAACGCAGCCTAACCACCATGCAGATCACCCAATTTTTGATTGGCACTACATTGGCTGCTTCCTATCTATTTATCTCGTATACGTTCCCTGTTCCTGTTCTCCACCCGGTTGCTTTGAGCCCCCTTGCTTCCGCTATCCCCGGCGCCCTTACCGCTGCACCAAATGATACTGCTGGCGGTATAGGGCCCTGGCTCAAAAAACTGGCCCTCCGCGCAGCTGGAGCTCAAGGCATCGCGGAGAATGTCCCCAATACTAATGGGAAACTATTTGGTATAGATGGAGGTCGCGCGGCACAGGCCGTGCTGGAGAAGCGGGAAATTCGGTATGGCTTGGAGTCTCGCACCTTTACCTGCTTAGATACCACTGGCCAAGCCTTCGCCGTCTCGCTCAACGTCATCTACCTCTTACCTTTGACTTTCCTTTTTCTCCGCTTCTTCGTGCGCTCTTACCTCCACCGAACTGAACAGGGTGGCAAACACCGAACGCACGTGCATGTCGCTGAGAAGGCCGGAATAGATGCTTTCAAGGGAGTTAGCCGCGAAATCCGGAACGCTGTTATGGAGATGCACGGCGATGAGGGTGGGGCGACCGATGTTGTAGATGTATCTGGCACCAGTACCCCACATCCCGAAGCTTACGAAGCGAACATCAACAGCATCATGACGGCCAAGCAACTAAACGCTGAGCAGTGGAGTGCTTCCATTGACCCACACCCGCGCGGACCACGATTAGCGGCTCCCTCGTATGGCGCAGTGACCGCAGAAGGAACTGGAGCAACATCATCAACATCAATAACATAAAATCGACATCACATCAACTGGTTGGCGCGCCTGTCGAATAGTCAAGGAGCAGCAGCGCGGCCACTTTCAAGTCACCAAGGGTTAAAAGAAGCGAACAAAGAAGAATAGCAAGAGATGGGTGGGGAACTGAGAAACTGATTCCTGCTGAAATGAAATGATTCCGCAACTGGTAGGTAAGGGGTGCAAAATATGCATTTTATTTCTTTCGAAGTTTGAAGGGAGATGAGTGGGAACAAGAAGGAAAAGGGGAAAGAAAGAAAAAGAAACACCCTCGCTCGTTCGAGAGAGCGGGGGTGTTTTTTGGGTTGCCACGCTAACATAAATGCGGGAAACAAAGAATGATCCACTCTAGGGGAGTATGACGGCTGACGGAAATATCCTTTATTCTTTTTCTCAATCCTGTGTTATTCTCTTTTCTGCGCCTTTCCTTTTCTTTTTCTTTTGATTCGACATATCAATTGCATTTTGTCTGTATACATAGGTCGGATACGGATGACCTGGGTGTTAATTCGGATGTCTTCCTATTGGCCATTTTTTCTTTGGGATCCTGCTCTTATTTTATTATTCTTGTTAGCATTTTCTTCCATGGGGGGGAGCTTTGAAAATTCGTTATTCAAAAATTTTCGGAAATCGATATGTCAATTCTTACATGTTCGATGGGTGGTGGTTTTTGTTGGGAATGCAGCTTTCTTGGGAAGAGGGTGGGAATGGCGAAAGAGGCCAAAAAAATTAGAGGGCGGGGAAACGTGGAAAAATAAAAGTCATCTTTGACTGGCGTTTAACATGGACGGTAAATGCTCTCTCCCACGTGTACCATTCTTCCAGTTCTTCTGCTCATGATGGATTTCAGGATTAGCCAAGTTTATCTTTTCCTCGCTTGGTTTGTTTGCTTGATTTAGCTATCTTAATGATCCTGCAAAAGTTCATACAACGCATTATTATTGATTGAATAAAAAATTGGAGATTGTTTGGCCAGTAAGGTAGGTTTGGAAAACATAGAAAATGGATTCTACAAAGCGGCAGCTAACCATCCGTTCGTGTGACAGGTGATCGCGTAACCAAGCAGAGGGCCTAGGGAAGAGGGCTGGGGATACAAGCTCTGGCCAACAAGATAGGAATGCTTACTCTGCTATGGCTTGGTCTGGATGATTCGTTGATCCATCGTTCAGCTCCCCCCTGCAATATGAAATATGCAATATGCAATGACGGGCGGGTCTTCTTCCCGTGTTGAAGCGGAGTAGACGACGGAATATATCCATGGATATAACTTTTCGCTGCCGAGGTTGCTCGTTGCTCGTTGCTGATAGCTCTCTGTCGTGGTAACTTTTAGCTATGTATGGATCTAGATGTTACGCTTGAATTCAAAGATGCGCCATCAGCTATTTATTGTCCAGAGAGATTTTTTTCCCTACGCCACTTGAAAATCGTATTTACCAAAAAATAGGGGGAGCAGAAGTATGTCGGAAGTCGATAGAATATTTGAGGAATACGCAAAGTCGCCAATAACCCCATTCCTCCTCTCCCCCCCCCACCAACTAACTCGAGTGCCCCCGATTTATCGTCGGAGAGATTTTGTATTTAATCATGCTCCCCCTATTCAATTGAAAGATGGTGCATGTGAACGCTGGGCCATACTTGTGACAGATTCTGCGGACACGATTCATATACAGACATAAAAACATCCCCTGCCTCAGCACGCTCCTCACAACTTATTATTTGCGCCTTAATTGCCGCAGTTCTCAGATCCGCGGCTGATTGAAATATCTTTTACGACATCCTCCAGTGTAAATCAATGGCTAAGTAACTTCTTCAAACCAATCACTTCATTGCAAGATCACTCGGAAGTATTTTTTCTTGACTATTTCTAGAATGGCGGACTCATAGCTTGAAGGAGATAGTGCAGAGGTTTGTGGTGTGGTGATGGGTAGAAGATGGAAGGATAATCGTGATGAATTCGCACTATGACCCACAATATCAGGGAGAGAGTAACATTCGGGATGTGGAGAAACTAAACATAAACAAGAGGGAAATTTGAACAAGGCCGATATCACCATTAGAGTTATGGTTGGTTAGTGACCGAAACTGCAAAAGCAGCTGCGCACTTATCTGTGGAGGTAGCGAAAGGAGTGCCGAAGTTTCAACGCCGCCATATTCAGCGCCATGTTAGTTGAGAATTTAGCATCTCTAAGCATATTTAGCGGAGTGAATCCATGCCCTGATTCATCCTCATTTGGGGATTTCCCACTGCGCCTAAGGAGGTTTATCGAGAGCGTCCAACAGCGTTCTGGGACATCTTATCTACCCTTTCTTCCAGAGAATCGGATGGGCTGGATCAACCAGCAAGCAGAGCCAGAGCCGACGACTGCCTGACAACATAGGGATGCAGTAAAGTCGTTTCGCTTCCCCATGCTTGCCCCATTTGACTTCCATAAAAAACCGTTTGCCTTGTCCCATCAACTGGCTAATTCGACTTATCGCCTCTCGCGGAGTATGGTTCAAGTGGTCAGTCACGTATTCCCCATCGACGTATATGTTGGGCGACACATGGGACATTTCGTAAAATCCCGGCGCCTTTGCTGACTGGGAGAGGATGAAGTAATCTTTGTAAAGCGCCAGAATACTTTTGGCGACATGGTTTACCAGCTGCTGCATAACGTCAGAGGTTTCTGACAGATTTTCTAGGCTGGTTGCTGGGCCTTCGTCTTGAGAATTTGTAGAGTTTATCTGCCGAATAAGGATCTCAATTTCAAGGTCACTAATAGTGAGAGCGTCGAGAAACTCGGTTACGTCAATGAGCGATGCGAGAACAAGGCTGGTGCGTACTCCTATGGAAGGAAGCCCTCCAAATAGCATTAGATGTACACTCTCATTCTCATTGCCTGCGATCTCGGTGATGATATCCGTTGTCTGGTCCACAGAGCGTTTATTATGCAAGAAGAATTTATCATTTTCGAAATCTTCAGTGGACCACAGGCTCTCAGATGCGTAAAGGACACGGTCGCCTTTGACAGTTGGGCTGACAATGAGGAAGGCATTAAAATGGTCGAGGTTTTCGATTGCGGCCCTGCCCTCGAGAAATTCCATTAAAAACTGTGTGGGCATTTTAGAGACAGAAGAAACAGGACTTGTATTCAATGTATCCTTCGTGTTGGTCTTCGCGGCAACAGCTGCTTCGTATACTAGAGCTCTCAGATTTTGACTGTCGTTTCTCCTTCGTAACCCCGTAGTTTGCGAAGTATCCGCCGTGGCAGTGAGTTCAATACACAGCGTCGAGGGGCACAGTCCTATGGAAGGTTCAGCAGGTAGTCTTGAACTAAAGCTTTCTTTTCGTGTCCTGCAATCGCGGTCTTGACTTCTCCGGCGTGGTTCTAATGAAGCCGAACCTAATGGTGATTCAAAATTTTGTCGTTTATAAAGGAAATGTCGTGAGGTGCTTGCCACTCCAGGGGTTCGATATCTGCCTCTGGAAGGAAGCCCTGTATGTTCATGATGTGAATCTCTGCCTTTGTGAGCGAACCGACTAAGTAGCCATTGCAGTGCAGTCAACTTCCACGACTGCTTCCGCGGCATTGGATACGGTTTGTCGAATATTACTTGGGACATTTCAACTATCACCGGTATCCAAAATTGTAACTGTGCCTCTGTGGGGAATGAGGAACACAACCCCCTTTTCCCATTGAAAATCCCTCTTAAAATTCCATGTCTAGTGAGTGTCGTATTGAAAGAATCAATATGAAAGAATATTCTAGACAGAGCATCAGCGATATTGAAAGAACCACAGAAAGAGGCTTGAAAGAATCCCTTGATGAAAAATAGTTTCCAGAATGGAATTAGCTTCCCTTTGAGCATTCGGAAACTGAAGAATTAATTGAAAAAATAACGAAGTTTCTAACATTGACGTATCAATATTTGTTCAATAGAAGAAAACCGGGAGATCTAACGATCTCCGGATGTCGCCTTGCTTTGGCGAAACATGCTATCCCAGAGGGACCGTCCTTGTGTAATGCTCCGTTTGTTTAGAACAACCCCGCAACACAGGTAGCTCAGGTGGAACCTATTCCCATTATGTAGAATTCATTACCAAGCTAGACCCTAAACTTGGTGCTTCAAAAAGAAATGGACCAACCCCAAATTCGAAATGATATCCGGTCATTGCGCGTGGATGCTAGTAACTTGGAGTGATGTGATTGCACTATGACGCTGAAGCAACGATATTGACGGAGACACCTGGATAGTAGACTTTCAGAAGCCTAGAAAATGAGGCTCTCTGCTGCTATATATGGGCGAGACTCAACATTTCTGAGCTCCGAAGAAGATACTCGTAATTATAGCCGAACGTAAATAAAAGATTAAGTTACGTCTGGAGAAACAAAACCTTCTCTTTACAAACAGCTTTTAGTCACGTGACTATGACTAAAGCAAAAACTTTCGAGTCTCAAAAAAATCGAATTGATCCAACTCTGGCCGTTGGACGAAGCCCGTCATCGCTCTCCACCCCGCTGCAATTGAGAGCCATCCTCGCCTCCAGGGCCTCTCTCACAGTTTTCTTTCATTATCCTCTACAGTCGTCCCCCCACATCCCCGCAGCCCATATGTCTACCACAACATCCCGAGCCGTTTGGCGACAATCGCGATGTCTGATCCGAAGACCCGCCTTCAGATCTGCGTCAACAACTGCCGAGGCTGCCTCCAGATCCAAAGTCGCCGCAACTTCCGCTGCATCAAAAGCTTCTGAGGGGATTTCTAAGGCTGCTTCGACCGCTGGCCCTGCTGTTATCAAGGCTCTCACAGGTGTTGGTGGAGCCCTCAAGAGAGTCGGTGGACGAACAGGAAAATGCGTCGCGTTCGTCGACTGTAAGAACCCAATATTTTGATCCAGGCATCGCCATTTCATCGTCCATGCTTGAGGATGTCAATGGTCACTTTCGCTATTTTGCTTGAGATCCCGGTCTCAACTTCTCATCAGCTGGAATGCTAACCTAGACAAACTTGAACCAGCACTAATACCCCCCACGATTTATTACTCGAAAGTTGGCTTGGAGTTGTCAAAGATAGTATTCAGAGGACAGAAAATGTACCCGCCGTAAGTTTCACTGGCATCCGTTCTTACGAATGGGAGTGAATATGGCATTCTGTTGCAAAGCTAACGCGTTACAAATTAGGGGCCTTACCACTTTCACAGAATTCTACCAACCTCTCCTTAAATATTTCCGTCAACCAAGGGCCTTGATGTCACAGATTTCTAAGTCTTTCAACACAGAAACTCTTCTCCGTCTCCAGAGCCTCGATAAAAAGCAACTAGCCGTTCTTGGTGTTACGACTGCAGAGTTGATAGGATTTTTCTCCGTGGGCGAAATAATTGGCCGATTCAAGCTTGTTGGATATCGGGGCGAGACTGCACATGCGCATTAGATAAACTGGACTTTTTTCCTTTAAAAATCTTTGCAACATATTTTACTTCGAACTTTCTTTCTTTTTCCCTCCCATTTTTTCTCTCTTTATCCATTCCCATATTTTCCTGCAGTTGTATAATAGAATTCTAAGGCGATCTGTTGCCAAGTCGCCATGGATTCCTTCGCGTAATTTTGTTGTCAGATTAAATACTTCAAAATTAGATTTCCTTTGCTTGCACACATCACTCGCATTTAAAATAATTATTTCCGCAATTCCTAGTTTCCAGTAGATTGATGGCCCAATGGTTATCTGATATCAAATGCAATGCCCCAAGCTTCAGTGATCAGAGCAGTCTCGATATTTTCACCATTTTAGCATGTTCACGTGATCTTATGATTATTCGAAGAAATTTTAGGACCATGACCAGGATCCCTTAGGAAGCAAAACCATAGCGGAAGCAACCATCAGGACAATGCAACGTTGTTAGGCGGCAGTAAGTGTGGAGATGGATGCGTTCAAGCTCCTCACGCGGTCAACAAAACTCAAAACGGGCCCGGTTTCTAGGCCAGCAATATCAAATTCCTTACCATCCGCGGGCGCAGCTGCAAATCCTCAGCTATTTTCTGGTCGTCATGAGCCGGATGCTGCAGAAGCTTATAACGAACAAAACGGAATAAAAGGAAGGAAGCGGAAGAGAGGATCAGATGGAAATGAACTCTCTGCAGATGCCAGTGCCATAACTCTAGACTTTTTTGGTTCTGGTTCCTCAGCTCATGATTTTTCCAACGGCCAGGCGAAAACCGGAACACAAGATCAGAACGAGGATGATGGGAAGAAGACAAGCGTTTCCGATGAGATTGCTATCAGCGAGAGTCCATTGAGCATAGAAGAGCGAAAAGCAGTTTTAACGGCGCATAAGATCAAAGTAACGGATCTTCGGACCCCGCCGGTGATTGCGGAAGATGACAAAAAGTCAGGGAAAAAGAAAAAGAAACAGAAGGGCGAACAGGCACCTATTTTCCTAAGCCGGAAACAGCAGAGGAAATCTCAGAGAATGTATCCACGGCCATTAATGTCATTTCAGCAGTTGCGAACAAGATATCGGATTTCTCGACGGCTTTCGGAGAACATTCTTAATCAGGGATACGCTGTGCCTACTGAGGTCCAGCTTGGCGCACTCCCATTGTTGCTTGGGGATTGTCAGAGCTCGTCCGCGAGAAGTCAAGAGGACGGATTTCAGTTATCCCAATCCACGCTTGAACCAGATCTATTGGTTGTTGCACCTACAGGGAGTGGAAAAACACTTGCGTTCATGATTCCGCTCATTAATAAAATAATATGCCATCATCACCTAGGCGAATCGCAATCGAGGGATTTGTTTGCGGTCATTTTAGCTCCGACAAAAGAGCTTGTCTCACAAATCGTTAACGAGGGCAGAAAGCTCATGGTGGGTACTGGTGTGAAGATTACAGCCGTGCGGAAAGGAATGCGGGTTGTGGAAGACATGGAAATGGAAGAAGCATTTTTAGATGAAGAAAGTGGGATCTCCGAAGACGAAGACGATGAAGCCGCAAAGGCAAAACGACTCGGAGGAAAGGTTCCCGTCACGAAAAGCGACATTTTGGTCTCTACTCCCCTGTTACTTGCAAATTCTCTTTCTGGTAACAAAAGCCGTTCTATCGCTCCTCTACCAACAATCCAAAGTCTTGTCCTAGATGAGGCCGATGTGCTCCTAGACTCCCTATTCCGTGACCAAACTCTAGAGGTATGGCGTGCGTGCACAAATGCGCGACTCAGAGTTGGACTATGGTCTGCGACCATGGGTTCGAGTATCGAAGAGCTTACCAAGTCAACAATTAACGAGCGACGGCGATCGCTAGGGCTACGCGATGAATCATTCCTGGTCCGGCTAGTTGTTGGGTTAAAAGATACTGCCATTCCCAATATCTCCCATAAGCTCGTCTACGCTGCGACCGAACAGGGGAAGCTTCTGGGGCTACGACAACTTCTGAATCCAAAGGGCGCAAGTTCCACCTCAGACACCCATCTACGAGCACCCTTTTTGGTATTCACACAAACCATCTCTAGGGCTGTGGCACTACACTCTGAATTGAAATACGACATCCCTGCTGAAGCTGGCGGTTCGTCACGTATCGCTGTTCTACATTCTGAGCTGTCTGACTCGCAACGATCTGACATCATGGCGGGCTTCCGCAAAGGCGAAATATGGATCCTCATCACAACTGACCTTCTCTCGCGCGGTGTAGACTTCCGCGGGATTAACGGCGTTGTGAACTATGACATTCCCAACTCTAGTGCGACATATGTCCATCGCGTAGGCAGGACAGGACGAGCTGGACGTGAGGGTGGAGTAGCGGTCACCTTTTACACAAAGGAGGACATCCCCTATGTGAAAAACATTGCGAATGTTATCGCTGCCAGCGAGAAGTTGCGTGGAGTTTCTGAAGATAAAGGCATCCAGGAATGGTTGCTGAATGCATTACCCAATCTGTCAAAGAAGGATAAGAAGGATCTAAAGCAACACGGTGTAAGACTTCGACGACCGATGACGAAAAAAGGGGCGCAGGATGAGAAGGCGCGCAGTCAAACGCGGATAAGTACGAAGAGTGGGTTTGAGCGGCGAAAGGAGCATAATCGGAGAGATGCGGCTAAGGCAAGCAGACGGCGGATGCATGCTGGCCTGGCAGAAGATGGAGAAAATCCAAGTGATAATGGATCTTGGGATGGTATCGAAGAGTAAACATTCCGAATATATGCACCGTACATATATGCCCACGACCTGATCCCCAGAATTCAGCAACTTCATATAACTCCTACAAATGAACCGAAATTTTCCCGCCTTCAGCCTTCCTTCTCCTTCCCTCTCCCTTTCCCTCCTTATCTTCCTTCAATTTTACCAACCGCCTTTCCAAAACTAATCTCCACAACTCCCCTCTTCTACCTCCAACGTTCCACCTCTACTGATCTTCCCTCCCATCAACATACACTGCTCAGACCAGTTACGCTTCCTGAACAGCTACAAACCCCCCGATATCCTGTACCGTTAGCCCAAATCTGTGTCACTCAACACTATCCGCTGGTTATGCAGCTGCGTTGCTTCTTCAGAGTTCTCCTTACAGAAGACATCGAGGTAAAATCTCTCGAGGCGCTTTTCGTCCAATTGGCATTCGCTTGATTTCTTCTAGTCGCTCACTCGTTCGTAGACACTGATGACGATTGGGATGAAGGATATGGTGAGGAGACCTATAACCATAACTCGGTGGTACAAGTGCTTGATTCAGCGGAAATTTGTTGGAATTATGACTCGTACTGTTTCTCTTTGATAAAGTGATTTATGAAAGAGATATTATATCAAGTCAAATGGTTTAATATTCTATGAATATATATAACGATTGATTGAAAATGACTTGCGGAGCACTCTGTAGATAGATATTGGGTACCAAGTGGTTCATAACAACCATATTCCCCCGTGCTGGACCAACCTCATTGTCTCCGCATATAAAAAAGAGAAGAAAAATTATTAGTAAACATCATGTTCCTCTCCTCCAATTGCTTCAGAACAGTCGTCCTATCTGTTTACTCAGCAAATACAAGGCTACCTCTGTGCCAAGGCTGAGAAACTTGTAGATTCATCCCACCAACATTGTGGCTTGAACGGAAAGGTGATTAATCCCACTTTTTTGAGTGGAGGAAGTTAGCTCTACAATATTTCATGATGATTTCTCTGCAGTGAATTTCCAAGTTAACGCGCAACTCCTGGACGAGCGGAGAGCTCTGGTCCAATTTCACGGTTAGAAGAGCTTGGATGTGGATGCAACATTTTATCACCCGGCAGCTATGGTGTATTACGGGGTTAAAGCCTATGTTGACATCCTTGACAACAAGGCACGAGATGGCTTAGAGTTATTTGTACAGATGAAGATGGAGTAGAAGGCAGCTTATAAAAAGGAATGTGCATTGCTATAAGTCTCTAGTGAATCTTTTGACATGGAATCATCAGCAACACTAAGCAGCGCTGGGACTTTTTACTAACTTGAAGCCTTTTCTTAGGAGCTTGATGAAGGGTCTGGCTGTGTCGGACAAACGTTAGATTAGTGAGTTCGTTTGAATATGGAGGCCGGACGTTTCCCAGGGATGAATTGCAAAGGCTGCTTCGTGCTCCATCCAGGCAGACACCTATTCGAAGATGGCGCGAAGTCGGCAATTGGAAGATAGAGGTCCCCACCATTGCAGAGAGATCCTTCGAGTAATGGTAGGTCTGATGCCAAAACTTCTAAGCTGTCGATTCCGTGCATCGGCGGCCTGAATCATCTCTCCTCATGAACGTCTTAAGACTATGGTTGGATCTGACGCTTGCGTCTAGAAACTGTGACTCACTCTCTTAGAGTGTCACTGCTCTCAGTGCTCTGAAGGGATCCTGCGAACGAAAGCGTCCTGGTTTCTTAAAATAAAATCCGAAGCGGAAGTGTCCTTTCCCCGGTCGATTATTTTATTTTATCTTATTTTAGAAATACATGGTACTAGGCAATTAGGCTCTGTGCCATCCCATTTGCCAAGTTGAGGACGACCAAATTGCCCTATACATCGCTGAGGAATGCTTTAGTGAACACGGCCCGGAAGTTATCACGCAGAATCACGTATCATGGTGCTTGTGCAAATGTTCTACTAGGCTTCAGGGAGTATCCTGTGACTCACTCGCCACCCCCATATGGCCCACCAACACCGCACCTCCAGCGCCGTCCCATCACTGCCCTCCCAATCATCAAACCCGATCTCTTCGCCCTCCATCAAGACAACCAAACCCGCCTCCTCCATCCGGTACCTAAATTCTTCAACTTGCGGCAAGTAAGCATCTCTCAATGGCATCTCAACTACCACCCTTGACCCGGCATCAGGGTATAGCCAGCGCTGGATTGTCTGCACAAGCCACTGCGGGTGATCAGGGGAGTACAGAGGGTCTGCAGCGAGAATAACATCGCATCGTTTGTCGCCATCTGGCTCAGGGCGCGCATCTGTTTCCAAAGACCAGTTCAGGACACCCGTCGACACACTCGCGCCCGTCTTTCCCAACAGCTCTTGATTTATTTCAACGTTGTGAGCTAGATTCGGTACGATGGAGTCCAGATCCGTGAGGCGGATGGAGGCCGCGGATCCCCAAAGGACCGCAAAGGAGAGTCCGACCAATCCCGTTCCAGAGCCCAGCTCGAGAGCGCGGAGGCGGCGGTCGATCTTAGATCTCGATGGGACGATTGAATGAGGTACTGTGAGGAAGGAATGGAGGCGTTTGGCGAGCAGGTAGGAGGAGACCCAAGTTTTCATGCCCAAGTTATCAGATGTGAGGGAGGGCTCGTGGAGAGTTAGCTGAAAGTTTGTTTGTTGGGTCATGGGGATGGTGAAGACGCGGGAGATGGTTGGCATAGCTATCTTGTCAGTATAACATTAGCCAATACTCATCACTGCTTCACGGCAGAGCAACCGTATTACCAGCCCTTCCTGAGCGTTCACAGAGGCGAGCGCTGGCGGCGTCCCAGATGGATTCACGGAGCTCGTCGGAGTCAATCCATGATAATGCGCTGGCGATGATGGACGTTAGGTACCGCGAAATTCCGGTTTGGAGGATCGTTAGTTGAGCGTTGCCATCGTTGTTGCCGAAGCTGCGTGGCTTAACAGCCAGTCGTTCTAAAGCTTGCAGGATATCGGTTGCCGTTGGTTTTGTGTAAAGTTGTGGGAGGTCGAAGACTATATAGGTAGGCAACCGGGAACAATTAGTCACCAATTTCTGCAACTACGAACACCAAATCCAAGATACCTACCATGAAGCGGCATCTGTGGCTTCGAATCGCTGGGGAGTAACTGTTTGCTCATTCCGTGGTGGTATATACCCGGGCGTTGAGTAGCAGAACTTGGCTAATCAAACAGATTATCTTACACCACTCTTGCCCAGAGACAACCTAGCGGTTAGGGAATATTGAAAGAAAGTAATATTCCAGAGTATACTAGTATAAACAGGACAGCGCATACTGGTATTTCAACAAACTACTATCCAACACCCCAAAGAAAAAAAAAATAATAGTGTTGCCAAAAATAAAATGTGGTCCGTGCATGGAAACCTTAACCTTATCGATAAGTTGGCGATCACCCGCTGTCAGAGTGCAGGAACAACGTCAAAAAAAGCCCTGAGCGGCTATTAGGTCACTTGCCGCGACCTGAATGCTTCTCGATCGTATTGCGAGAGAAAGGGGCATTGCTGGTACCAGAGCGGACCCTGAAAGGCCCGCAATCATGAATACAAGCATCGGCGGCTTTCATGATCATGGTGAGAGGTTACAAATTTCAGGAACAAAAAACGGCGACAATCGCACTCTGAAGCAATTTGCAAGCCAGAACAACCACTGTATTTAGGCCATTGTCGCAGCTTGGCTTTTTTTTTTTTTTTTTTTTTTTTATTTGAATCTGTCTACGCCTTTTTAATTCCCTTCCATACCTCTTGAAACAGTTCCACGAGCGGAAGCTCTCCGAACTCTTGAAAGATGGTCCTAGGCATAACATCAAGCTCAGACCAAGTCCTCAGATCCCACCAAGAAGACTGTACGAAGTACGATCACATCTGTTCGTCATTTTCCTAAATCGTGATCGATTCAAGGATTTTTGCCAACTAGCCGTACCTCCGCTATCATGCTGTCGTCTTCAATAAGCACTGGTGCTAATGATCTAGCTCCCAGGGTTGAAATTGTTACAACTCCTGACACTAAGCCCCCGGCCACATGTGCTCGTCGTAAATGGGGAATTTGAGATCCTATCATAACAGCCGGACCTCAATATTCCTCATTAATGACAATGGGCGTATCTAACATCTGTAGAATCCACACAAGAATGAAGGAGCGTGGTGGTGGTGGGAAGCAAACAAAAACGGAGAAAAAATATATCCATTTTGTCTTTGACACTCAAATTGGAAGTCGGACATTGTATTTCGCGACAGGCTATTATGACGGCGGGCTATGGTAAGGGTGCATAATTCGTAATTCGTCAAGGGGGGATATTCTCAAAAAGGCAAAGCGGAACCCCATCAATTCTACCTCTGGGATTAGATGGAGAGAAGTCCATAAGTTATCGGTAGAGGCTGTGTAATAGAGTAGGAATATCAAATTGAGGATGTTTTCAACTCAATGTATCTTTAAAACCCTGATAGGCCTGTTCGATTTCAAACGCCAGTTCCCTGGCCTGGTCTTCGCTCAGTTCTTCCGTCGCCCTCATTTGATTAAGGGCAATAAGCCACTGTATAATCTTCCCTCTGTTCTCGAAGTCCTGATCGGTTACTCTGTTCACAGATTGTATAATCTCAGAAAGCAGTGGATGCAGAGCATCTTTCGACACCATGTTCAGTTTCAGAGCATCTAGGAACGTAATAAAATTTTCCGTTGCCGCCAGAATCAGACTGCCTGATGTACTCGTGTTGGGATTGCTGGGTGCAGATGCAGCACTGTGAGACGCCTGCTCAACGGTGACAGGAACACCAATTCTTAGTCGCTCTGTTGCCCTGGGACACTCAAGCTACTGCGAAGTTAGTTTTCCCTCCATTAACCACGCAAGGAAATGTATGAAATTGTAATATCAGGGGGGAAAAAGCCAGACCACATACCCCCCAGATCCGCTTGAATGTATCTAAATCAACAAACTCTTTGGCAACGGTCTCATCGCTCAGGCTGGACTTGTACTGCTTCAATAGCCGTGCGCATGTTTCGGTATATTCAGACTCCGTAATTGCATCTTTAATGTAGGCTTTCTCCAGCCCATCCAGAGTCAGTATGATACTATATATCTCTGCTAAAGATTCGTAGAGGTCTCTCTCTGCGGAGCTGGATGATAGCTTTACTTCCTGTTTCGATGCACCATACCGGTCAGAATGAGAACCAAGGCATGGATCAGAAACGTACCTCATCCAGATTAATAGACGCCGATAGCGCTATATTGGGGGTATAACTGTATGGCGTAGGCGCATAAGACAACGGGCGTTGATACATGGTTGAATTGTCTATATTTGTGGACGTAGTTGTGATCGAAGGTTTGTGTTGGATGAGGAAATTCTGCCGGATTAGCTAAGGATGGCCAGTGGTCCGTGCGACGTTTTGCGCCGAGAAAAAAATATTTTCTAATTAAGAGCGGAAGACTAAACAACACAACAATTAGGTATATTCGTAATACTCGGATATCCACAGCGATCGATAAGGCCAATTACCTCGGTGTTCCCGTCCATTTTATTTAGCCATGGCAGGTTCTGCGAGAAAGGCCACCAAGAAGTTTGAGAAAAAGCATCTCAGGGAGACTATCGAGCGCCGCAAGGAATTCGCAAAGGTCAAGCAACGACACCGTCTAAAAGAAAAGAGACGGCAGAATAAACAAGGAGATGGCGAATCTGATGATGAGGAGACACAGAAGAATGGTGATGGCCGGAAATCTGCAGCAGCCGGGGGGGGAAATTCCTTTGCCGATATGAACGTGGATGACTTCTTCGCTGGTGGATTCGATGTACCAGATATTACTCCCGGCAAGAGGCAGAAATCTTCCAATAAAAAGGAAGTAGCGCCTAAAATTGGGAAGAGGAAACGCACTGCGGAGGTAGAAAAACAAGAAGGAGATCAGGAATCACCTGCACTGAGCGATAACAAAGAGGATGATACCGCTTCAGAGGCCAGCGATGCAGGCGACATCGATGCACATATGGAACAGCTGGAGGCTCTGAAGGATAAAGATCCTGAATTCTACAAATACCTTAAGGAAAATGATGCGGAGTTACTAGAATTTGGGGACCATGGAGACCTCGCTGAAGTTGATGCACTCAGTGATCGTGAGGAAGAGGAAGACGACGCACTCCCCAAGAAGAAAAAGAAGACCAAGGCATCCGAAGCCACCGAAGACGGTGACGCGGTCAATACGATTAATTTGTTGACGATTAAACAATGGCAGAAATCAATGATTGAGCAACATTCCATGAGGGCAACTCGACAAGTGGTCTTAGCTTTCAGATCAGCTGCGTACATGAGTGAAGCGGATTCCAAGGAACGGAAATACACGATTTCAGACGCAGATGTTTACCACCAGGTGCTTCTCACGGCATTGGAATACGTCCCTAAGATTCTAAACCACCACCTCCCTACCAAAGAGAGTGCTGGTGGGAAAATCAGAGTTTCGATGGAATCGAAAAAGTTCAAAACCTTGACTCCTCTAATCAAGTCCTACGCATCTTCCATCCATCAGCTCCTTACAAATCTGTCCGACACAGCCGCATTGAAGTTGACCTTAGCATCATTTGAGCCAATGCTTCCCTATCTCCTCCCATTCAGAAAGCTCTTAAGAGTTATTCTCAAAACCGTCGTCGGCATCTGGTCTGATTCCGCTAGCACCGAAGCTACTAGAGTCACCGCCTTTCTGATCGTCCGTCGCCTGATGGTGATTGGAGATGCTGGAATTCGCTCTGCAGTCCTGAAGGCAACGTACGAAGGGGTGGTTAAAGGCAGCCGAAATACAACCTCGCACACACTCCCTGGCGTAAACTTGATCAAAAACTCTGCAGCTGAGATTTGGGGGATCGACCAGAATATCTCGTATACCACCGGGTTTAATTTCATCAGACAACTGGCCATGCATCTGAGAAGCAGCATAACGCAGCCTTCAAAGGACTCCTACAAGACTGTGTATAACTGGCAGTACATCCATTCTTTGGACTTCTGGTCTAGAGTTTTGTCGTCTCACTGCGACTCCGTTGTAGAAGCCACTGCGGGCAAAGCATCGCCGCTTCGACCGCTTATCTACCCCGTAGTCCAAATCACCCTCGGAGCGATGCGTCTGATCCCCACAGCACAATACTTCCCGTTACGTTTCCAGCTCACGAGATCCCTCCTCCGTATCTCTCTTACGACAGGAACCTACATCCCGCTCGGAGCCGCACTCGTTGAGGTCCTCAACTCCGCCGAAATGAGAAAACCTCCAAAATCCACCACCCTCCGGCCCCTCGATTTCGCTACAAGCATTCGTGCCCCCAAATCTTACCTACGAACCCGCGTCTACCAGGATGGAGTGGGTGCTGAAGTTGCAGAACTGCTCTCGGAATTCTTCATCCTATGGGCCAAAAACATTGCCTTCCCCGAACTCTCGCTTCCTGTAATCGTCATGCTCAAGCGTTGGCTGAAAGAGATGTCCTCCCGCACGTCTGGAAACAAAAATACAAAAGTAAACCAGATGATCGTGCTAGTCGTGCAGAAGCTGGAGGCGAATAGTCGGTGGATTGAAGAGCGGCGGTCAAAAGTGACTTTTGCACCCAAGGATCGTGCGGAGGTTGAGGGGTTCTTGAAAGATGCGGAGTGGGAAACGACACCGCTTGGCGCGTTTGTGAAGACGCAGAGGAAGCAAAAGGATGAGCGGGTAAGGTTGCTTGAGCAGAGTCGGAGGGATGATGAGAAGAAACGCGCGGAAAAGGGGGATGTGAAGATGGGGGATAACGATGGCGATAGTGATGGTGTATATAGCGAGGAGGTTGAGGAAGACGAAGAGGAGGATGGAAATGTGGATATGGATGGATCATCTGGTGATGAAGAGTGAGCGGGATAGATGGGCCCACTTGATGATTTTATATTGTTGTTTAACGATAGTGGCAATGGCCTTTTGCAATTAAATTTTCGATCTCTATTGATGGGGATTTCACTATTCAGAAAGGAAAGGACCCCTTCAGTTCGAGAAATGCATATTCCCCTTTTAAAAATATACAGGGTTTATCACGCAGCCTCATTTCCTCGCGCACGTCCTTGAAGCATTCACTACTATATACACTGACGTATCGAAGACAACCCTCACCTCCAACAGCACCATTTAAATCCAGACCCCAGAGTCAAAAGAAAACCATTACCCCTCCCCGCTCCCATTCTCAACTTTGACCCCCCACTCCCACCCCCCACTCTTGCCACCAGTCTTCCTCACCACTCTCGCCTCGCCCACCACCATCCCCTTATCCACCGCCTTGCACATATCATACACTGTCAACGCTGCCCCCATCACCGCAGTCATCGCCTCCATCTCTACGCCCGTCCGTCCATGACAAGATACCGTTGCGGTAATCACGATGCTGCCGTGCGGGTGAGCGGCGGAGGTTATCAACTCCTCTGTCGTCATCGCAGCAGCTGGCACTGACCTGCTGCTGCTGTTCATGGACAAAACCTCCCCGTCAGACATTGGATGACCAGAGGCATCCTCCGGCGCGCATGCCTGAATGTCAACCTCCACACCCGTAATCCCCAGCCCTGGATGAGCCAGCGGGATAATATCTGCCGCCCGCTTCGCGGCCATGATCCCTGCAATGCGTGCGACGGAAAGCACGTCGCCTTTCTTCGTATAGCCGTCCGCCGTCGTGAGGAGGGAGTACGGCTTTGGATTGGAGAAGGTGACGCGGCACATGGCAGTGGCAACGCGGGTGGTCTCAGCTTTATGTGAGATGGAGGTCATGTGGACGGTTTGGGAAGGGGTGAGGTGCGGCAGGGACGGGTCGGAGGCCACTGGGAGATCAGGGATGCAGGGTTTGGCGGACGAGTGGGCTTTTGGTACTTGTGTGGTTGGTGGTGGTGGTGTGCCTGTGTTGTCGGAGCATTTCGTTGAAAAGAGGCGGAAATGCAGTCGTGCGAGGGAGGTGTTGTGGAGTAGATAGGTGGGAATCGCAGACCAAAGCGGACTCGGGCATGTATTACCGAGATGCGCCTGGGTATTGCCCTTTAAGCGCGCGGTCCCTAGGGACTGTCTTGAAGTCTCACTGACTGCAATACCATGTTCATCTGGATAAGAAGGCCATCCATTAGCACTATCGGCTGATTCATGAATGACATAAAGTGGGAGCAACGCAAAGCCTGGTACAAGGCAACGGACATATCTCCATTAAATCATAAGTAGAGTATGGAAATGGTATCGAGTAAGCCCCAAAAACATGTGCCAAACGCAATGCAGCCTCATCATAACACAATATCATATTATGCGATGGACCCTTGTCGTCCCAGTATTTCAAACCCAAAAGGACCTGTCAGGAAGAACCAAAAAAAAAGATGCCCATAAACAAAACAGGTATATGTAAAAGCAAAACCTACCCACCAATCAAAATCATAGGTCTATTCTTCATATTCTTCAACTCTCCCATGCCAGCATGTTTCGCCTTCTTCCGCTTGACAGCTATGCCAATGATATTGAGCAGCTCTCTTTCCCGCTCATTGACGAGGCCTCCATATTCGACCTGGCCAGCCCTTCTGGCAGACTCCAACAGGCCGAGCGCTTTCATGGCTTCCTCATCGATCGGTTGCCCATCGTTTTCCCTTCGAATCATATCCCGCAACGACACCTCTGCATTCCCGAACAAACATACTTTGAGGTTGCCATCGCTGGTGATGCGCAAACGATTACAAGTTCCGCAGAAGTTGTGCGTCATGCTTGTGATGAAACCCACACGTCCTTCGAATCCTGGCACACGATATGTCTTGCTCGTGTCATTCTTGTGATCAGCGACTTTCTCTAGGTTGGGGTATTTCTCACGAATGATCGTAAGCATTTCCTTGTACGGCAGCATTTTCGCCTGGTTCCACTTATTCCCGTCGAACGGCATGTACTCGATGAACCTGACTTCAAGTGGCTTCTCGCGCCCGAGCTCGACAAAGCGGAGAATCTCCCTATCATTCATCCCGCGCATAACCACGCAGTTAATCTTTAGTTTTATCTCCGCCCCTTGCTTATTCATTTCAAGGACACGGGCGATACTCTTCATCACAGCTTCGAGCCCATTACGCCGGGTCATGAGTTGAAACTGAAACGGGTCCAACGTGTCCAGACTTAGGTTGATACCAGTCAACCCAGCCTCTACCATGCTATCCAGTTTTCGATGCAGTGAAATACCATTAGTGGTCAAACACAATTCGCGTAGTCCATCACGACGTAGGCTCCCTATCTGTTGCATCATAGGTACGATATCCTTGCGGACGGTCGGTTCGCCACCGGTAAGGCGTATTTTAGTGACGCCTTGAGAGACGAAAAGGGAGGACAAATAGACGATTTCCGGAGTTGTGAGGATCTTGACAGCTGGGGAAAGCTCAACTCCCTCCTCTGGCATGCAATAGAGACATCGCAGGTTGCAACGCTCCGTAACGCTGATGCGGAGGTAGTCATGTTGCCTGTTGAAGGTGTCTGTCAGGAAGTCCGAGAAGGGTTTCGCATGCTCCAACGCGGATGACCTCGAAGCGCGAGAGGCAGGAATCGAGTCAGGAGTACATGGAAGTGGTGACGGCGATGGCGAGGGCAAAGGTGACGGTGAAGGTGACGGTGATGGTAGCGTATGAGCTGTCGGACTGTTCTGTATACCAAGGGCCGCTGCAGAACTCTGGAACCGTCGTCGGCGCCGAAAATGGGATACACAGCAGGGGGTGGAGAAGCGACAGCGCAAATTGGCTGACGAAGACAACAGCAGAGGAAAATGTCTCTGGAGTAGCTCAGCCATTGTGTGATTGATTATATCCCCAATATCCGGCGCATTGTGGAAAGGCGTGCTGCGAGGATGCACGCAGCAGCTGCTGGAGAGGAGATGAGGCGTAGAGGAGCTCGTCCATGTTTATATCTGGGATGCCAACGCCGGCGCCGACTTCCGCGTGGAGATGCGGGGATTAGTCAGGCAACGCATCCAGCGACCCCACTCCACGTGACTGCTGCTGTGTATTTTTGCTGCGGGTTTGGCCTAACAAGTTCTGCTAGTATGTGCTATGTGGGTCGGAACAGCGAACGTGACCTATAGCCGGTTATTACGGCCTATCTGTGCCACCCACCATCTTTCACTTCCGAGTAGTCATGTCAAGAGTGGGAGAGTTAGTTAGTTGGTCAGCATATAGACAACTTACTTGCACTCAACTATGAATAAGGGGAACTGAAATGGCGAAGACTGAGAGAAAGATGCTAGCCGGTGATGTATTTTGGCACAAAATACTACTAATTTAGCAATTGCATCGGCATCAGTGTCCCCGCATCAGCGTCTGTACCCGCTTCTGCAGGCTCTCCTCAAACTGTTCCACGCCATTCTCCTGGATACGGAGCTTCCCTCGCCTCAATATATATACACTGCGCCGTCTCGACTCGTCGTCGTCACCTGGCTCCGTAGTCATTTCTACATTTCCATCTTGGCCCGCTACGGCTCGCTTGTTTTCAACAACGCCCCGTACCAAATACCGGTCATGAGAAACGAGCAGGATAGCGCCACTGAAAGATGAGAGGTCTTCAATCAGCGCTACTACAGTGTGGAAATCAAGATGCGTCGTGATCTCGTCCAGGACTAATAGGTGTGGCAGATTCAATATTATCCTAGCCAGTGCGAGTCGAACCTAGATAATCAAATCTTGTTGAGCAGAAATACTTATGCAAATAGTCTTCTTGCGTAGAGAATAGAAATGGAATGGAGTGAGATGAAATGGAACAGGAAATACAAACCAGCTGGCCCCCTGATAACTGTGTGATTGGGACATCCGATGCGGTTCTTCCTATCAGGCCTAATGAACTCAACAATCCACGAGCTTCGCCCTCCCCAAGGCTCCCATTAGCGTCACGGCAAATTAATGAAAGAGCAGTCAGCACCGGCTCAGACCGCCCAAGTGCTTTGAGTTCATCCACAGAATGTTGAGAATAGTAGCCAATAGCTACTCTAGGATGGCGGGACACGGTTCCCAGTTTCGGTTGCATGGACCCCATTAGGACCTTTAGCAAAGTCGTTTTCCCACTCCCATTGAGGCCCATGATTCCAACTCGGTCTCCCATGTGGATTACCAGGTCGATGCCGTTGAGGATCGGATCGCTTTTGGGCTTATACCAGAAGTGGACGGATTCCAAAGAGACCAGCGGTCCCGGAAATCTCAGTTCCTGTGGATCGGGAATACTAATCGACACCCCCTTTTCATCCTGCGGGACCTCTATCTCGTCTCTCATGGAGTCGTGATACCCCACGCGATCACGATTGAGTTTAAATCTTGTACCCTTGGCGCTAACCTGCACGCCCATCCTCTCATTCACTTTCTTCTGGCGAGATTTCGCCATGCGAAGCTTGTTGTCATCGCCAGTCTTCTTGCCCAGCTTGATATTGTCTCGAATGGTCGCCTCCATGTGCGCAACCTGGCGATCCTGAGCTGCTTTCATACGCCCCCAGTAAAGTTTCTGCGCTCCTAAATCCTCCTCGTACGCTGAAATATTGCCCTTGAAGTATGCAAGTGTCTGGTCCTTCAGGATAATAGTTTCCTCGCACACGTTGTTGAGGAAGTCTCTATCATGGGACACAAGTATGACGGTTCTATCGTCATCCACCGCACGAAAATGAGAAAAATAATTCTCCAACCAGACTATTCCCAGAAGGTCGAGAAAATTGGTCGGTTCATCGAGAATCATAATATCTGCTTTCTGGACCAGGCTTCCAGCAAGCATGCAACGCATGCGCCAGCCACCCGAGAGCGATTCGAATGGTTGCTCTAAAGCCGATTCTTTAAACCCTAGGCCTAGAAGCACTCGTCGTGCCTCGGCCTCGATGTCTGTGATTTTCATCTGCAGATGGCGGTTAATATATCAAGTGTCCAGGGCGTTATTTTTCTCCTCCTTTTAGGGTCAACATACTGCTTCATATTGGCATTGCAATTCATTCAAGAGATCTAGAGCTGCCTGCGTCTCCTCCTTAATCTCTGAAGGCTCACCTGCATCCCGATTCTTCTCCACCCTAACTCCTTTCCAGTCAATCTATGCCTTCGTTTATTTATAATTCACGAAATGTTTCTCGGAGACATTACCACTTACAAATCTGCAGATTCTGCAACCTTTTGCTCAATCACTTTCAGATCCTTTCTCGCCTGCATTCCTCGACTACCACTTCTCAAGCTCGCATTCTTCTGCGCCAGAAACAGTTCCCGTTCCAGTTCCTCATGACGAAGCTGTCGGATCGCTCGTACCGGTTCCAAGGAGTCCCCCGTCTCTTCTAAAGCATGCGAAAGCACTATTATTTCCAAAGAAAAATGGGACACGTTAAGTGCATGTTAGTATGTAGTCGTCGTCTGAGAAAGACGGGATAATTCACCCTCATCTGAACGGCCGCAGAAATTTTCACATTAGTACTTACCCCTGATCTTCCTCTCGACATCATTTCTCAACACATCGCCTCGCATAACTTCTTGTAAAACAGTCCTTCTACCATTTGTCCCAGTTTCACCGTAACCATCAGTTGCGAATAAGGCATATTCAGTGAGCGCATCCTGATTACCATCGGTTTGTTGAAGAATAGACACCCGGATGGAGTTTGGAATACCGGGAATCAGCTTTTCAGCCAGTGCACGAAGAATAGCTTCGTGGATAGAGTTAGCAGCAAACTAGTCAAAAAACGCAACCCTATACATAAGAACAATAAAACAAGCACGGCCGTGCATCCATCCAGATACACTGCCGTATTAGATGCTCATAATGGCTTCAACTGATCGGAGTCATGTATGCGTTGGGGTGGGGAATTGGAAACGCCAACTAACTCGATTTCCCGGTCCCATTCCTCCCCACTAGACCATAATGGACGCCCGCCTTCAGATGTAAATCAGCATTTGACAGAATCTCAACTCCGTCACTTTTAGCCTTCGACTTCCCGCGGTGTTTGGCTGATTTGCTCTTTGTGCTGTCGGGCGGCTCGGAGATGGCGGGGTCAGGGCCAGAAGGGATGATGGTGATATTGAGGCCTTGGATGTCAATCTTTACGCGGTAACTACGTTATTTGGCTTCTTTTGTTTCCATTTGGGCCTAGTGGGCTTTCGCACCTCTGTTGAATCCGCATCTCCTCGAACGTGGAAGCGTGTCTGTTTGCAGTTGGCGATGATGGTGGGAGCGGCAGCTTGCGATGCCATCTTGGTAGTCGATTCTGTATCAAGGCCCTATCGAAATTTTGGGATATTTGATCAAATATGCTTGTCTGGGGCGCACCGGCTTAGGTATCATATGTATGAATGATGCATATGAGATTACATCGAAGCAAATTACCACGATCTTGTTCACCCACTAAGGATAAAGGAGTCAGTGTCTAGAGGTTAGTGATTAGGGGCTAGAAGTTAGATTTAGATTATAAATTAAGATTAGTTAAGAGATTAGAGCCTGGAAATCATGATTTGAGTCATTGCATCGTGAGTATTTGAATGTGTGCATTAATAATGTTTGATGGCACAGATCTTTACATTTCAGTTGGGCTGATCTTCGATTGAGATGTTTGAACCATGCCAGAGATTTTCCAGCCCGAGATTCAAAAACAATGTTCAAGTGGACGCCCCACTAACTACTTGGCATTAACTTGCTAGTGGCTGAAATGCTTCCAGATATTCGAAGCGAACTTTGCTCATGAACAGCATCGTCAGCATCATCTGTAAAACATGCAATCTTGTAGGAAGGCTTTACCACTACACCAAAAAGGATCAATCCTTAACGTAGCCTCCTATTCCTCAAGAGAGAGATATATGCGCATGATTCACATTATCTTTATCCTTCATTGGTGTAAAAAATACAAGCCTTGCGGGGGGCCTGACTTCGTAAAGCTTCGTGCGAGAACAGGGTCAAAAGAAAGGCTTATTAAACGGATATTGTGCAATGACATAGTACAACGCGCAGCGTGCAGCCATTTCTGTTTTGGCCAATATCCGCAAACCCACCCTCATCACTGACATTCAACAGGTTCGTACACACATAGTCACAAATGAGTCACAAATGAGTCACAAACGCTTTGCGTCAGGTCCTGTCATTATTACAGTTCACATTAACCTCGTGAATAAGGATTGGTCTCCCTCGTTTGTATGTCCATAAGAGTTGAGCGAAACGCTGACTGTGCCTATTGCGCCTAAATAACAATCGTGGAGGCCTCATTCATCTGCCTCCGCGGTACGAAGAATATCAATAATCTCCCGGTCCATGCGTTTCAGTTCCAAGCAAGATAGCTCTCCAAACTTCAGGATATCACAAAGCTCGAGGCCTTCCAAGAGATCCATGCATTCGATTGCCCAGGCCATTATATTCTTTAATTTCGCCTCATCCGACTGTAGGATGCTTTGCAAAGCACGATCTATATTCTCCCACGTGCTCGGCTCGCTTGCCCACATATTTTCTGCAGTAATAATAGCACCTGGCAATTCGAGGGCGCCGTTGAGCTCCCGTATAATCTTTTCCAGCGTTTCGCATGGCAACGATGGGGCATTCGTATGCTGGGCAACCCAAAGCTCCAGCACACTCCAAGTCACATCAAGGAGCTCGAGGCCTTGGAGCTCAAGGGTAATTTTCGATACTACGTTTAGTCGCAGCAGTTCATTGCCTCGCAGCAACTGGAGTGACTCAGCTACCATGCGTCCATAGTGTGGGCATGTGCCAATCATAAGCTCAGGCTCGTCTGGAGAATCTCGAAAATCATCGATGATTTCATGGCATGCTTCTTGTCCTTCACCAGCGCTCAGTTTGGACGGTCCAGCGGACGAAGAGTTACCATCAACTGCCGCCTTGGTGTTGAGCGGAGGGGAGTGATCACGTTCATATGCTTTGCCCAATGGCTCAGAACCCCCTTCGGTGGCTTCATCGCCCTGTTTCCTCGGACGGTTAGAATTTGCTTCCGCGTTAGGGGTACCAACGGACGATGTCTTCCGCCGTGGTTGTCCCAAGTTAATCACCGGAAGCTTGCCTTGGGATTTTCCTCGACTACCCCTGTCGAGTGCTTCTGGGATTACATCTGTTGATGGCGGACTCTTTTTCGTTTCAGTTGGTTGAATACTGGAGGCGGTCTGCACAGTTTCATTCAAACCTAGCAAGTTGATTTGCCCACTTAATTTCTCCACCGCAGCAGATGATTCCGGCATGGAAGCATGCCCCAAACTATGAACGTTTCCAAATATTTTATTCGTGGGTTGATCTTCCGCTGTATTTCTCGTTTCTGCAGCGGGACTAGAGTGCGATAGTTGCTGTTCGTTATCCTTCTGTTTTTGTTTGGGTTCCACAATCCGGTCATGGTTGACGTTCGGCGGCAATCTAACGGTGATAGTTTTGTTCCCATACCACAGACACCGGAAATATTTCTGTGGTTCGTCATTTATAGATTTCTCAGCCGTGTTCGTGAAAAGCTTCCCAGGGGGCAAATTGTCAGATCCATGGATTTGCTCATTTCTTTCGGGGATGAACGGCCGCGCGCCAAAGTTGAATGCCGAGCTATCCGATCGAGGGCCCTGGTTATTTCCCTGTATACGCGATGGGCGTTGGGAACCAAATTCGAACAATAGGGGCTTCGTTGCGGCAAGGGGTTGGGGAGGTGTAGGCTTTGTGCTCTTGGCTGAAAATTCAAATGGTCTTGTATCGACGGACGCCTGAGTGACGTGTCTATCAAGCAGGAACGAAATTTTGTTTTGCTGTATTCGGCTGATATGGCCTGAAATCTTCGGCTTCCATACTCTGGATGCCCAAAGTAACATATTTTTTACTATAGTGCAAGTCTTGACTACAGCCCAGCCTGAAAACAGACTGCTTTCCCAGATGCACACCATCCTCTATTGAATGCGAATGAATAGATATCAGCAAAAGTACCAATATAAAGCCTATGCAACTAAAAGTAGCACTACTTACACGATTCAGACGAATATTATCCTTTACTTCGGAAAATGCCAGCCAGACTCTGATCTCTGCTCCGACACATGTGAAGGCAACTACTGGTGGAACAAAATCGCGGCTGGCCGTAGACCAGTCACAGAGCCTCTCATTAAGCCGTAGGGCAGCTAATGCCCCATTTGCCGCTTGAGAATAGCAGGACTCGTTTTCAGACAAGAATGAAACACCGCAGGGACGGAGTTCAACCACTGCGAAGGGAAAGCAAATGAGCTGATCTTGAGACAGGCTGGTGGCCTTGTCCTTTGCCCATTCACGAAGGCCGCTAATCGGAGAGGATATCAGGCCAGCAGATCGCAGGTCACCGAGCACTTCAAGGGAGAAGTTCGTCACAATCTCTGTTGACCGGAGGGATACGGGGATATCGTTGTTAATTGTGTATCCGTAGGTAAAATCCGGCTTCAGGTAATCCTCCGTGGATCTCTTCTGATCATCCCACAGTATGTTTTCCTCCCTGGGTAGATAAAACAATTAAAGGTCTCTTCCCACAGCCTCTGGGGGAGAGAGGATACGTACAGAGAAAATTGCTCAAACAGTTTCCTTTTTATTCAGCCGTTAGATGGACGAAGGGGCTATCTCGGAATGTGGAAGGCTTACTTACTGTTGATTCTCTGCAGCCGGGGAAATGTCCTTATACCGTTTGAAAATGCTCCGCAGCAGATGTTTCCATTCGTGCTGCGGAGCATGTACCTTGGCTAGATTCTGAGCTTTCTTTGCTATGCTGAAGCAGTGCTCTATTTGCTGCCACAAATCCGCAGACAATACAGGGCTCTGGATGGAGTCATCATGCGAAGATATTTGGGGGCTTTTAATGTCCTCACCACAACCTCTAACTAGACATGCCTTTGATGTTGTTTTGGAGGGGCTTTCGGCCCAGTCAGGTATCGAGCCACCGAAGTCTAAAAGGGCTTGCCTGTATAGTTCAACGTGATCTGGAAGATCTCCGTTTCCTTCCTTAGGGAGAATCATTTTAGTGTAAGTCATCCCATTGCGTTGCAAATGTCGTCGATCGTTATTAGGCTTATCAGGAGGCATTTTAAGAGTACTATGGACACTATCGCAATAACCAGGAGCTGGGATGCTATCTGGTTTGAATCTTCCTCTCAATTTTGAATGGGAGAAAGAAGTAGTAACGTGATCACCCCACCTGCCTAGGTAACGATCGCGGTTTTGCATACAAAATGAAGAATGCTTAGATACATAAATCTCAACAATAATCGTATCAGACTTATATATGATATGTAATTTATGTATGTTATATGCTGAGTTATCCACGTTAGCGGCGTTATAACATGACCCCCCCAAATAACCCAGTTATCCCGGACACCACCCAGGCCAAACCCCCCCTGGATAACCGAGTTATATGGGGGGGTTCTGCTTGGCATGTTATCTTGGCAGTTATTGGAGCTCCATACAAGATGATTGGCTGAAGAAAAATAGTATGGGTAAAAATTGATTGATATAGATCTGACTAGCTAGCTAGCTACCTTTCTTCTATCTATAACCTACTTGGCTTTGCCATATGAGCTACTAGTTCTAGACATCAATATAGAGGTGCAGGTCATGTATAGGTGTCATACACAGGCTCCGTATGACTGGAGTAAATAGAAATTATATACATCTATGTATCATCACTAGCTATCATCACTAGCTATCATCAGTAGCCATCATCGCTAGATATCATCACTAGCTATCATCGCTAGATATCATCAGCAGCTGTGGTTCCCCACTATACTGTGGCTGGCGGTCGCAGTATATAGGTGGTGGATTGGGTGGCCACGCCCGCTGTGGGCCGAGCCACACCACCACGCCCACAGGTATATATATCACTATGAGCGCAACCATTTAACAAATGGTTACGTTGGCTTTTTGCTATGGATAACCTAGTGGTCATAGTGCTATCTTATCACACAGCCATCGTTACTAGATATCATCACTAGCTATCATCGCTAGCTATCATCACTAGCTATCATCCATCCAAGTAGATGGACAGATATATAGACAGATAGACAGTCAGATAGTCATCTAGTAAATCAGCATTGTCAGATAGATGAATAGCTAGATAATGATGTTTGATTTTATAGAGAGATAGACAGACAGACAGATAGAGAGAGAGATAGATTAGCAGCTATCTAGCATTCTTAATTCCATCAGCAATCAATTGGATATTGAATAGATTGATATAGATCTGTAGAGAGATAGACAGATAATTCAGACATAAGAATAGAGACAATCTAAGCCAATTGCAGCCTGATATTTCAAAAATTATTGCTAAAAAGTTATTGTGGGGCTTGGCTAACATATATAATAACACGGGTTATAATGCCACTCAAACCCCCCCCCCCCCCGTATAACCCCTAGTTAAGTGCGTGGGGGTCGAGAGCCACCATGGCCCCGAAATCACGACACCGTTGACGCTGAATAATCCCCGTCATTATAATTTGGGCTGCAGCAACACCAAGCATTCTCACTCCAAGTCACTCCTCTCACTGTGAGTGGTGAGTGGAGAGTAGACAGCGGAAGCTTCTTCGCACGAAAAGTCCAAACCCCCACAACGAAAACCTGAGTCCTGACATGTTGCTTCTTCTTCACTCCAACTCTCTTGTACAATTCAATGGAAGGCTGGCTCAAAGAATCCGGAGCGGTGGGCTTGAATGCCCTGGAGCTTGCCAATTTCCAAGTCATTGGGCGCGGTGTCAGAACACTGCGGTGTTTCAAGGAAGGAGAAAGGATTTTCACCATTCCAGCCGACGTTCTCTGGACAGTTGAACACGCATATGCTGATTCTCTTCTTGGGCCAGCTCTTCGCTCTGCACGGCCACCCTTGTCTGTTGACGACACCTTGGCTATGTATATTCTCTTTGTCAGATCGCGCGAGTCAGGGTACGATGGCCCGCGAAGCCATTTGGCGACGCTACCTAAGAGCTACTCTTCAAGTATCTTTTTTACTGATGATGAGTTGGAAGTCTGTGCTGGAAGTTCACTGTACGCTCTCACGAAGCGGCTGGGGCGATGCATCGAGGATGATTACAGGGCATTAGTTGTGCGACTGCTTGTCCAGCATCAAGATCTTTTTCCACTTGATAAATTCACCATCGAAGATGTAGGTGGGCATTATACATGTGTGATGGATGTTGCGAAATCGGTCACTAACACTTCTTTCCGTCCTTTTAGTACAAGTGGGCGCTCTGCACCGTGTGGAGTCGGGCGATGGATTTTGTACTGCCTGGTGGAAAATCGATTCGACTTATGGCACCCTTCGCGGATATGTTAAACCACTCATCCGAGGTTAGGCAGTGTCACGCCTACGATCCCTTGTCTGGAAACCTCACTATCCTTGCGGGGAAAGACTACGAAGCTGGAGATCAGGTATGTTTGCCTTGCTTCCTGATGGTTCAATTTGTGCGCTTAACAGGGGGTTTTCTTTCAGGTGTTTATCTATTACGGATCTATTCCAAATAATCGCCTTTTACGTCTCTATGGCTTCGTCATGCCCGGTAATCCTAACGACAGCTATGATCTGGTTCTTGAAACGCATCCGATGGCGCCATTTTTTGAGCAGAAGCGTAAGCTCTGGGACTTGGCTGGATTTGATTCGACCTCTACCATCAGCATCACTCTCACCGATCCGCTACCGAAAAATGTCCTTGGATACCTCCGTATTCAGCGATCGGACGAATCGGATCTCGCCAGCATAGCGCGTCAGCGAATCGATCCTAAATACGAGAAAATCAGCGATTCGAACGAAGTGGAAGTTTTGCAGTCTCTGATAGAATCGTTCTGCGGCCTTCTGGATAGTTTCGGAACTCAACTGGAAAGCCTAGAAAAACAACTCGCGGAGGGCGTCTATCCTTCGCGAGGGAATGCATGGGCGGCGGCGCATGTTAGCTTGGGCGAACAGCAGGTGTTGAGATTGGCGAGAAAGAGAGCGGAGGATATGTTAGCGGCGGTGGAGAGTGGAAGTGGCAATGAAAAAGGTTCTTTACCGGCGCCGGCGCCGACACCAGCGCGATGCGCGAATTGTGAAAAGGACTTTGTGCGGTTGATGGTGTGTGGGAGGTGCAAAGCAGTTATGTATTGCGGACGGACGTGTCAGGTCACTCATTACAAAGAGCACAAGGCAAGATGTCAACATACAGCTTCTAAAAACAGTTCTCAGATGAAATAAAAAAATTAAAAGCAGTTGCAAATCTTTATCATCAATTTATTCAGACTCACAATCTCATATAGACTGACTGTGTGACTGTGCATGAGACCAGGACTAAAATTTATGCTAGTTCTGTTGTTAAAGAGATCAGTTCTAGTTTCAATATAGATTTAATTAATTCAGTCTTAAATCACATTATTTATTATATTGAAGATCTCATAATCATTTCTTCAATAAAAATCTAGTCTTAAATATAGAATATATGAGAATTTTTGATCTTATTTTTCATACTGATATTATTCCGAAGATGACATCAAATGAAATTATATAGTTAAATTCCAATTTATATAGTTATAAAAAGATTAAGTGTTAAGAAAGCTATTTAAGTACTACAAAAACTAGTATTTTCTCATGAGTCATAGAAAAATGAAAGTATAACTAATAATTAAAATATAGTTACCTCATATAAATTTATATGAAGAAATATTTAGAAATTTTATATATGTAATCTACAATGATTAATGTGCTTTTCTATATTATCAATTTTTTATAATAGTTACATTTTATAGTGGATTATAAATTACTAATAAAAAATTAAATATAATTCAAAATTATTGATATATAGGGTGGATAATTTTGTCAATTTGAAAGGTGATCACATTCACATTAATACACCCACTTCCGCTCAACACTCACCTCGACCTTCATTTTTCACCCACCTTTCAATGTTCATAACATGCACCATGAAGTGATTTTATGAATAACAACTGATGATTTAAATGGATAAGTGATTTCTAATTATCTTCAAGCCGTTTAAAAAGTATGAAATCCGTCAATCTATAACGCCCTTGGGCTGATACAACACCGAGCCACGCGTAGAGACACCCTCTCGGAACCGGACGGCCCAGATATCACCCACATAGCATCACTACCAGTACCGATGCAAAAGAACACCGCTTCTATCTCTAAGGCATGAAAGGCGCTTCCACATGTCGTATAACATTTAAAAGAAATGGGTGATCTGGGTATGTTGTACAAAGAATCTGATGAAGGTGAAGAAATAGATCATTTCCTCAACACGTCATACCTATCTCTTGTTTATATGGACTCAGATTGAGTAGAACTTTTGAACAGTGAATGTAATCTATCCCAGATTTCATCTTCAAGTTAGTAGAAGTATCTATTTTGTAATATTCACTTAAACAATCTTACATATTCTTAAGTTTTAATGAGAGAATATGTGATACTTAGTAAAATAATTTAAAGACTATAAAGTTGCGCAATATACTAATGAAGAACTCTCTGTCAATAAAGATATATAATAAGAGTTTTAATTGATCGAGTTGCTATTGCAGTGACCACAGTACACAGTAAATATATCAACATTCATTTCTACTATTCTCATATGCAGTCGAATGAAGGTGTTATCGTGATTTATTATATTCTCATGAAGATGGCAGTTGACAGTAGTGGTTGGGTGTTGGGCAAGGCATTTGCCCCAGCGCATGTGACTAGGCGTAGTTAGTTATAGTTGTATAGACAGTAGCTAGCTCCCACAACGATAATAACTTGAAGAGATTAACCATCCTACATAAAACCATAAGCCATGAGACGTTTGTCACTATAGTCTACCGCACGAATGTTGGGCTCCTCTCAATTTAATTGGCTATAACTAAGTTCAACAGGCACACACACCAAGTCTAAGTTCGCATTTTCACCTGCGATGTCTACCAAGAGCCTAATGAAAAACCTAAGTACTATTCCAAGCCGAGAACCCCCAAAATATGTATTCCAACTAGGAGTTTCAAGATTGTTGCTAATATATACCTAGACACGTGTGTTATTCCGTCTGAGTATTGCCGATATATATGCATTCTTGCCGGCAATAAACTATCCATAATTTTCGCGCCGGAAGGCCAGAACATCGTTCGAAATATCGCTCTCAAAGAGAGCATCACAGGTTGCGTTAAAGCTCTTCGATGGTCAAAACCACCTGGGCCCTCAATTGCTGAACCCGATGCATTTTCACCTGACAGCCAACGCATTCTCTGCGCGAGCGGAAACTATATTTCCGTCTGGGATTTGCACGATGAGAATTGGTGTGCCGAAATCGAAGCTGGCGACACATTCAATCTCACCTATGTCGATTTTGCAGCCACCCATGATGAAGTTATCGCCTTTTCGGAATTCAACGTCCACCTAACGATATTCTCCTTGTCGACTGGTAGTCAGCGCGTGATAAAATCACCCAAGTTTTCCAATGCGACCGGCTACGGTTTTCGTCCCGCTACGGGCCACCTAGCGCTGCTGCTGAAACTTGACGCGAATGATACCCTAACTATCCATGAGCCTGAAACTTATGAAGCCATCACTACAGTGACTCTAAACACCGTTGATGCCCAGGGCTTAAAATGGAGCCGCAATGGCGCGTGGTTGGGTATCTGGGACTCTGCGAGCACGATGCCCAGGGTTGAGATTTACACTGCGGATGGGCAGTATTACAGGACCTATAGTGAGGCAGCCAACGATTCAAATCTGGGAGTGAAAACGATAGAATGGAGTCCAGATTCGCAACTTTTGGCTATTGGGAGGCATGATGGAACTGTTGCACTGACTAACTGCAAGACAGTAAGTTCCGATCCCTTCCCCAATTTACAACGGGGGGATTTTCCGGCGATGCTCACTTCACCTCCCAGTTCTCTTTACTCTCAGTTCTTCCAGACCCTCTCTCATTTGGGTCTATAGGCCGCGATATCTACGTAGAACAACAGTCCAGCGTCACAAACGGGATGAGTGAGTACGTCCTAGCTCCGAAATCACCTGTTTTCCCATATACTTTCAGCAGCGCTGGTGGGGGGCAACGCGCAGTATCCTCAATTGCCTTCAGCAGAAACAGGCACATGCTGGCAACAATCGACCAAAGCCTTCCCCATATCGTGTGGATGTGGTCAACCAAAAGCCAAACCCCCAAGTTGATTGGTTGTTTGATCCAAAAATCCAGTGTCCGCCAGCTGCTCTGGTGTCCCACGTTCCCGGAACTACTGATGACAGCCAACGATGATGACATACCCACGGTGCACCAATGGATATGCAATCGTAGACCGCGAATCGCTCGAATACCCCTTGCGGATGGAGGGAAGTACTCCGCCTCTTGGGTCAGGGCAGACTGTCGCCAGAGTGGTTTGATATGGTTTGGATGGGAGACTGGGTATACGTTTGGTTACGTCACAGGGAGTGGCACGGAAACAGGCTTTACTCAGATTCTGAATATCGAAGATGAGCACCCGGCTTTGAATATGGATGACTTCCCCATTACAGGAACATGAGCTACGGAATCCCTTTACTTGCCTTGGCCCACTTTGCGTTGTTCTTAGCGGGCATTTGAACCGTGTCCCTATGCAAACAATACGTTCTACGGCTAACGCAATTGCTTACCTGGCTTATTCTGCTCAACCATTTTTCCAGGGACGGGTATATTCCACCATAAATCTAGCACTGCTCATTGACGTGATATCAAATGGGATTGAAATGTTCAAACTTGCTTTTTATGGTATAGCGGATATCCCCATTCTAATCTAGCCTTATTCAACCAAATCAAGGGCTTAGGGCTAAATCCACGCTTAGTCATACCCCACTCGCAATTTCGCACCTTGGTTCCTCTTCAGAAGTTCGTGAAGGTCGTTGAACACCTCGTCGTCGACAACCACCGCACATACCACCCAACATGGTAAGTGAATCTTCCTGTCCTTCCCTTCTATTTCTCCGGTGGCCGATGTGGAAGCCAGCGCCGGATGATATGCGATGAAAAGACTTGGCACGATAGACAATATATTCTAGTACTAATGGATTCATGATTGCGATCGGGATAGGCACCCGCAGCAAGCTCCGGCGGCAAGAAGCAGAAGAAGAAGTGGTCCAAGGGCAAAGGTACGGAAGAATATCGCCCCTAAGGGAAAGACAGAGGTGTTAGGTTCCGGGGAAGGCAATTTTTGGATAGCTACCCTTCGACATGCGGATTCAAGCACGAAAAGGCAACGAGAGGCGAAATGAAACTGACATGATGTCTTTAACAATACAGTCAAGGACAAGGCCAACCATGCCGTTGTCCTCGACAAGGCCACTTCCGAGAAGCTCTACAAGGATGTGCAGTCCTACCGCCTCATCACCGTCGCTACCCTCGTCGACAGACTGAAGATCAACGGCAGCTTGGCCCGGCAAGCCCTCGCCGACCTGGAGGAGAAGGGCCAAATCAAGAAGGTTGTTGGTCACTCAAAGATGAACATCTACAGTACGTCAAAACCCCGTTTCGTTTCCCCTTCTTTATGTTGGACCGGATATATAGCCGATATTTCATCGGTTCGGTGTTATTTTTCCATATACTATCCGAATGTATCCTAACAAACTTGCCTCTCCAGCCCGCGCGGTTACCGCAGCCGAGTAAACGAATTTCTCCGAACCATTTTCCGGTTCCTCTTCTGTCCCCGGGGTTTTGCGTTCGTCAAAATGGTGTTCTTCAATTTCCTTCTGAATGTTCTTGTTTTTATCAATTTCCCCCCCCCTTCTGTTCCATGTTTAGCTCGTCGTCATGAGTGTATGGATATAAAAAGAAATAAAAACGATTATATCTGCATTGTGGAGACAAGGATCCAAAATTTCCAAGTAAACAAACGTGGCCCGGGTTTTCTGTTGTATGGGAATCGGCCTGCTGGTTTATACGCCCTCGATTGTAGCCCATATCGTGCTGGATTACTTCAGTATATACCATCAAAATTTCCCAATAGAATCGATTCTCAAGCGATGTTCTCCGTGGGGACATTTCCTTTGAGGTCGATGGGTGTTCCCAAGTTTCGCTTTCGGAGGGCTGAAATGTAATATGATCCTCCAAGAACGCCGTTTAATAACTACTTGATTACTTTGACCATAACCTCTACAATCTCCCTGATGGACTCTAGTACAGTGGCTTGCAAACAACGTAACTCCATAAACAACCACAGCCAACATATCGTGAAATGCACTTTTCATATCTGGAGACCTTCACATACAAACCCCAAATTCACCCTAGCACAAATTCACCAAAATGATCTGGAATTTCACTATATATCTCCATATACCTATCTATCATATTATCCTACCCCAAGAAGCCGTCACAGCTCACAAACCCTCTACAACTTATCCTCCACCTGCGCACTTTTCGCAGCATTAAGCTTCGATCTCAGTGGCCTCATCTTCTGCGCCGCCTGGCACAACTCCCTCTCCGGCCCCTGCATCAACTTCTCAATCCCAACAACCCTGCCAACCTGCACATATTTTTGATGGTTGGCGAAAAACTCCTTCCAATGCATCACCTGCTTCGACACACTCTCCACCGCCGCATTCCACTCCTCCTTGCGCCGGGCCTGCTTCTGCTCCTTGCTCATCGCCAGCTCGAGGGGGTTCTCATCGTCGTCTTCGACGGGGATGTACATGAGTTCGACGCCGCGAATGTCCGGTGTGCGGTCCTCCGAGAAGCAGCCAGTGACGTAAGCGCGCGTGGCATCGGCACCGGCGAAGCTGTTGTAGCTGCCGCCCTTACCGTAGATGCGCGGGTTCGCGGAAACGTCGAAGATTACGCCGTCGACGGCGACATAGATGGGCAACGAGGGGTCGGTGCCGTTGTAGAGGGCGAGTTGTGTTGGTGTGAGTTCCAAGGGTCCGCGCTGCAATATAAATTGGCGTTTATTAGCAAAGGAGCTCCTTCATTCACGTAGCAACGGTAATATCGAAGGTTGCGAGAAGGGAAGGAAGGGAAGGTAGGGGTAGGTAAATGTCATACGAGATAGGTTTTCACAACAGCCCAGCGCAGGAACTTGGGTTTATAGCCCCAGAGCACAGAGTCGGTGGTGATATAGTATGACAGTGCGCAGGAGGTGAGAACAAGCAAAAATATGACCCGGCAGAGATCGAGGACACTGATGGACCATCTGCGTCTGGATTGCCCTGCCTCGTCTGCATCCTCTGTCTTGACTCTGTTCTTTGAGCCGGAAGACAGCTCCTCCTCGCTCCCTGACGAGGTGGGCGTGTAATCTATGTGGTCATATTCATTTTCGCTCATCCCACTCTTCGATGAAGGAGGGGATCCTTTGCCAGGGCGCTGGCGGAGAGCTGCCATTGTTTGCGTTCCAAATCGTTCTGTGCTTGGAGTGTCTGTGGCGCCGGTGGTAGCTAGCTCAGACAGCTAGCTTCGCCAGCTAGCTTCCGTCCCAATCGCAATCACTCGCGCTTTGCGAACGATGTCTGGCATGTAGACAGGCTATTTGCCGTGCTAGAGGGGTGTATTATTGTCTATCTGTTGTTGGAGGGAGAAGAGCGGTCCTGAACTTTATTTAAGGTGTTTCCATGCTTTGCTAACACTCGCCGTCAGAGTAACTAGGGGTTTCTTAGACATCCTAAAGGTCTAGATGTTCTGTGAATCAGCTCTGTAGCACACGGTATAGCAAAGTCTTTGGAAGTATGAGAAAGGAGTGAGTCTATGTGGTCGGGCATTTTTCTTAGAAGAAGAGAGCCTTCCATCAAGTTCCCCTGAGGTGATAATATACCCTTCCCCAAACCTTTCTGTCTCGCACTTTTCTTACCCACTGCAGGGAGCTCTGACAATTCAAGGTCTGCAAAAGGCTCCTAGACCTTCATGAGAGGGCGCTGTCCCAAGATATCCTCGCGGCTCTTCACCGTCGCCCTTTGCTACCAGCATTTGGTACCGTCCGAGTCAGGACTACTATAGTAATACTTTCACCATCCTCCCTTGTATTATCGATCTTTGAACCGCTATTCGGTTTGGAATACAACGCGGGCAATGCTTCCAGCCGCAGGGCTGCCCCCATCCTCCCCTCCATAGTCATACAGACCCGCTGAAAGAGGCGTACTCAACATACTCCGCATAGACCCACTACACACCCAGTCCCCAATACCCGCTCTCGTTCTTTCTGCCTTTGACAAGGATATTCCATGGAAAGAGGCCGCCGTGATGTGAGAACAAACTTCGACTGATGACGGTTCGTCCGTGATTCTGCAAGAGTTCTCCTCCACATTATCCCTTGTAGACATGTTCCGTCTGAGGAAGAGACTCCACTTATTTTATCGAACTCAGCCTCTGGAAATTAGAATGCTCTATGAAACTGATCCCAATACTTTCGTAGGGGTCGCGCGAAGGCTTGCGATTGACACGTCCAATCCCAATTTATATAGGGGCTGCGTGCATGATCTAACGGGCCTTAAATGACCTGCAAGCCGTTCTCTGGTTGACACACCGCTATTGTTCATCCAGCGTTGGCCAGATATTGTCAACTGGATCGCCGAGCACAAAGTCGGCAGTCATTGCGTGATTCATCAGCCTATGCCTGACACCTCTTTGGTTTGAGCATGGAGATATGCTCTTTGAAAATGTGTTATATTCATCTAGGCCCCTGAATTTATTATTGTCAATAACCTCAATAATCCGGGCGATTATATTATACATATAGTATATATGTTATATATATAGTCTCCTGATCAATACATTATGATGCAACAAGGGAAACGGCTTCTGCCATTTTTCCGCTTTCGGAGCTGCATTGAGGTTTTTAAAACTTATCCCAAACTACTAGTACCCCCTGTCTCCCGGTTATACCCTCCCGTTAGTGGAAAAACATCGGTAAATAAAGGCCACCCCATGGAGCAAGTATCTCACTCGACAAAAGTCATACAAGGAGCGCAAAAGCAACGAGAAGGGGAAAACTGTTAGAAGGGATCAATCGGCATAACTAATTCGACAATTGAAGGTAAGTGCCCAAAAGTCCCCTATCGGACCGGTTGAATCACATAATGAATGCATGCGTGGAGGAGGGGGTATGTTCTGAGGATAAATTCTTTCTTCCTCTATCCCTTAGGAGTTTTTCACGACTTCTGCTCCCAGGTTTTCGCAAAGACTTCATTCAGTGCGGACTGGAACGTGCGGCAGTTCATATCGATAAGGCCCTTTTTCTCACTTGCGTCTGCATTCCTAATCACGGAAACGAGACATAAATACCTATAAGCCAGAGGCGGAAAAGAAAATGAAAAAAAAAACATTAAATTAGCCACTCCCCAGAAAGATGTACATATATAAAAGCCGATGGCAAAGGGGTGTAAATGAGGAGTGAGAAAAACGCAAAAACGCAAAACATACTTATTCATCTCCATAAGATGGATCATCCTCTTATCATGCAAAATTATATGACTCTCCGCTTCAGGGATTTGCGGACCTTTGGGTTTGCGCTCAGGGTGTTCCCACGAATACAGCTCGCTCACATCGACGATAACGTCTATATAATCTGAGCACATTTCGTAGCAGGCCATGTCTACGGGCTTTGTGTCCGACGCGATGTAAATCTTACTGAGCACGTCGAACAGGTAGATCTTCTCCATGCCGGAGTTGTTGGCCAGAATATTGATGAGGTTTTCGAGAGCGGAAAGTTGCGGGATGAGTTTCTGAATCACTTTGCTGAAAGCTTCGAAAACGGAGTAGTCGTATATCGACGTGAGGTAATAATGTACAGGCGCGTTCTCATAGCCAGCATCGTTGAGCTCATCTGATATGAGTTGAACGATATCTTGGAACGTGTCAGAGCGGTATTCATCAGATAGGCCGTCGACCTTGTGGATGAAGATTTCGATATTGATGTGAGGATAGTATTGTTGGACAAGGAGTATGGTTCTGTTTAGCCTCGAGACGGCTTCTAGATAGTCATCCTGGGCATCGATAACCCATACCAATGCGCCTAGAGTACCGAAGATATCTTCCAGATCGAAGGATGGCTCGAGATATTCCAACTGACCAGGGAAATCCCAAACCTGAAAGTCCATGAAAGAGCTATAAAAGAGTTAACAAATACATACACATACATATAACTGAGATATCCAATATAACAGGAAAAGAAGGACGTAAACTGACTGGACTGAGTCCTTGTGGATGCGAGTTGTCGATTCGAGGAATAACGTTTCTGTTGGGGGCATTTTGTGAAAGACGACACTCGAGATGGAGGATTTGCCGCTCCTTGTCTCTCCTCATCAGCAATGGATTGTTCACTTTCATCATTGACAAATAATATAATCCCCGCTCACTTCCTTCACTTAAGTGTACTCACCGACGGAGACCCATTAGCAATAACCGTGGCTTCTCATCACGAAACTTGTTGCTGGAAAGCTGTCCAGCCTTGGCATGCGATTGCGGCCGCGGCTTGGCGTTTGGAGAACGTGGATGCGGGTGCAAACGACTGGAGCCCTGTAGATTTTCCTCGAGGCTTAGCTGTGCTCTGGTTCTGATGATAGGACGGCAGCCATGCAAGATTGAGCTGTCAGAATAGATGAATCGATCCTGCCCCGGATCGACAGAGTGGTGATGCGATGGGACAATTCGCGACATGGCGAAGGCAGAGACAGAGACGGTGTGAATGAGAAACGCGCCTTGGGAGCCAATTGCGACAACAGTAGAATTGTGGACAGCAAGTGTAATAAACAGTCACATCACACCATGACGTCGCGGGACAACCAGGAACATCCTTTTCACTTCTTTCCTTGCGCTTGTTCGGCTGACGCTGAATCGCTCTTCTTACTGCCTTTTGCCCGTGCCTAATTCTTTTTTCCTGTGTTGCCTCAGGTGCAGAAAAGGTTCGCAAAAAAGCGAGCAGCCGGCCGCCCTCGAAGGCTCAGATAACACGGATATTATTGCTGGCGACACGAATTTCGCGAGAGATTCGTCATGAGCCAAGGCATCATCGCAAAGGGAAGTAGTGAAGCAAGCCAGGGGATCGCAATTGCCTGGGGAGACGAGCAGGAGCTCAATCAGGGACAAAACGGATTGTTTGTGCGCACAGAATAAATAGCGAAGAGAAGAAAGAAGAGAAGAAAGAAGAGAAGAGGAGAGAAAACGAAAGAAGAGAAGAAGAAACAAAAATGCGCGCAAAAGGCCAAAAGGACGGTTCCGGCATGTAGTACTAAAGTCAAATCACGCCGAAACAAATAAAAAGTAGGGAAACTACCCTAGGTAGGATTTATGTTACTCGAAAAGCAAATATAAAACGAAGTATAAGAAATGGCAGCCCCGCAAGTATCCGGGACCCACGCAAGCAAAGAAATGGACTAAAAAGAGCGCCGAAAGGGATCGTTGAACATATGCTTGTCGATCCAACGAGCCAAATTATAATTATTTAATCATTAAACATAATGAAATGAAATGAAAAAATAAACGCATTGGACGGATGGGTGAAGGAGGGGTGAAAAAAAGAAAAAAGGAAAAAAAGAGTGAAGAAGCGGTGTCCTCACCTGCATTTTGCGCCAAAAGTGCTGACCGTAAGATCCAGATCAATGGTTTGCTTTGTACTGGCATGTATGGGCCGGAGGTTGGACGCGTCTATAGAATAACGACATGAGCATTACGAAAACCAATCCGTAATTATATTATTATTGTTAACCCTCGCTGCGTGGGGATTTGGGGGTGAGGGGAACTTACAGGAAGCCACAGATTCACACACGGCTTTGGACACCGCCAGACGCCGCTGGATTGCCTCGGTGTGCGACGTCAGAACCAGTCACAAATCAAATCGAGAGGAAGAGTTTGTTGTTGGTTCTCTGTTTTTTTTTATTCCCTCAAATGAAATAAACTGAACCAGAGGACAAGAGAGAGATGGAGCCAGAGCCGAGGATCGGACCACTATAATTGGGCAGGAGGGTCTCCGGGAGGAGCAGATATAATGCAACAGGGCCAGTTACGGATAGCAATCTATGTTATCTGTGCTCTAAGGACGAATCGGCCTTGGATTTCATTCAGGCGCGGAATAGAAAGAGCGGCGGTTGACCATGAGGGGGTGAAGTTGGAGTTTTGAGTTGGGTGGCTGAGAAGTCTCTCTCCAAGAGAGATCACGAATGGATTTGTAGATACACCATACGGAGGCAACAACGTCAACGGGCTGGGAGAGGAGTTGGACGGACCATGGCAGGTTGAAGCTGGAGATGTTGCGAGGTTGAATGGGGGTTGAAGGAGAAATGCGAGAAATGCGAGAAATGCGAGAAATGCGAACGAGGAACGAGGAGATGATGAGGTCAGGAATCCAGCACGACGGCCCAATCAGAACCACGCAGCTAGGGAACTATGTGTGTATGGCTGGAGTCATCAGGATCGGTGCAGAGCAGTAAATAGGAACAGACGCAGTCCGGCGGCACAATACGGTGGAAGAATTCTTGTTGATAAGTATTCGATATTCAATATTCGAGATATTTTCAATTCATTCCTCAAATGTTTAGTTATTTGAAGTGAAAGTGAACTCCCTCGTCGCCAAACCTTCAGCATCTGCCGCAACCTAAATACCACAACCACTCCACCTCCTGTATACCGCCACCAACCCATGCTTGATTTCTCTCGGCTAGCTTTCTTTACAACATTAACACTTTAGCCCTTGCTTCTTTAACTTTCTTTCTACTGTCCCCTGCTCGATTCCCACGAAATGACGTCCCTTGTGCCCCGCGAACCCTACTCCAAAGAAGAGCTACACAAGCTCTATCCAGACGGCCTGCAGCTGCAATTGGTCCAGGTGGTGAGTCTCGTTATACAGATAAATGAGCAAACCTATTCTACTCTAACACCTCCCCGGCCTGCTTTTTATATAGTTTCTCCGCCACGGTAAATCCATCACCCGTTGCTGTTTCCTTTGATCTCCAAATTGAGGTACTAGTATTCACATTTGCACCCACACCTTTAGGCGAACGGACGCCCGTATCCTCTCGTTTTCAAAACGTATGCCTGCTGCTCTCATAAATATCATCAATTTCCATCTTCCTATTTTCCCCGTGGCTAATTTATAGCTTAGACCGGCCTGGCTACATGTAATGGCTCCCACCTCCATACCTGTCCTACCCCCGTTTCAGTGCACACGCTGATGCCAACCCCCCAGATTGGCCATATTGCAACGCCGCACGAAGACTCACCCAAATTGCCAGCTCAACAGAAGATCTGACCAGCTGGGATAGTTTTCAATGGCGGAGAAGGATGGAGAGCTTTGGAGAGAACGACCAGGCGGCGATGGTAGTAGGCCCTAAGGGAGAGATTGAAGGCATCTGGCAAGTCTTGGACTTTTATATAGCTTTACTACGGATCTACCCCCCGTCCAGCGGCTTATACCTCGTAAAAATTCAGCCTACCAGGAGAATTGACCGATAAAGGTCGCCAGTCCACGTTTGCTCTGGGTCGACGATTACGATACCTCTATGTCGACCAGCTAGGTTTCATGCCCAAAATCAGGTCGAACACCGATGACATGTACCTCCGCACAACCCCCATCCCCCGAGCTCTCGAGTCACTGCAGCAGACCTTTTGGGGGATGTATCCTCCGGACGCACGAACTGCGAACTTCCGCCCTCCTACCATCGTGGCCCGGTCATTTGCAGACGAAACGCTCTATCCCAATGAAAGTAATTGTCACCGCTTCAGGCAGTTAGCCCGCCTTTTTGCCCAGCGGGCAGCAGATAAATGTATTTTTAACATCAGTCCTATTCCCCTGCCTACCTATAGATTACATTTTTATGTGTGATGAGCCGTTGTAATAAGGATTTCAAGACTAACTTTGGAACTACTGCCGGTTGGTGGTTGAATTCTGATCGATATAGGGAACCAGACCGCGGATATGGAATACCTCAACTCCCTCTGGTCCAAATGGATGCCTTCCAGCTCTCCCCGCGTTGCGGTGGATTCCCGCCCTCGCCTCTCGGGTATCTTGGACACGATCAATTCCACTCTAGCACATGGCCCAAACACACGCCTTCCTGCGGAATTCTACGACGCGAAGGCCCTCGAAATAATCGATAAAATTGCCATGGACGAATGGTTTACCGGATACAGGGAGAGCAACGAATATCGTAAACTAGGTATCGGCGCTCTTATGGGTGATATAGTCGATCGTATGGTCCATGCATCGGTCCATGGCGGCTGGAAACCGACTACAAACGGGGCTGGTGATGCCAATGAGGTTGTTAAATTTGCCATGAGCGGCTGTCACGATACCACAATCGCCGCAATCCTGACTAGCCTGGGTGCATTTGACGACGGAAAGTGGCCGCCCTATACCTCCTCAATAGCAGTTGAACTCTTCAAAGCCACCGGCAGGCCCCACGCCCAAAAACCTGGCGATATCCTTGAAGAGCTGAACGTTCCAGAAGCAGAAACCTCATCAGCGAAGCGGAAACCATCCAGCCTAATGTCTAAGCTTTTCTACGGCAAATCCTCATCGTCACCATCCTTCCCAGAGCCCTCCAAAATCGCACGCTCCACCACATCAGGTATTCCCACACCTCCGCTTCAAGACTACTACGTCCGCCTTCGATATAACGATCAGCCCGTTCGTATCCCCGGCTGTGTATCAAAACCCAGCAACCACCTTCCTGGCAATGACACGTTTTGCACCCTCGAGGCGTTCAAGAAGATTGCGGATAAATTCACTCCGCGCAACTGGCACGAGGAGTGCGCGAAGAACTTGGATAGTGGGATGTTTGCGGAAGGGAATGATGCTGCTGGTTACTGAGTTCATGATTACACGGCATAAAAAGGGATAGAGGGGGTGGAGCTTTTGACTTTTATTTTCATTTTTTATTATTATCGTTATTATTTCATGACATGGTAAGCTTCATTATGTTGTAATATCAAAGTCCAAATAGCTACTTCGCGGATAGAGAAATTCAAAAGTACCCAAATACCTTGTAGCCTGGTGATTGTTTCATTTAAAAGACCTCCCTAGGAAAAATCTCTTGCAACAACAAAAGTAATAAATGACCTCCCCTCAGAAATCGTAAAATCGTAATCAGATACCGCAAAAAGTCACGGATTCGCCTCCATTCCACCTTGCACCGAACTCTCGCCATCATCAGTGCAACGAGACGAAAGCCAAACGAACAAATAAATGAGGAAGGAAACGAAACTATGGTGGTATTCTCTACTCTTCCCTAACAAAAAAATCAAGATCAAGATCAAGATCAAGCAGTAATTACACCCCTTGCCCATCGCCTAACGGCTTCCGCCCCACCACCACAGACACAGGCGTATACGAATGGATATTCCTATCCTTCACACACGCGCGGAAATTCGCCAGCAGCACCTGCACCTCCTCAACATCCCACTTCAGCACGCGCGTCAGCAACGCCAGCGCCCACCCCTCGCATCCCTGCAGACACTCGAGCTGCCGATAGCGGCCCAGCTGCTTGAGCACGGGGTCCTTGGGCCACGGGCCCACCACCAGCTTAAAGCGGGTCTCCTCCACGGCCTCGAAGCCCGCGTCGATCATGACGTTGCGCTGGTTCTCGCTGATGGACGTGGTCTTGCCCATGATCTCGCCGCACTCGCGGAACAGCCGCCCCCACTGGCGCAGGGGGTGCTTGGCGTCGGCCGGGATGGAGCCGTCGTCGCTCTCGAGCCAGACGGAGGCGTTGCTGACTTCCAGGTAGCCGCCGGGCTTGAGGCAGGTGAAGCACTGTTTCATGAAGGCGGTCCAGTCTGGGATGGAGCCGAAGAGGTCGCGGACGTGGATGTAGTCGAAGGTGTTGGTGCCGAAGGTCCAGGGGTAGTCGGTTGCGTCGTCGACTTGGAATTTCACATTTGGGGGAACCCAGCCTGGTTGGGTCGGGGAGAGGTCTGTGCCGATGACAAGGGCTTCAGGGTGTTGGTCTGCGAAGTCGATAGCCCATATGCCTGGATTGGAGCAAATTAGAAAAGAAACAAATATATATATATATATATACATATTATTCAATTGAAAAAAAGAAAAAAGGAAAAAGAATCTTGGGACTCAGGAGGTTATAAAGGGCATAAGGGGATTTTGGAGAAAGAAATAAGGCACAATACCCGTGCCAGTTCCGACATCAAGCACTTTCTGTGGGATACTTAGGTGGTTAGATACAAGACTCCGGATGTAGTAAAATCTAATGGCAGGATGGCAGTACCTGAGGCTTGCTGAGAGGAGCTAGATACAGTTTCTGGCCCATGGCCAACAAGTATGCATGATGTGCAAGATCTAGGACCTCCTGAGCGATCTCGTCGTTTGGTCCCCAATACGCCCCGGCTTTATATGCGTGATATCGCCGCCCATGCTCTCTTTGGTCGCTATTAGCATTGTATCTATATTTGTTTGCTATTTTCAAATCATGAGTTCTGTTAAGAAACGGGCGAAATCTTACATGCGAAATTGATAGATGGAAGAAGCTATTGAGCTGGTCTCTGAGCTATATCCGTGGCGATGGGATTAGCGAACAGCGAACACGCTGCCTTGGTCACATTTCTTAAGTAACCTACAAGTCATCGTCAAATGCTTCAACCTCATGCTCACTGTCGTCGACGACAATGTGAGCTGCGGCTTGAGCAGGTTGAGCCGGTTGAGCCATTGCTCGCGGCGAGACAGATCAGGCGGCAAGCAGCGGCTTTTTGTATATTGGGCGCAGGATTTTTATTGAAAAAAAGAAAAAACAGATCTTGCTTCTCTCCACAATTTCAACCAAGCAGACTTCTGCTTTTCTGAAACGCGAGTTGGACAATATGATCAAGTAAGAAGTGGTTTCCTGCAGCAAAGGCCACAATCATCAGCAAGGATGTTACAGGCAGGAAGAAGAAAAACTTGAATCCATTGGCGGAATCAATCCACAAACTCCAACGCCCGCATGTGCTGCTTTGCGGTGCGGCCTCTGTATATTTATGCCTGCCGGCACCAGACAATGGGAATGGACACATGGATGGCCATGGATGAGAGCAAGGAGGCATCATCCCGGCTGGGCAGCTCGCCAGCCAGCCAGCCAGCCAGCCCCAGTTTGCGCCCCTGCCGAAGCCCCTGACCTGGTGTTCTGCGCACGGCTTGCGCTGGAGACAGAGATGGGTCGCGGGCCGGTCTGACATGGGTTGGTGATCCTGATTGCATATCGTTCGTTTCTTGTCACCGTGACTCTGCGAGTCCTGGCTCCAGCTCTTTACGCTGCGCAGGAGTGATGAGAATTGCATTTCACTACATCACGGAATCTCGCTTCACACGACAAGACAATCACAAGAGCTGCGAGGGTCTTGATTATTATTCCAAGCATAAGCTGTATACGCCGTAATCCTTGAACTCTGGACGCGCTAACTGACACGCTTGCGGCCGACAGGACGAACCACCATCCAATCGTCGATTTTCTAACTGCATTGAGCTGCTTATCCCCAGCCGGGACATTGCTGACGAAGTTCTGCGTTATTCCATTCTTGAACAGGCGTTGTGCATTTGTTGAGACTACTGTGGACGCTTGTGCGCACAATGACAGGGAATTTCTTTCGTCGAATTCCTCTCGCGTGGGTTGGGACGCTTTATATAGTTACTAGTTACCGACCTCTGCATCGTGCCTCCACAGACATTAAATGTCATCATTTGCAAGGCATCGAGCTGGTACCCGCTATACGGATCCAGCAGATGGTTCGGTTTAAATATCCAGTTCGGAAACAGCGACAACAACATCCGCCAAGTCTATTGAGCTGATATTCTCTTAAATATTCAAGCTTGGCTGATTGTTTGCAGTCGGTTAAGGGGCGAAGTTCACATACAAAGTCCCTGATGCGAGCTTATTCTAGTACAGAATGCACTGCGCGCTAGGAAATGTCGCCTCGTCCCTGCTAACAGCAAAAACCTGCTCAATACGAGGATGTGGTTGCAGATGGAAGTATCCGAAAGCCTTTCTCCGTCACGCCAGCGTATATCTAACTACAGGGAGCTTAGGGCTACCTGAGGAACCGGAACCAACGGGATATTGGGCCTGAGACAGCAATTTATTTGGCTTCTCACCCATCAACGGAAAATCGGGAGCATCTATACGAATTTTTTTTGAACTGGCCATTCTCGCCCAATGCAGCACCCGCTCTCCCAAACAACTACCCACCTACATAGTTACGCAGGCTTGCACTCTTGAGAGATTCCTCTCTCATGGAATCTCTGTCCCCATGCTTTTCCGGCTTTCCCAATTTGCACATCATTTGATACCCCTATGAAACGGGGTGTGTTGCGCCTTATCACATTTCTGAATTGGAGGTGGAGAGTCAAAGTAGAATGTGTGTAAAGGTATGAGAAAATGGGAGAGATAAAAAAAATATAATAAATGAAAAAAAGAGTCGCTCATCGCCTAGCTGATCCCCTCTTGCTCTCAGCACGCATTTCGTTGGGAGTCATGGGTTCCAATACGCGGCAGATTCGGAAATTCTAAAACACCAAGAATGGATGGCCCTCAATATCCATGATCCTTGAACATTTAGCTCCCTTGTTCTAGTCATGAGCTATATACTTACATATTGTGTAGTCCCATACCAGAGGACTAAATCAATACATTGCCTTCTGCGTCCTCCCATCCCATTTCCTGCACAGTCCACCCCATAATCGCACGTCCCTTTCCAGGAACATCCCCCCAAACAAATCCGACAGAGTCAATCAACCTACGCTGCCCGATCTCCTTATGAATGTTGTTGATCTGCCCCACCTCCTCGTCCGTCAAGGAAACCGGGGACAGATTATCGTCCATCCGGGCGCGCGAGGCCGAATGTGGAATCGGAACGATCCCACGCTGAACCAGCCAGGATATCATGATCAATTCGATACTGACATTATATCGAGATGCAAGCGAGGTCAGGGTTTTGTGGTTGTACATGGGCGAAGTATCGAAGTAGAGGCTCTTCGGTCCACCACCTAATGGTCTACCGGTTCAAGATAAATGATGAAATGGTCAGCAATCGGTTCGCCCTGCCGATACGGGTGTATGCGCTTCAATCCCACTAGTGACAAAGGCCATTAACCCCAAAGATGGATTGGGGTCGATAAAAAAATTAAGAGACGACCTACCCCCAAGAGATCACCTGAATTCCCTTGTCCAGGCAATACGGGACAAGCTTCAGACTTGGATTGAACGGGTGCACTTCAATCTGATTGATGACCGGCTTGACCGTGCACTCCTTCAACAGCACATCCATCAATTTCTGCGAAAGGCTACAAACACCCAGACTCCTGCACTTAGGGCCGACGAGCTTTTCCATCTTCTTATATGTCTCCACGAACGTCGGGCTTTCGTCAATGCCCCTCCACCTCCCTTCTGGGCCAGAAGCATTGGGCCAGTGGAGGAGGAAAATATCAATGTAGCCGACGTCAAGCTTTGCCAGGGACTCGCGGAACGAAGCCTCAGGATCGTGATGCTGAGTTTGGATAAGCTTGGTCACGACTGTAAATTCAGAGCGAGGCACGCCTGAGGCGCGGATGGCCTCTCCAAGGAGATCCTCTGTGGCATACCCTGGTGCGGTGTCTATGTAACGATAGCCTGCGAGAATGGCCTGTTTGAGGATCTCGGTGACTTTGGGTCTTTCTTCGTCGGGGAAAACCATGCCGTCTTTGGGGCGTCTTAGTTTAGTTTTTGTTGTCTACGAGGTAAGCAACACTGCGCAGGATAGATAGGACTAACTAACACTGCATCGCCCCATAGCCAATAGCAGGAATTACTCTGCCTATAGGCCAAAAACCACGGAGTCAGTCGCATGTTCTTGAAACCATACTCAAGGAAAATCAACATACCATCGCTCAGTGTATAGGTCTTAGTGGAAGCAGCGCGTGTCTCTCTCATAGCTACGGGTTCGGCAGGATCAAAGTTGTAGCAAGCTCGAAGCACTGAGCACAGATGGGACGCGAGATCGGAGGATACCAATCAACCCAAAACAACGCCTCTACAAAAAATAAACTTGACACGCACAGAGCGAAGCGCGGAGTTCAGCAGAGATATTGACCGGATACCGAGATATTGACCTCTATTAACTCTTCCAGAAGTGCACGCTGCGAGAAACTATTTTATATAGGGAGGAGATTCGGCTTCCGCCTCACCCGAGCCCGCCCCCTTAGCCTGTTACCAACCAAAGGACAAAAAGGCCTCTAAAACCGGAGACATTCGGTATATTTTCGTTTCTCTCTGCTTAACCCCGTAAACAGCGGAGTTACTTGTTGCGGTAAAGTTCCTTATCGTATGTAGGAGTTATACGTCATCTAATCGGTTCCACCGCCAAGTGGAGTGATAGGATATATCCGACGCTACCATGCCGAGTGACCTCCCAGGAGAAAACAGCTGGTGTTGATGTACTATCTGTTAGGTCACTGCGGCAAAAGAGCTCTCTCACACCAGCGCCATGCTGGTAGTAGAGGGGACGAACCAGCCCAAACCCCTCAACACCCCCCCCCTCCCACGGACATGCAACTACCATTTTGGGTAGTAGCTGAGAACCAGGCCTGTCTTTGTTCTACCCTTCCACTGCCAACTTTTTTCTTAGTGGTCAGCTGGGGAACTAGGCCCTTGTTTGTTCCGGTCGAAGGATTCAGAGTGACTAAGCACTTATATTGTCCCCGCCCGGTAAGGACTGTGCATGAGTAGGATAGGACTTTTTTATTTGGATAATCTCTGATTTGAACCTGTGATAGAATGTTAGCACACCCTGCAGCGTTTGCGCTGCCACGGGCCTCATAACTTGTTAGGTCACTGGGGCAAAAGAGCTCTCCCACACCAGCGCCATGCTGGCAGTAGAGGGGACGAACCAATCCAAACCCCCCAACACTATCTACTTAATGAGAGCTGTATCATGTAGGGGGTAGCTGGTAGGTGGATATTCGTGAAGTGGAGTTGGGGTTCAGCTGCTTTTAGCTACAGCAGCACGTTTCCTTTGTGAAGATTACAGTATGGAAATGCAAGCCATCAGGATTGAACAAGCGGTGGATACTTCGCTCAGTTTGCTAGCCAAAAGTCAGTTCTACCACATATCGTGCGCCGTTCGGACTAGGCGGGTTAATTTTGAGCATGGAGTAAAAAGCATTTACGAGCAAGCAAGCATTGAGCTCCTCAGGAGACTGTAGGTTGTCATAGTGCCGACTTGAGTTCGGTTTATTCACAGTGCCAACGGTCGATATTGTTGAGAAGAGCATGATTTTGCAAGTGCTGCGCGGGAAATGTTCTCATCGAGCCTAGTGGGAACGTTTTCAGTTTCATACTGCTTATGAGTCTTGCACGGCGGTGTATGAATGTCCCGGCTTCAAGCCGGTTGGAGTGAAGAATATCATTTGCACGGGGACACCGAGTTCAACGTGGTTAGAAAATTAGCGCTTACCTAGCCATGCATCCAACCAGCGATCACTTCGTAAGCCAGGCGGGAAGAAACTGGCGTACTTATGTCCGATTATTCAATTCTCATCTTTGCCCTTTTGGTGTCAAGTAGCAACGATCTATCATACAGCACCTCCATGCATAAACAAGCCTCAAAAAACGCCTAGAGAAAAGAACCCAATGGTGTAAAAAGAAAGCGAGAATACCTCAAATATATATATATATATAATGTAAACAAAAATCTACATAGCCATCCATCCCGGCATGAAAAGTCGGGAAGCAAAAAGTAGATAGATAGGCGATGAGGGGATGGGGAACATGAAAAATCCCAGTAAGTCTAACCGCCCATACCACCCGTAGAGAGCTGCGCTTCATCCTGCCTATCATGTCCTCGTTGATCAAGCCAAGGAACATCAGCAGCGCCAGACCCGGATTGGCGTCTGCCATGCTGCCCATCCCTCTTCCCCCCGCCCTCCTGCTTTGGCCCTTTTTTTCCCTGCTTCTGCTTCCCCTTGCCGACATCAAGCCCGCTCGCACCCCCATCCTTACCCGCCAGCGCCCTCGCTCTGTCCCTCCTTTCCTCGTGCTCAACCGCCATCACCTGCTTAGCATCATAATATCGATTGAGAACGGGAACATAGCGCTGCGCGCACAGCATATCGCCAACACGGACGCGGAGCATGTCAAAAGCGACGACAACGGGCACGGGCACCCCGCCGTCCAGCTGCATCACGTCCGGCGTGGGCGCGCCGTACATTGGTGTTCTGTACTCGGAATCCAAGCCACGGGCATTACCACCGTCATCGTCACCATCAATGTCACCGTTATTGTCACTGCCATTACTGGCAGCATCGTTCTCCGAAACGGGGACGTCCGGCGGGTTATTTGCTCTCCACGCCGCGATGCGTGCGGGGAGTTTGTTGAAGAGTGGGGATCCCGATGCGGAGCGCGCGCGGGGGTGGGATGGGGAGCGGGGGGGCGAGTAGAGGTGGGAAGAAGCCCATATCTTCAAGCGCGGGATGGTGGGTTTATGCGTATACCGCTGACTGAAGTGAGTGAGGATTACATTACGCGCGCGCATTTGTTTGGCGACCCGCAATGCCTCGCCGCACGTACTGTGCCGCTTGGCCTGGGCGTCCTGCAGCATGTCGTCTTCAAAGGTTGCCTCGTGGATCAGCACAGTCGAGTCCGCGCCGACTCTGGCAAAGTCGCGCGATGGGCGGCAGTCACCGGAGTACGAGACTTTCAGGCCGGAGGGGAAAACGAAGGAGGTAGCCATGGAACCTTGGCAGTGCATGACGGGGACGGTGAGGAGAGTGCTGAGGCCTGTGGCTTGCTGGAGTTGCAGAGCGAGCGGTGACCGGTCAGGGTTGAAGGAGACGAAGGTTGTTAGGGGCTTCCCATGGTAGTCGAGGAGGGGTTGTCCATCGCTGCCCAGATGGCTGTAGTGGAAACTATCTGGAACCGTGGGGTCAGCCGCGAGGAGTAAGAGATTGTCGAAGCCGTAGTCCTCCACGCTGGAGTACTCGGCCAGCCATTCGATCATTTTCGCATTAGAGACAACGAAAAGTCTCTTTTCATTTAGGAGTTTCGTAAGATCGCGCTCTTGCTCCGGTGGAGGCGCTGTTCGAGACTGAGTTCTGTGCGTGACCTTATGCCAGGCCCGGATAACAGACACAGTCCCCAAATGGTGGTCTGCGTGCAAGTGGCTTATCCATATCACTTTTAAATCTCGTAGGACCTCCTGCAACTCCTCCGGCGCGAACGTGCGCTGCAGCTGCCCAAGAGTATTTTCACCACAATCAAATAAGTAGTTCCCAACCCCAGGAACCCTGAGTAAAGTTGCAGAAACAGTTCGGTATTTCGATGGCAGGGAAGAGCCGGTTCCGAGCGTGATAATCTCTGCATCCTGATTGGGGATGTTCTGGCGAACCTTCTTCAGAAGATCCTGAAACTCGGGACTGTTAATGTCTTCCTTGGCCTCGCGTGCTAATTTGAGGACACGAGAGGATATCTGTTTGGTGATGTTATTTGTATTGAGGGGTTTATGGACACCATCGCTATTGATCAGAAACTTCGGTTGCAGCTCGACTTGTAAGTTGGGAAGTGCAGGCAGGAACACTGACTTCAAAGGGTCACTCGCAGGTCGTGATGGTGGCGACGATGAAGGTAGCGTAAGGAAGGTCTTTTGTGGAAGTTCCACGTTATCATGATGTGGCACGTGGAATCGTTCATTGTCGAGGACGGAGAAATGTGTGGTCTCCGTGGAACCAAACGGGAACGCGAGGTAATTTGAACAGTAATCCATAGAAGAGACGATGTGCTTGTACTGCGACATTTTAACCACGAACTCCTGTAAAAGCGGATGGCTGCCAACGCCTGGACCAAGGATCCAGACAAAAGTTGTAAGCCCCCTCATCACTTCAGGCGTAGTCCACTCAGGTCTATTGACGAGATTTTCGACATAGTCGGCCGTGGGGATATCCAAAAAAGCAATTCCTCCACCCGGCTGAGATTCTCCAATAACCATCTCCGGAGTGATTACCTTCCCATCCTCGGACACCACACTCTGACCCGCAGTCAATTGACCAAACTTAGGACCTTGTTTAACACCCAAGGCTTTGGCTTTCGCCGCATTGAATTTCCCCCGCACATCATAATGTTGAATAATATACGAAATCGATATGTCCGACGGGGTAGTTGGGGGAAGAGTCTCCGTCAAAGCACCAGGCCATGGCTTCCGAACTAAAACCGTAATATCGGGAACGGTATCGGTGGCATCCGGCCCAGGACCCGTATACGGTTCGAGCTTGTGAGTTTCCCGGTTACGGACGAAGATTTTTGCAGGGTGCCGAACTTCACTGAGTGGCATCTCGACCAGAGAATCCAAACGCCAGTCGGAGTTGAACATGTCAGACACCACCGCCTGGCGAGCTATTTGATCCTGAGCACGTTTATCGAGGGCGCTAGCATTCTCGCTCTCCAAACCCTGTCCAGCAACTGCAGCACCAGCATTAGGACCTTCCTGGAACTCATCCAGACTTCGCTTCCGTCCACTTTTCATACTTCCTACAGATCCAGTAGGCGATCCAAGAGAAGATGTGGGCGATATCGAGAGCGCCCACACCTTAAGATGCGAATCGGTCCACGTAGGTTCCGCCACATTCCTCCTCTCACCACCTACCCCCTCCCCCTCCCCTTCCCCTCCCCCCTCGGAAAACCCATTAAACTCATGGATATAAACCGGCATCCCCGTCCGAAAAATAAACTTCCTCGCCGTCGCCACCGTATGCGTCAAATTCGGCCCGCCATGGATAGCCAGCTTCCCCCGCCGCTCAAACTCCACGGCAAGCTTGTTGCTCCGCTCCTGGAAATGCTCCAGCCGCCGCCGGTATGACTCTGCCTGCACCGGATCCGCCGTCTCGGCCGCTAGCTTTGCCAACCGCTCTGCTTTCGTCCGATACACCTCCTTCTGCGACCAGGCAGAGGTATTCGCCGACTCGGCAAGCGTTAGGATGATCCCGAGCAGGCCGCCATTGTTCGCCCACGACGTCTTGCCGGACATGAAAATGTCCGTGACATGGGTGAACTTGATATTACGATGGCCGCAGGCCCGCTGTAGGCCCTCGGGTATATGGCCGAATAGGTAGCGCTTGTCATCGAAGTGGACGATAAGGGTAGTGCCTGGCGTGTCTGCCGTAGGTGTGGTGATGAACTCGAAGAAGAACTTCATTGGATGGTGGGCGGCGGTTGTGGGATCGAAGGACTGCTCGCCGGGGTACAGGGAGATGTTGTCGGGGTCGCGGAAGAGGTATCTATCCCGATGGACGCCGCCTAGTTTCTTGGGATCGAGTTTTGGGGCGAGGAAAATGGGGTGTTCGAGGTCTATTTCTTTGGGGAAATCGGAGGTTCTGTATGGGAGCTGGTTGGGGGTTTTGCGCGGGGCCCGGTTGGTGAAATGGCGGGTATTATGGTTGCAAGTGGATGTCAGGAGGGGGCATGAATAAGGCGCTGGAACGGGGAACGAGGAATTTCTGCGAACTGCATTCGTCAGAAGCGTTCCAGCGGCGCGGAGGGACGCCAATTTGCCAAAATGTTATCCTTCCAAGCCGACGCGAGTCGACCAGCTGCGTGAGTGGGATAGCAGGGGAAACGAGGATAATTACAACCTCTATTTAAAACATAGCCAGGAAACAAAATAGTGTATAAGAGGAAGGAATCAGTATGAAGATAACAACTCTCTACATAAAAATGAAGTTGAAAACAATGAACGAGTCTACATTCATTCAGTTGGAGGTTTCTACAACTTTTTTTTTTTTACGTCGAGTTTGGAATGAGTCAAGTATGACTAAGCCCAGAGGGTCGCACCAGATGCAAGGAAAATATATCAATTATAGTAAATTATTGTATTATATTCCGAGCAGTTTTCTTCCATATCTGAGTTAAGGTGTGAATATATATATCCATATTTACGAGGTCAAATTGGAAACCAGGACAAATGAAATAAACACACAAAAGAGATGAGCGTGATGAGTGGAAAAAGAACAACAAGAAAAAACAGCCTAGACATAGGAAATTATATCAGCAAATGAAGGTCGGGGAACAGCCAGTGAGGACAGTCTTGACATATTCGGAAACCGGAACAGGCGCAATCGCCCACACACACAAATATATATACACGTGTATGTATATATAAATATCTCTAAAAGGTAAATTTTGAAAAACAGCAACCTGAACTCCTCCCAGACAAACCCTCAGAAGTAGCCGGGATACAACGGCGATGTAAAAACGGAAAGAGGAAAAAACACACGAGGCGCACGAGGCAAGCTTATGTCCCATTTCTATACGCCCAGTAACAAAGGAAAAAAGGGGAAAAAATAAAAATAAAACTATGGTTGGAAAAACAATGAAGACGGTAGATGGTGACAAGAGGCCAAAGTTCTGATCAAATACGCTAAGGAGCAACACCAGGAGTAGTAAAAGGATGGGATTAGCAGCAAGTGACAAAGGACGGTCGGCATAGCGAAGAACGGGAAAGTAGCGGCTTGCAAAGGTTTCAACCAAATTTGGCTCCTTTTCATCTAAGACGATGCCCACTCGTTGTCCCGTGTGTCTTCAAGGTGTGCAGTTACCAACGAAACACGTTGGTAGGCACCTTCTATGCTCATGCAAAGTTGTTCAAACCGTACCATCGTCGCTGAGTTGACACCCGTGTAGCCGGTGGATCCTCCCTGGCCCTCCGTCGTCGCAGAACTGTAATAATCGTCAACCACAAGATCGATTCGAGCAAATAATTTTTCCGGTGTGATACCGCCGAACGTATCTTCAAATGTCGGAGAAGTTGTTGGTGACGTTGCTGGAGAGCTGCTGCTCATTGGCTGATCATAGAATAGGGCTAGCGAGGGATCCGACTCATCGATTTCCACCTCTGGAGTCAACTTCATTCTCGTCTTTTCATCTTCCTCGGTAGAACTATCAGCCACTGGGGGCGGTGGTCTTTGGATCGACGGAATCTGTTCCTTAGTTTCATCTGTGCAGATGGGCCCAACAGAGTTGGATGATTTGCCTGACAAAACAGCACTATCGAGATCGGGCCCTCGAGGGACATCCAGAACAGCGAAGACGGGGGTGTTGTTATAGTTCATGTCGATGCCGGTATTCCAGCCTGGGGTATTCATATCCATTCCTGCAAAGTCAACTGATTGCTCGGGAACCATGGCTAATCCGACTTGCTGATTCTGCATCTGGATATCAGCGGAAACGTGGGACGGGTTCGGATCCTTTGGGGCCTGCTGCTGCTGCTGCTGCTGTTGCTGCTGCTGTCCTGGTTGAGAAGCCGGGAGGCCGTTCATGGACATGTCATTAAGAAATGAAGAGAAGTGCGGAGACGAAAGAAGCATGCGTGTGAGGTCCATGAGACGAGCATTTTCTTCTGCCAACGCACGATTCTGAAGACGTAGATCATTAGTCTCGTTAGTTTTGGCAGCAACCTCTCCTTCGAGTTGGCCGATATATTCTGTATTCAAGCCATTAGTTGAGACAATCCACAACCAACAGAAGTAATTGGGGAACATTACCCTTGCGTCTGGATCTGAATGCACGGGCAGAGACCTTGTTTCGCAATTGACGGCGCTCCTTGCTACTGAGTTTTTTCCCCTCCTCACTAGCCAAAAGACGTTCATCCTCATCCATTTCGTCCTCGTCCTTCTTCGGCTTTAAGTTATGCGAAACATTCACGGGCTTGGAATCTTCTTCACGCACAACAGAAGTGGTCACGCTGCTCTGTCTCATCTGGTGCAGGAGGCGGGAAATTCGTTCCTCAACAGCTGGATCGCTGGGACGACTGGCCTTGTTTTGGGGCTTCGATGCCTGACGGGCATGTTGTGGCTGTTGTTGCTGTTGTTGTTGCTGTTGCTGCTGTTGCTGCTGTTGCTGCTGCTGTTGACGGATGATCTCCTGCTGCCTTTGTTGCTGAGCTGCCTTCGCCATAGCCGCTTGCTGCTGATGCATTCCAGGATACATGCGCCCCACTTGGCTCGGTTGGGCGAGTGTTGAGAGTTCATGGCCACCCAAGGCATTGGGATCGACGAACTGGGCTTTACTTGTCGTGGAAGTAAACTGCGGGTTAACCATGAGGTCAGTTGGTGTGTCGGGATCCAGATCGAGTCCAATCCCCGAATTCCTGAACGTCGGCATAGTCGGTAGGGGCGAGGAGCCAAAGTTGACCATCTCTTGAGTGGGGTTTATAAAGGCTTCGGATGGCATGACGAAATTATGTTGGTTCCCAAACGTGAAATCCAACCCAATATTCCGGTTAATAGCCATCGTGTTGGCCAGGCCGCCTGGTGGGAGGCCAGTTTGCTGTTTGTAGGAATCATATTCATGGCTTGGTCCCGAGAAGAAGACTTGGGAAGAAGAGGATTGTTGGCTGTTGCTGCTGGCGGATGAAAAGCTGGGAGCATTTGGCGCAGAACTTGCCGCAGGGGTTGACACAGAACTGGTGTTGGCTGTAGTTTTCGCTCTGGCCGAAGCGGGAGAAAGGGATGGAGAAGGATAGATCGGCTGGTCGTAGTTGATGAACGAGTCGATATCGTTTGGATCAATACAACTGTTCAACGTCGAAGAAGTTGGCGGTTGTAACTCCCCAGTCGTAGCCATGACGAAGGAGACAAAAGGAGACGGTGTATAAAGATGGTAAAGAACCCTTCGAGATCGAGACGGCCTCAGCCGGCGATACGGGGGGATGAAAAGGGAATAGTGTGCTCGACTCGAATCCCACCAACTGACGCCGCTGGAAGGAACTACTCGATGCGAAAAAAATATCGATGGGCGGAGTGACGATGTGAAAAGAATCGGATTGCTGGCAAAAGACGAGATATCAAAACGAACGGTGGTGGGTTGTTGGGGGGATGAAGAGGCGAGTGTTCTTGCAGAGAGTGGTGGTGGTGGTGGTGGTGATGGCGATGGCGAGGAGAGAGTTGGTTGACGATGGCTTGGCTTGACCCGATGACTAACCAGGACCTTAGTCATCCAGCCTCCAGCTGGGACACGCGTCCTCTTGCCAAGGCCGTATAGACACGGTATTGTCCGTTATTTTCACCACAATCCTTTGCAGAATGGATGAATATTACAGCTACGACGGACAAATACACCCTAAACGAACACTTGGAGTTTAGTTCTAAAACCGCTGGAAACATGCTGGAAATATACCGGGAATATACTGGAAATATGCTGCATGTTGTTGGTCCAGAAAAATTGCCCTCCTCAGCGTCTCGGCTGTCATCCCATATCTGATATCGCCAGGTTCTTAGTGTCTTCTCTCCCTCCCAGATCCAATCGGCTGCTGCTGGGGGGCTACAGGGACCCAAGGGGGCTGTGCAGCCTGTGTGCCTCCCCTCCGTCGCTGGTCAGAAACCTTCGTCGGGTCGAGTGTCCAACCTGGTCCAGCCGCCAAGTGCCACAGCTGGCGCATGAGATAACCGGTTTTAAAATAGAAACACCAGAGGAATCCAAACCAAAGCCCTCAAAGAGCCTTGCCAAGCGTCCTTCTACATTGGAGGTACGCTTCAAACCTGCCAGATATTCGCCCTTTTGGGGCAACGGTGAGATCTGCTGCATAATCATGGTATCATTGTTCTCTACGTTTTCCAGACCTGCGGCGGCGGCTGTATCTCGTCTCCTCTGGCCAATTCACCATCACCACGACTACCATGACTGCGGTGGCATCCGACGCTGCTTACCCATCAGCGCGAACTTTGATCCTGGCGATGGGGAGGTATCCAGGCAACAGCATTTTTTTATCGGACGGATCAGCGGCATCGCAACGGAAAAAAAGGTTTAAGAAGAATATTAAAAGAAAAGCAAAAGAAAAAGAAAAAGAAAACGAGTAAAAGAGCACATCAACAAGTGAGGAGAATTCCCAACGTCCATGGGCCCAGAAGGCTCTGCCCCGTTCCCAAGATTCGAATCACCCTTCCCATTTAAGATTCCTTAGATTCCTAGATTCCATTGAATAATTCTTCTGCTGGTCCAACGGAGAAAGATCCCGCTGGCTGTGTTCCTTTACGCAATGTTCACAGAGACAATTCTCAGCGGATAAGCTTTCCAAAGCCTATTCCAGTTCACCATGGAGAAAAAAAAAACACCCTGTTATCTCCGTGGATGGACATGCATGCGTCTGCAACCAGCATCGTGGACGTGGACTCAACTTCAACTGCCTGTCCTTTCAAATAATACTTTTTCAACCAAGACAGCGTCCACGAAAACTCCTGGGCTCAGCCACTATCAGAGACAGCCACGCAGCAGAGCAGAATCTTTGCAGCAGGGATCCTGTTCCAGCTCCACCTTTGGAAGCTCTGGCACATCAGCTTTCTAAGAGTGATGGATGAATCCCGGGCTTGCCTCAGTCTCAATTTGCATGGAAATTATTGGATCTGCAAGTTCCTGAAGTTGGTTAAGACTAAATAATAACCCAACAAGAGTTGGACAAAACGACGGGATGGCACGGCCAGCGCAACTCCACCGGCGCCATCTATGTCTCTATACCTCTATGTATATGTATAGGAGTCTACCTCCTTCGACGGATTGAGCGGCGCCATCCTCTCATTACCCGCCTTGTTAGATGAAGGGTGGAGGGGGCCATGTCTCTTGTTGTTCTGTAGGAGTAGTTCAGGATATGATGAACAAACTCTGTCTGAATATCCTCATTCATGCGCAAGACACGCTCAATCGCCGTATCTGATCCGCAACCACAGGCTGACTGCTCCAAAGGACAATATAAGAATATCCCCCGTGGAGTACGATCAAGTTGGCTGTGCAATGCCATAGTCATTCAGTATGTGAGGATTGCCGTGACCTTAGATTCGGTGTCTCTAGTGACCATATTACCCAGTGGTGAGACTATTATCGCTCTTATATTTCATGGACCAGCAGTAGCTGGTTGCGTGCTAGATTCTGACCCTTGCTTATATTACGTCGTTGAACAACTTCATTCTGTCCCCGCGGTTTTACAATATGTTTATCTCAACGTAGTCAGCGTAGTTTTAAGGCTCCCGTTACACTGTCTGAGCCTTATTGTGGTTCATCACCTATGGCTCTTTTTCGCAAACCAGTCTGTCAGGAGAGAACTAACCCCAAGGTGCTGGGCTTTCGGATCCGGATTAACATTCAAGCCGCGACGATGGGGAAAAAAATAAAAAATTCCAGAACTCTCGAAGTGAAATCTTTCATCCCCGTTTGCTTTGCTATTTTTTAGATAGCTGTCTTTCGGGTGACGCCAAAATAGCGTTTCTTCTGAGGGCCCCATCCTGGGCGAAGCTGCGTGCCCTCCTCATGCCGAGCATGGCCGCAGCTCACCCAACGAAGAAGTTGTTCGGCAGGGAGTTCTACAAGAGCCTGGGGAGCCCGTCAATGATACTGGCTCCCATGGTGGATAGGTCCGAGTTTGTAAGTTGATCTAGGCCCTGTCTGCCAATATGCGAAGTATATATATATATGTGCATAGTATATAGTCGGATATATATCTATCGCGATATCGTGGTCCCTCAGCTTATCATGTTTTATATTGGATTATTTTGTATAGGCATGGCGCATGCTCACCCGATCTTTCATGAACCCTGATTCGGATTCCCCTCCCCTCCTCGCCTACTCTCCCATGTTCCATTCGCGCCTCTTCAAAGAAAGCCCCAATTACCGCCTGCAACATTTCGAAGCGACCCGTCCAAGGTCGAAGACACCCACCACCCCCGCCGCAAATGATATTGATGGGGGAGCACCACAGTCAAACACCATTCCTTATCTGGACGGCAACCCCTCCTTCGACCGACCGCTCATAGTCCAATTCTGCGCCAACAACCCAGACGAGCTCCTCCAAGCCGCCCGCGCCGTCGAGCCCTTCTGCGACGCCGTTGACCTAAACCTCGGCTGTCCGCAAGGAATCGCCCGCAAGGGCCACTACGGCGCATTCCTCCAGGAGCACCCAGACCTGATCTACGAGCTCATCAACACGCTCCACACACAGCTCTCGATCCCCGTCACGGCGAAGTTCCGCATCCAGGAGACCAAGGAGAAGACGCTGGAGTATGCCCGCATAATCCTTTCCGCGGGCGCGAGTATCATTACCGTTCACGGCCGGCGGCGCGAACAAAAGGGCCATAATACCGGCTTAGCTGATTGGTCATACATTCGCTATCTGCGGGAGAACCTGCCGGCTGACACGGTTATTTTTGCGAATGGGAATATTCTGAATCATGGGGATATTGAGAAGTGTTTGGAGGCTACGGGGGCGGATGGCGTGATGAGTGCGGAGGGCAGTTTGTGTGATCCGACGATATTTAGCGGGCCGCCGCCGTCGTCCTCGGTGGGTGGCAGCGGTATGAGGGGGGAAAAGAGAGATGGGGCTGAGTATTGGGTGGGAAGGGATGGGAAGGGTGGATATCGTGTTGATTTCGTACTGCGTCGATATATGGATATTATTTACAAATACGTCCTCGAGATTCCACCGCCCGAGAGGAAGCCACTCTACGTGTCTTCCCCAACCGCCACCTTCAGTGCCAACAATGCCAACAGCGACCCTGCAAAGTGCGACTCGATCCACGCATCCCCACCAGTTGAAGAAGCCGAAAAGAAAAACGAAAACGGAGAAGACGCCGCGCCCCCCAAAAAGAAACGCAAAAGGAACAAGGAGGACGCCAAACCCACGTCTCCCAACCTCGTTTCCATCCAGGGCCACCTCTTCCAACTCCTCCGCCCCCTCATCTCCAAACACACCCACATCCGCGACGCGCTCTCCAAATGCCGCGCGGGCCGGATGTCCGAGTTCGAAAACATCGTCTCACTCGTCGAGGCTGCCGTTCAATCCGGAATACAGGAGCACGAGGCGTTCCCGGAGCGTTTCGAAACACCGCTGGAAGAAACAGCAACTAAATCGGAGATCGAAGATGAAACAGACGCCCGACCACCCAGCTCGAAGGCTACGGTGGCGCAATACAAGCGACCGTGGTGGGTATGTCAGCCGTACGTGCGGCCTTTGCCAGAGGAGGCACTGCAGATTGGAGCGATGCAGCCCAAGAAGAGAGATATCCTCGTCAGGAAGAACGAGGAGCTTGGCAAGGTGGTGGAAAGGAACGGCGATGGTGATGTCGATGCCATTGCAGGCACGCCTGATGGGCTCGCGAGTGGGTCTGATAAGGAGAATTGCGCCCTCGTGCCTTCAGCGGTTAGTGGATGAACATGTGGATCACTACATCCCGGAGCTAGATCAGACATATTACGACAGTGTGGGTTCTTGTGTATACAATCCCTTGGGTGGATGTGGGCATGGGTGGATGGGCCTAACATTATACTTTGCCTACCACCTGTGAGTCTTATTTCATCGAGCCAACCCACAAAACCGCCAACGAGAACAAATCCGGCCCAGCGGAGCGACGTAACTTTTACATGTGTATAGCTCCTTTAGCTCTCTTGAAATAGGAGCAAGGGAAACGGAGGTCAACTCTGGAATTTAGCTCCGTGCATACGCGAAATACGACAGTCGATACATACATACATCCCATGCAGAGAATCCGCATTTGGAATACCATGACCCCATCGACATTGACGTTGAATTATAGACACCTTCCAACACTATTCCGTACCACGCTGGATATTTTTTGACTTTCGAATCTCTGAATCAGGTGTTTTTGGATAGATGGGAGATAGAAGGGGGACGAAAAGGAACGGATGTTTCGTTTCGTTTTACTCATCCCACACTACCCTCGGACAGAGGAGAGAATCAGCAACGCATTTATTTTTGTTTGAGTATGTCTATAGAACAGTGCTGTCTGATATTGTACCCGAATGAGGGTCGCCATTCCCATCCGCAATTTGGTATGTGGAAAGATTAGAAGCTACTACTACTATATAGGCAGTTAGATAAGAACCAGTGAATTTATTTCGCTACAGAGCAGCATATAGACAAAACATACAGCATTTCTGATTCCAGATATGGGGGGGTACGTCCCACATTTCCTCATCTCATTTTATATGCCATGGAATTCAGTTTGTTCTTACCTTCCAACCCATCTATGAAGTGTTCTTATCAACACTTGCGGGCCGATTCCTTCTCTTTGCTCATGTTTTGCTTCTTCTTCTTCTGCCTGAGATTCTTTTCTATGGGCAGCCAGTTCCTTCCCGTCGTGAAGAGGGCAGGTATCTCAGAAACTCTGCTGTTCTGTACTCCATGAGAGAATGACACCATCGCTACTGTTTTTGCCATCACTCCCAGGTTGTCTTTCTGTTGACAAGCAAGTGAATGTTTGTTCAGGTGTCTTCACCAACTGTGCAGATGGCAAGCCTGGTCCCATGAAGAACAAGAACCACACCCGGGCAGTCATCTCAACCCTTTCTTTTGTCTGTTGTAGTAAACAACAGTCTCTTCTCCAAAGCAAACGCACCCGCATCCTGAATATCACTCCTTGCATGCTTCATTAGAAGAAATAAACAGTCATCTCTCATCCAACATGGCATCACCAGCCCGCTCGCATACAGGCTGTATCTCAGACCCTACTCCCATGGAAAAGGTCCCAACACTGGTCCCCCTCACCTCCGTCCAAAGCAACCCAGTCGAGTCTGACAGGCGCGTCACTCCAAAGCCCAGTCGACGCCTACGCAAGGCGCCTGGCAAAGGCCATGAGAGCAGCAACAGCATCACCAAGGAGTTGACTCGCGGGGCTCCCACTGATGGATATCCCAACCGCTTCCTGACCAAATCCTCCAGCCAGCTAGACATCGCGAAAAAGAGAAGCCAGTACTTCAACGAAGTGTTCACTTCCAGAGAGCCGTATCATACCCCTCGGCACCGCGTTAATCAAGACTCCGTCGTTGTTGTCGAGATCAAAACAAATGTCCTTGTAAGGCATCCAATTACCCTTTTTCCTTACTTACTCGCACTTTTTGAAACCTGAATAGCGAGTGAAAACAGCAGCGGATCCTCAAGCTAACCAACGACATCTAACTCAAATGCAGCTGGCAAATGACTTCCAGAACCTCTCGGAACTTTCCCTCAACCTCTCCCTGATATTCCAGCGCCCAGAATCCTCCATCCTCCTTTACGTCGAACACAACTGTTGTCTGATGCTCGCCAGTAGCTACGAGCCTGCCTATCTAGCCACCGTCTCCGCACTACCTTGCTCAATCGCCCCAATAACCAACCTGCGCCACACCGTGTTGATCCAAACCGCCATCTTGGACATCTTCAACATCCCCGGCAACCGCGGCGTGATCAAGTTCGAATCAATGGCCGAGGAAAACTTCGCCACAAACGGCTCAACCATCCGCGATGAGATTGACCAACTCCAGCGCACCTCTAACGACGATCATAGCATCTTCAAGAGCATCTCACACAGTGTCACCCGCAAGATTAAATCGAACACGTCCAACGGTAATAATAATAGCGTTGTCCGGCCCGGCACTCCTGTACACGACTTGCCGAATCCGTCCACTAACGATGGCAATAATGACAATAAAAATTATGGAGAAAGTAATTTAACATCATCAGCTGTTCCCCCCGAAGACAAAATGGAGTTAGCTTCTCCAAAACAGGGCGCACTCAGGGGCAGGGACCGCGTTATCAAGAAATGCCAGAGTATCCGGCAACTTTTCTTCCATTGAAAATCTGAGTTTTGAGATGGGGTATGGTACGGCCCCATAGGATCCATATAGCAAATAACTACTTCTTCGTCGTCCCAGCAGCTTGCAAGAGATGTTCGTTTTCTTTTTTCTTTCTAGTTAGGACACACAACAGTCCAGCCGTATGGCTTGCTGATTCCCTGCTGGCTTTTGCACTTGTTCTCTTCCTGTCTTTTATCTTTCATGGAATTGATTTTAATGACGGTCGTAAGTTAGTTAAATAGGCATTATTTTTAATGTATGTACTTTTGCAGACAGGGGAGAGGACTGGTGCATTGCGGATATGTCAGTGGATTCTTAAACCTCCAGGACCTCTGCTAGAGGGTTTGCAAATTTGATGTAAGGTTTTCGCCCTTTTTCTGTAGCAGATTTGATTTCTTATTTTCTGGTAGAAATAAATATCTGACCTTACATCCACATTAAATATGTACTGTGAATGAGGTATGTTTTTCTCCTGAGTTTGTCTGGCTTTCCAAAGCCTGGCACTAACTAAATATAATGGTCAAAGGGAGTTTGATTTGAGAAACAAAACCTGTCTTCTGAGAGGCAATCTAAATGGTTTATGGAATTGGTTTGGTGATCCACATCACCAATTTGATGGACTTCTTTCTTTCTTTCTTTCTTTTTTTACCTTACCTTGCCTAGTTAATATGTCATATCCCAGACACAGTTATCTATACCTGGTGCTGTGCACTTCTCAACGCCGAGCGCTGAGTTAATCTAGTAGCAATGGGCATGAATGAGTCAAGCTCTTCCAACACTGGCATCATTCGGTTGATATATAAATGTTTTTTTTTAAACTTATTTTTTGTTTTTGACACCACTTGCACTACTTCTTTCTTTCTTTTACAAGTCAGTCAGTCACCTTTCCCCATTTCAAATAGCTTCATCGATCCTGTATCCATCTACCTATTTCACTTGCTGTTAAACACGTTGAGAAACCGCGCAATCAAAACAACCAAACGCTGGCCAAAATAAATATATTTTTTTAAAAAAAGAAAAAGAAAGAAAGATAAGAAATGAGTGTCATAACTGAAATCCAAGGTGATCTCTTCGATGCACCGGAGGGTGCAGCTTTAATCCGTATGTATAATTATTCATCCTTTTATCCTCATTCTCCCTTCTCTGCCGTGCTAGGCCCCCTACTGACTCCTGACGAATAGACGCGTGTAACTGCCAGGGGTCTTGGGGGAAGGGGATCGCGGCGACTTTCAAGGAGAAGGTATGTATTGTTACAGCTCTATGCATATACAGTGTACTTTGGGCGGATGAATCTCGACCACACCGTCGTATCAAGGATAACATACATACTGGTATTAACAAAAACCCTGCTCGCCCGCAGTACCCCGCTGCCTACCGAATCTTCCGCTCCCACTGCCAGCAATATCTCTCCCACCCTCAGACATGGACGCAGACACAGACAGAGACAGAGACACGCCCCATCCCCGTCCGCGTCCCGAGCACAGACCCAAGTCGCCAGCAGCCACGCGCTCTCAAGCTGCCCGAGGGGACGGCGTTGATAATTCCACCGCAGCCAGCGGACTACCAGCCACAGCTACAGCCACAGCCCCAAACAGCACCGCTATCAAATCGCGGGCGCGGACGTGGACGTGGACGTGGACGAGCTGGCGGCGGGGCATTACGCGGCTCCAGGGGACTGACGGCACTGCCGAGGCCAGCAGGGAAGAAGCATTGGATCATCTGCCTATTTACATCGTGGCACTATGGGCGGTGGAGTCGGAGCCCGCCCGATATCATTCTCGAAAATACGATGTCAGCCATGGCGGATTTGAAAAGGCAGATTGCCGCTGCTGCCGCTGCGAGTTCTACTACTTCTCCTGCCACTACCACCACCACCACCACAGCGCTGGCTGCGACTGGGGGTTGTGAAGAAGAACAGCTCGGCGAATTATGGGGATGCAGATTGAATGCGGGTCTTTTTGGAGTGCCGTGGGAGCGGACAAGGGCGGTTCTCGAAGAGGCGGGATTGGCGGTGACGATTGCTCAGCCGCCGGGGAGTGGATATGAGTGAGGTTGCAGCGGGGGAATTCTTTTATCCATCGGGATGTGAACGTTTGGTAGGAACTATTGCTTCCACTTGCTTCCACTTGCCATTATTGCCCATTCTGTGGAATTGTGTGAATGCATGGTCGATGAGCAGAAAACGGCAATTCTATGTTTATGCGAATAAGGGTGTCGGTACTGCGGATGCTAGGATGCATCTTAAGTCCGTAGAGAAATAGAAAAATAGAAAGAAAAAAAAAGTAATAAATGGACGCTGTCACGTGGTATTGTTTACGGTTCCCACCAGGCGACCGAGTTCTTTGCCCAGGAGCCTATATCTTGCATCCCAAGGGGCATTAGGAGATTTATAGACAACCCCTTTCCCATAAACCCCGTATCCAAATGGACCCTCCCATATCTCTACCCAAACGGAAACGCCCTCCATTCAACCCTCCCCGCCCTCGAAATGGAGCCGGCATAACAAAACCCTCAACGACCTCGGCGAGATCAAAATCCAAACCCAAGCCCAAACCCAATTCCACAGCCCGGACAACAACACAAAAGTCCGCCTCTTCCTCCTCCAATATACACCGTCGAAGACCCTCCACAGCCCACAATAATGACAACGACGATGACACCCGCGCCTCAAGCACATCGTCCCGAACCCCTTCACCCAGTGGCCCCAACTCATCCCCGCGAGTTACACCATCGTCGGATTACGAATCCCGCTCCCGCTCCAGATCCCCTTCCGACGAACCAGACTACATTCTGGCTGAAATCACCGAGCCTGCCCCGTTAGATCCACGCGAGGAGCTCGAATCCTCCGACCCGCTGATCAAGCCCAAACTTCTCACGACGCTCCTGCACCGCCACTTCCAAGACGACAAGACAAAGATCACGAAGGACGCCGTGCGGGCGTTGGCCAAGTACGTGGATATTTTCGTGCGGGAGGCGTTGGCGCGGGCGTCGTATGAGAGGGCGGAAGGGCAGAGTGGTAAATCTGCCAGTCGGGATACAAGGGGGGGAGCGCGGGCGAGGGTTGATAATTATTTGGAGGTATGTATTTCGTGTGCTTCTTCCCCCCTTCTCTAATTTAGTTTCTTCAAATTTGTAGGGAATTATATTAAATTTACTTATCGTTTTTTGTTTCTTTCTAGATTGAGGACTTAGAGAGACTGGCACCGCAGCTAGTACTTGATTTTTGAGGCGGGCGGAATTCTACAGACGAGCTATGAGTTATCAAATGATTGACACGCTGGGATTTACGAATTTCGCTATGAGCCGCTGTTTTCGGATAGGCTATGTTCGGTGGCGTAATGGTAGGGAGTTTTGGGCGCTCAGTTGCAATTAATCACCTATATGTATTACTTCAAGGAGGATGTAAAAGGGTTTTGGACAATGGCGTTCACTCCTGGGATTATGGAGCCATCTAGAAACGACTTCGCAATATTGCTTTCTTTTTCAACCGCGCGCATTGCATCGCTGGCAAATTGAAAGCGGATCATGGAAGCAGTAGCAGGAATTGACTGGACTGATTTGATAACCTGCAATTGCTGTACCGTAGACGCCTAACCACGACTTAGTGAAGGCCGGGGAAAGAATGAGATCGATCCTCTACACACGATACAATTTGTCAATATTTCGAAAAAGCCTTCACTGACACAGAGACGGTTAAATTACAATGAGCTTCGGCAAGGCTGTCCTCGATTTGACGTGGGGCTAGAAGGTGGAGGAGTTAGCCCAGCCACTGCAGGGACACCGAGCGTCGATAACCTCAAACAACCATGCGACACTTTCAAAGCCTTCCACGCTTCACATCAACATCCTCATTCATGCATGGAACAGCGATCGCCCCTGGTCTCACAGGCCGTGCGACCCGCTCCGAAGGATAGCGAACCCTCAAGTCGGGATAACCCACTTCCCAGGCGTTCTATCCACCCTTGCTCCAGAGCCACGGGCTTTCGCAATGATTGATACAACAAGTCTCCTCTGTAGATATTGAAAGATTATTCTTGGAGACTTCTTCTTTTGTCCTGTAGGATCCGTGGAATCTGCCGAATCTGAAATGTGTTCCGTACATAATCAGCTTTTCTACTTCCTCAAACTTTTCTCTAACATGCAACCAGGCTATCTATACCTCTCTTCCACAGGCGCCACGGGCAGCAATGGCTGCGACAGCAACTTGCATCTGACGCCTGGCCTCGAAACCCGAAAGGCAACACGATTCATTCCGCCTGCATATCCTGTCCTGGGCACCTCTCCATTCCTGTTTGAGTAATTCTCAGGGCCATGATGTTGCCCTTCCTGATACCATAGTGGGAATCTGCGACGGTTCCAAGTCCCTACATGCACCTCCTGGCTTCCGCAAAGCCTTAATCTAGGAGGTCGGACGGTGGATATTCTTCATGCATAATCAATATTCTCAATGCGTCTTAAATCTCCATTTTCCCTCTCATTTCTGGAGCTTCCCTTTTATCCAACCCTCCTCTCTATTCTTTCTTTCATCACTCTCTGGAAGACGAAAACTGATTTCTTTTCTTCCTGTCTCAATTTTTTCTATTTTTGCTTCTTCATATATATTCTCTATATATTTATTCTCTTCTACGCATATTTTCACTCGTTCACTTCCACAACATCAAAGCGCTAGTCGCTTGTATTCTATAAATATATATATCTATCTATCTATTGCTTTCCCCCTCTCTTTCTCCCTATACAATATCGGGAAATTGTCCATCCGTTTACCAGCGTAAATTAGACAAAACAGAAAATACACATCGACAAAAATGTTGCTCAGGGGAGTGCTGGCATCGACTGTGTTTTTGGCAACAGGAATCTATGCCCAAGTCGAGGACGAAATCATTGCCGGATGGGCGCCGACGAAACGGCAGTCGCCAGAGGGCATGGTTACCGTCCATGCTGTTCAAGTTGGCAATGCAGAAGGCAGCAAGAGGTTCTATCCGGATTCTCTTAAGGCTGAACCTGGCTCGATGGTCCAGTTTCAGTTCCATCCAGCGGTAAGAAGCTGTAAATCCGGGCGAAATATCCTCTCTGGAATCGGGAAAGCAGGCTTCTAATAATCGTCATATCTATAATAGAATCACTCCGTTGCGCAGTCCACTTTTGATAGCCCCTGTTCGCCCATCGGCGGCGGAACAGGTATTCGATCTGGGTTCCTACCCGTGTCGGCTGATGCTACAGAAATGCCCGTGTTCACGATTATGATCAACGACAGCAGCCCTGTATGGTTGTTCTGTGGCCAGAAAAATCATTGCCAGAATGGCATGGTCATGGTTATCAATCCGTACGTATCATGTTTACCTGTTCCGTTTCCCCACCTTTCATTGACAAACCCATCTGTCATCTAAACGCTGCGAAGTGTTGTCTGTAATATTCTAACATATTTTCTCTTCCCTCTAGCCCTGAAGCACAAGATAAGAACATCGAAGCATTCCGATCCATCGCTATGAGTGGAGAAGGAGGTTCTAGCGGCGGTGGCAGCGAAGGGGCCGACAACCCTACACCCCTCCCGACCGGCGGCTCACTCCCAACCGGGGGTATATACCCAACGCCTGGCGGCAACGGTGGTAGCGGAATAGCTCTCCCCTCCGACGGATCTATTTCGTCTACCGTTTCTTCAGGCAGGCCAACACCGACCCAAACCGCTGATCCGTTCATATCTACAGGCAACGCAGCACCCCAGCAAATTTCCCATGCTGCAACCCTCTCTGGATTGGTAGTTGCTGCCTTTGCAATTTTCGGGTTGTGAGTGGTGTTTTTGAAAGCTGTGTATGATATCGACAGGCGTTTGCCCTTGATGAAGAGGAGATTCGAGGTGTCAGGACAAGAGAACTTCTCTCTCTCTCCTTCTCCTTTTCTTTTCTTTCTCTCTCTCTTTTTTGCCAGGTACCTGTTTCCATGTTTTGAATGCTATATGAGCTTTTCTCCTTTACCCCCCTGTCGTGAACTGTTTATTGTATATATACCCGCCGGCTGGTCTGCGAATGGCCCCAGAGTCAGATTCCCCCTTCCCCTCATTGTAATGTGTGTGGATGTGGTTGCCTGTGAGTTTCTAAAATATTGAAAATAATAGCGAGATCAAGCAATCCATTTTTATAATATTTCTTGTGAGCATCGTACATACTATTTCCCAAAAAATGCTGTCCAAGCACTTAGTCATCGACAAACCTTGACGCGAGACACTGTGAGAGGGTTGAACCTTTGTTGGTTGTTTATCTATCTAGTGGCGAGCTAATATATGTATGTGTGGGTCACGTGGGATAGGGCTTGTGTAGTAGCTCCAACAGACACGCGGCTCACGTGTCAACACCTCAAATATCCATGGATTCCATCTCAAACGGCGGGTGGGGAATATAGAAAGCGGATTGCTCAGGGAAATTATATAGATGTATCTATATAACATGCCAGTCTCGCTATCTCTTCAGCAACGATGAATGACACCACAACTACCCTCCTCACAGAACATTTCAGCTACACCCCACTCGTAAGTTTGTTGTGCTTACATTACCTTACCAGCGCTTCGTATAGAAAAGATGTTTATCTGCATGTTTATCTAGTCTCTGATAGACGACGTAATAAACTCCATAAACAACCTGATCTACCAAGCCATCTCCAGTCTCGAAGATGGCCTCTTGAACGCCCCGCCAGAGCGATTAGGATTCTCTCATGCTGCCGACTCCATCCCGGACACGGACGATGATGGAAACATCCAGTATCCGGAAGCGAGGCTGGAAATAGAGAATGGGCTACATCAATTGGAGACGCTGCTGGAGGCGACGGTCGATAAGGCCTTCGATAAGTTCGAAATTTACGTTTTAAGGAATATCCTGACAGTACCAGAGGATCTGCTCGGATGGGTGCGGTTGACGCATTACGAGGTGGGGGAAATTTTTTACCAAAACAGAAAGAAATTCCTAGAATAACACTTACATCTAACTCTTATCCCTTCGCCTGCATGATAGAAACTCTCCCTCGGGCCCAGCGGCCCCAACGCTCCAACTCTAGAATCAATAACCCTCCAACGTCAAAAATTGCGCGAAACCCGAAAACTCCAGCGCGCACTCAGGCAAGAAGCCGACCGCAATGACGCAATAATCGCCCAGCTACGCTCAATCCTCCTTAGAGATACCCATGCGCCGGCCTCCCCCGACCGGAAAGGAGCAGCAACACCAGCCATACCCTCTCAACCCGTAACCGCAGACGCCCCCGACCTTTCCTTCCTCTTCGCCGACACAACCGCCCGCCGCCTCCGCATCGGCGACACCGCAGACCCCTCCCACAAACCCATAACAACAAACACGACGTTTATACTTTCCCAACTCCCCGCTCTCCGTGCAATGCTAACCCAGCTACGGTCAAAGTTGTCAACCTTGCCCCGATCGGCAGGGGAGATAGAGCTAGATTCGAAACGCGAGGAGAGAAGGGACTATATTGAGAGTCGGACGCGGATGCATCTGATGAGGAATGGGGAGCTGGGCGGAGCGGAGGATGGGCACGGGGCCGTGGTGGCGGGGCGGAGGGTTGAGGCGGAGGAGGTTCGGGCGTTGGAAGGTGTGGTGGAGATGTTGGGCAGTGATTGAATTTTTATTTTAAGATCCCTTTCCTTTTTTTTTAATATATCCCTCTCTTTTATCGTTTTTTTTTTTTTTTTTTTTTTTTTTTTTTTTTTTTGACTTACCTTGGTTTAGCGTTTGCATAAGGTGGGGTAACCTATTTTCCAACGTAAAATAGTTTCATGTCCCCAGCCTTCCGTCCAATGTGCATACATAGGTTTTTCCATTATTTTTCAGGAGTGAAATGGTGAAATAGGGAGCCCGGGGGCCCGGGGGCGCTGGAGGGTTAATAGGAAATCTATTACATGTATATTATTATGTTTTCCTGTGAAAGGTCAAAAAAACCTGGTTGTCTGGTGATCGACCTACTATTGAAGACCAGCTTGGAGAGACAGCCGCGCACCTCGCAGTCCGGAGTTTACAACAAGCAAACATACATATATCCGAATTGGCGTATCGAACTTCTCCATTCTCTGGCGTTTCATTTCCAAAGATGAGTTCAGAGTGTGCATGATTCTAGGAAACACGAGAGAAAACAACGTAGAAGAGGCTCAGGGTGGCTCCTGGTTTTTTTTTTTTTTGGTTTTTTATTTTTATTATTTTTTTTCCTTTTTTATATATATATATATATACGCAAACTGAAAAGACGAGAAAATCCACCTATTCCGAACTTTTGAATTGAATTTGTTGCCATAGCCTGACTGCCTTGCCGTTGAATTGGTTGGTATTGTTGTACAGAAAGGCGACTCAAAAGCCCCTCGATATACTGCATTGGAGACGCCCTCGCAAGAAAATCCGCCGCTCCTAGGTCATGGGCCATCCACCCGGCGTGAGAAAGGACTCGAGTTTAGACGCCTACGATGTCAACTAACTTAGACGATGATGTTTTGTTGTTTGGTTCGATATCAAGAGTATTTTTGGGCAAATCTACTAAATAAGCTATTCTCGACCTTCGCCCAATCACCTCGGTGCTCCTGGCGCTGAAGCTCTCGGCTTCCCGCATACAAACCCCCTGGGATTCTGCACCACAGGCGCCAAACTCCCCAGACGAATCAGCTGCATATCCAGGCCATGTCCCACTCCTCGTCCATGCTTCTGGGGAAATCGGAAGCCCCTTGGGATCTGGTTTGATTGGATATCAATGTGCTGGTTGTGTGGTTGCGGATATGTTGTGTACCCGCCCCGGCATCACCCTCCTGGCCGCCGAGCCCGTCCAAAGTAGCCAATCCAGCCGCCCGGCTTTTGCAGAGAGTGCGCAGTGAAACTCTCGCGCATTCCTGTATGCGCTGATCGGCGGGTTGGGAGAGCCAATCGTGGATCCGACGTGGAGGGTGTTCCTGTTGGATGCTGCATGTCCCTCCCATGTCTGTTCTCCTCGTCCCACAGAGAATGCGATTGTTGCCTTCCACCAGGGTTGGAAGTCGGAAGCAGCAAATTGGACAATAAAAACATATTGTCGCCCGCTTCCCATCGTTCCATTTCCCCCAATATTTCTTTCTACTCCTTCACATTCTCCGTTTCTTGCTTTCGTTTTGTTGCTACTTTATTTCTACCACCAGTCGGTTGGCAGCCGTGCGAGTCTGGGCTGTGCCTTGGCCTGTTGCTTCGGTCCATTCATTCATTGATCTATCCAGCTATAGATCTTACTCCTTTTTCAACAATTTAAGAGAAAAGATAAAAGCGCTCATTTGTACTCTTGCTGGGTCACATAGACACTGCTGCAAGGTCATCATTCGCTCTGTCGGTGCTTTGTGACGGTTGCCCATTGAATAGGGAAACCTTTCTCACTTTAGCAACCTACCATTTATTCAATACGCAAAACTCTCTCTAAAGGCAAGGCGTGAACCGTTCTCTCTGCCTTCAATTCATTCAACTCGCTCCATCATAGTCATCATTATCATTTTCCAACCAAAATGACCCCTCCACTCTCTCTCGTGGACTCTCACAACGGCTCCCATGCCACAACCCTAGCCGCCTCCGATGAGGATGAATCCGCCTACCTTCGCCGCGCCAAAATATTCCACTGGGTCCGCGTCTCCATCTCCAGCATCATTTTCGTCATTGCCATGGCCGTCATCGGCTGCGAAGTCCGCTCCCTCCGCTTCTACCAACAAACTAACCCTTTCAAGAACTGGGACCTCGTCCTGTGGCCTGAGAAACTTGATCTACGCCCGACAACGGCACTGATTGCCTGCGGAAGCATCATCGCCCTGCTCACCCTGGCCTATCTCATTTTTTCTTTCCTCCCATCTGTGCGTATTGCCTTCGTCCTCCTCCTTCCCCTTTTGTCACTTTTATATGTGTAACATATGTCTACCAAACTAACCTAAAAAACAACCAACCCTTTAGCCTCACGCCCGTATCATTCTCCTAAACAGCCTCATAGCTATCGTGGCCCTCAGCGGCCTCATCGCTGCCATCGTCTCCGTCGCTTTCACTACCGTCGTCACCGACCCCCGTGTGAACAACGGCGACAACGTTGGCGAAACTATCCACACCTGGACGTGTAAATGGGGTTATGCAGATGGCCTTGACGAGGAGGGTAGACCAGTCGATGCCACGGATGGATTTGGTCGGCTGTGCAGGGACACACATGCGTCGTTTGCGCTTATGTGTGTGTTGATTGTGCTTGAGGCTGCGCTGGGGGTTGCGTCGTTGCTGGGGTGGTGGATGGAGTTCGGGATGGAGAGGAAGAGAGGGGTCGTGGTTGAGGTTGAGGCTGGAGTGATGGAAGCGCGCAAACAGAGTAGGGATGAGGATCATGATGGGAAAAGTTCTTTGTTCTAAGGGACTGGCTGTATCGAGGTTTTATTGATTTTGGGTACTGAGGGGGCCCTTTTTCTTGGCCTGGTGCCGGCTCTCCAGATGATGATATCTTTATTTGAATGTCTACCTATTTTATTTTTATTTCCCCCACCCCTTGTTTTCTTCGTGTTGGTTGGGTGGGAGTTTTTGGCTTATGATGATGTCTTATGTATCTTATTTCGATGGCCCTTTTTCCCCCTATGAGTTCTGTATCAGTGTGTGCGGTTTATATATTTCGTCATCTATTCCAAGAAGGAAGGCAGACACATCGTCAGAGTAATCTCATTAATTCCCACAACACTCGTGTATATGCATGTTTTTCAATAACGAGATCCAGTTAAGTCATTTGACATAAGGGGCGACGTCTTGAGTCGGAACGGAACAATACTAATTCCGACATAGATCACATGCACTGGTGATCCGCGAGATTTTGAAGCTTCAAGTTTGCGTTAACTACCGATTCCTTGTTTTCGCTTTTCTTTAGTTGATGGCTTTGAGAACATACGTCTTTCATAGCCTAAATTATAGACTTATTATTCTCCCCCGGTTTGATCCGACTTGTCACTTGCGAACCTTGTCACAGCCCAGGAACCATACCTGCAAACGTATATCCAAAACGCTAATTTCGTAGCACCCCGATTTTTCGCAATCGCAGAGCACGGAATATGGCCCGACAAGCTTTATCAGGAAACGGCCATGATAGCGTGTCGAATGCGACACCATCCGAGCCCGAACACATGTCCGGCGCCGTGGCCATAGGAGAAAATCAAAAAGACGAGGACGAAGATTATAACTCCGAAGAGGATTCCGATTTTGACGTCAACGCACCCGCTGAGAGTGATGCGGAAGAGGAAGAGGGCGGGGACGATGGCGATGGCGATGGTTCATATGCTATTGGCGGTCGGCCTCGGAAACGGAGGAAGTTGTCGCCTGATCCGGATGATGGGGATGCTATTGTGGATGCTGAGTTTGATTCCGGTGACGAGGCTACGATAAGAATTGGGAAGGAGAAGATGGAGAAGGCGAGGAGGAGGAGGAGGAGGAAAGAGGGCGGAAGGAAGGGGAAATGGAAAGCGGGGGAGAAGCAAAAGAAGAATAGTGAAGAGGCTGGTGCTGACGAAGGGGATGATTTTGAAATTGACGATGGTGAAGATGATGATGTTGGTGGCGGCGGCGGGTTCGTGAGAACGAGGGGTATGAGGATGCGGATGTATGCGATTTCCCCAATTTCTCTTGGGATTTGATTTTATGAGCGGATGATATTTGCATATGGATTACTGACACTATTTTTAATGCAGGAAGGAGGAGCGGCGCCCGCTAGCAAAGGCTGATGGTGCTACGGTGGATGTGGACGCGTTGTGGGAAAAGATGAAAGCTGCTAGACCCAGTCCAATTCCCCCGAAGCGTGGAGCTTCAGCTCTCGAGGAAGGCAAACAAAAAGTGGGCTCGATAAGAAGTGATTACTCGCGTGATCCGGCGCAGACTCTTCCCTATGAAGAAAGTATAACTATTAAACGAGTCTACAAGTTCGCGGGCGAGGTTATAACCGAGGAGAAAACTGTCCCGAAGGATTCCGCCGAAGCAAAACTGTATCTGTCATCCGAGGCAGCGAAGAAGGAGAAAAAGACTTCAAGCAATGCGAAAGCGGATAGCGAACTCAACGCCTCCTCCGATGCCGTTTATATTCCGCTGCTGAGGCCCCTGCGCAGGTACTCCCGATTCGATCCAAACCCACCTAACTCGATCCAGAAAAGCTGGGAAAAGACAATCGCTGTCCCCGGTGGTCCAGGACTAGCTGAACAGCCCAAGGGACCTAAACTGAATACGGTCATGAAATCTAAGCTTGATTGGGCCGAATATGTCGATCGGGCAGGCATCAAAGATGATCTCGACGTGCATAGTAAAGCTAAGGAAGGTTACTTGGGCCGGATGGACTTCCTGAGTCGCGTGGATGCGAAGCGAGAAGAGGAGCGACGCAATGCGAGATTGAAGAATTTATAAGTTCGCGCAAACAAGCTACCTTAATTTATGTGCACGAGTGCATTGGGCAGACAGAAAACCCATTTTCAATGTCACATATCAATGAAATCTGAGAATATGCCCTTGCCACCACTACCATTTCCGCTATACCCCCATTTCAGCAAATTACTTCTGCACGGCAATACTCTCTCTCCACTTATTTCCAAAGTACGTCCCGGCAGCACTTGGACCCGTTATCTTCATTCCGCGCACCGGGGGCCAGACATGCCGAACACGTTGGATTCACATTGCGGACAACACTTCGGCAACTAGGTTATCTTACTCTCCGCTTACGGGACAACATTGGCGGACTTCAAGTTCCCAATTTAAAGACAGCAACATATAGGCCGTCCTGCTGATGCTTGGCACCGACGTTATCAACTGTGGTGACCTCCTCTCACGCTCCCGCTTCGCCAATGTAAAAACAAGCTACTGCCCTTCAAAAACCAGTATTGAATACCTAGGGCTGAGAGATAGTAGCCCAATTCTAACTGTTTTTCCAGACTATGAACCACCCATGGCAAAGTTTAAGCCGCATATGGCAGGTCATTTTCCGGCACCGGGCCTATATTTATCCGTCATTTGAATCACCAGCAGATTGAACAATTCAAATGAATTATTTTATAATTGCTCCTTGATTCGGTGGCCAATGTTTAAAATCATGAAGGTGGCGTTTGGGACAAGCCAAAGGGGTGGTGGGTTACGACATACGGATGTGGTTCCTCTCTCTATGCTACCATCAGGGGTACTGGTGAGAGATCCCATGTTTACTCCAGGAACCTAACAATTTACATAACAATGTACATATGTAATCCAACAGGAGTCGCCCTTGCGTACTCACCTCTGCCGACTCTTCGATGAGGGTCCAGCCCTGTTATCTTTCATGGCCCGAGCAGAGAACACCACTGCATCCTTACAAAACTGGAAACAAGTTGAAAAAACCTCAAGTGAAGCCTATCTCTGGCTAATATTGTGAATCCTACCTAATTTACGCCCCAAGTCCGCTATTTTTAATTTTATAACCGTGAAGTATTCTTTGGATGCCTCAAAACGAAATCCCTACGCATGTACTTCTCATGTCTATGAGAAATCGCACAGCCCAAGCAGACCGCCGAAGTCAAATTTCAAACCCAGCCGAAAGGTATCATAGGAATGGGCGGCCTCATTATTCACCATCGATCGATATGTATTACAAAATCACCTGAGCATTTCTATTCCATTCGCTAGTACCAAACCTCACAAAACCTGTTCCAGACGCCCACGCCATACATTTTCAGCCTTCCATCGCATCCAAAAGAGTTATTCTCTGAGTGGTCGGCCATCCGGTGTCAGGTCTCCCCGGTATTCTGGGTCGTAGTCTGAACTTTTTTCATCCAGCGTTGCCACATAACGGTTCCGACCTCCTTTTCTCCCATGGGTCGAGACGTAATGCACCCTAAGGTTGTCGTTTCTCGAAAAGCTTTTATTGCAATCGGGAACCCAGCAGACGAATGGTTTCTCATTGGTGTGGTTTTTCAAATGCCTTTTTAGATGCTCATGCCGCCAAAATCTACCACCACAGCCTGGTACATCACATTTGAAAGGATGTGGTGGTATTTTTTTGGCAACACTTGCAAGAGAGTGAGCTGGCTGTTGCAACGGCGTCGTTTCGCCCGGTGATTCGTCCGTCCATCCCAGCGTCGTTGTCTGTCCCAAATCTGAGGAATGGGTTGGGGAAGCAAAGTATCCATGCTGTCGTATCCCCAAGGATTTTCCCTAGGGCCTGGCGTTCCGGCGTATGCTGGATTAGACTCTGCGGAGTTTCCCGTTCCTCCCACGGCCCGAGCAATACCCCCGAGGTAGGAAACCCTAAACCAGACTCAGTTTCATTCATTCGTTCCGCCGTCGTCGCTAACCAAGTGTCTTCTCGCCCAGGGACTTCGTACCCGAAGCCGTAGTCTGCTTGCCCAGGAGATTGGACGTAGGACGTCGCATTCTGCAGTTGATCGCCACGAATGGTGCCGGGGGGACCCTGTAATGTATCGTGGTCTGCAGTGGCTCCGTCGTACACTCTAGCGGGTACAGAATGCGGTAAACCTTTCGTATCAAGGGAACCTGGATATTGATGTGTTAGTCTCTCGTCCAGTGATGACTGCAAATATAGCATCTATCCATGAATTCCCGTATTAGAGGTGGAACGGCGCTCCTGAATCAATACATTGTTTCCCCGCTCTGCATACGTCTGCTGTTCTGGGGCTGTTAAGTTTGGGGGTGTCAAATTACCGGAAACCAAGTTCGATATTCCAGCTCGTCTAGCATTTGTGCTAGGTGGGAGACGTTTATCGTCCATGCCGAACCTGCTAAAGATGCCTTAATACCAGATATCTACCGTCGTGGTAATGGAGTTAAATATCACAAAGGATTTGCGTCGATTTGGATGTCCTCGTGCTGAATGGTGAATACAGGGTATACAATAGCAAAGGGGGCACTATTTCTGGGAGAAATCAAAAAATAATTGCACATGGAAGATATTTGTTCTGCAAATGTGGTGGGAGAATTATTTAAATATTCGTGAGGTAAATACTCACAGCCGGATATTTCCTCCTTCCCGAAAGCGCCGAACTCGTATCCTGAACCATGGATGACTACCAGAGCCGTTTGGAAAGGGTAGTAACCCTTCGAACTATATAGCATCAATATACATGCCAAAATCAAAACCGTCAAACCAACGCCACATCTGTGGCACGGTGACCGCATCCCACATCCCTACAAATGTGAGAAGTCCAAAGTTTAGCATAATTCGTCGATTGTGCGTATGAAGAATTTAAAATTGGTCCTCTCCTCCCGTGACACGGCTACCGACATTCAAATTTGCCTGGATGTATACATACTCCTACAGATCAGTCTAGTGTACAAAAATTCTGCGGGACAATTGGTTTATAGAGAAGACCTCCAACTGTGGATGTTGCCGCACTGTTGCGTTCCCCTGGCCCAAAATCAAGCTAAAATCCGTTCGAATCTATACAAGCATCCTCAATCATGATACGACATTCCATCAAACCAGTTTCTGTCAAACAAACTTTGCTTCGTTCCGGACGGCCGCACGCGGGTAGCTCCCGCAGTGAGCAGGGCTTGATTGTGCTTACCAGTGGCCTGCAACTCCAACGTGCCATAGATACGCTTCAGCCTAAAATATTAGTTGGAGATCGCGGCATCCAGCGTAGATTCGCTTGAATCTCTAAATTATCCACAAACGCTGATCCGCACCCAAACCAGGTAGCTACCGCACGGCCCGATTTAGTCACTCTCGGGCCAGACTGAGATGACGAACCTCTTTCCAGTAAACCTTCCTCCAATTGGTGCGAACTAGTCTGCGTTTCCGATACAGATAATCGGTACAGATGATCCCTTCATGTTCGAGTTCTCATATCTACATTATTGACCTATTACCAAGCCCAAGAACATCTTAAAGCGGTCCGGAAGGCGGAAAGTGATAAATCCAAATGATAATTCAACATTCAGTTGAAGATATCATTCGGTGTTGACCTCTCAAGGCTTGGGTTCAGCCCTTCGTACCCAAGAGAATTTCCGGCCATTAGGAGGTTAATTTCATTGCGCACATTGCGTTACTCCAGCCCCATGTACACTTGAGATGTCCTTATCCCTTTTCATGTTCTGGGACTACCAGATATCAACCGCTGTGCACT